CCTAACCCTCCAAAACAAACTTATATTATTTCGTGTTTTTCCAACCAATGTATGGTTATTTACCGCCACGGTTTCCATTTTCTCAGCCTTTTTTTTTTTTTTTTTCCCCCCCCCCCCCCCCCCCCAAGCTTGAGCGTGGATATTTTGCACAACAGTATCTCGCCACAGCCGTTTAGGACTGCAATCCGTACAAGCACATACCCGATCAGGTCACGTGACTACGCAAGGGCCTGCCACAGCCAGCGCAAAAGGAAGGTTGCATCCCTGTCTTCGTGCAGGCGGCTGTTGGCTGTGCAGCAGGACACTGAGGAGGTACGATGGATTACGGAGTACAGAGTACATGCATTCCAATTGCAAGCTGTTCTGGGTCGAGGTTATTCGCTTCAAACATCAGATGAGCGGCACTTGCGAACTGATGGCAAAGAGATTCCATTCCATTTGATGCGACTCTGCGGCTCTGCGGGAGCCTGGAACCTAGGGAAACAAGCCATTGCATTCCCCTGTTGCTTGGCAGATGCTAGCCAGGGGTGAGAATATCAGGTTCTTGGTCGATCCTTGGGTGTAGGTATTCTCTTCTGCAGCAAGTAGATCTTGATCAGCAGCAGTCAAATAGCCACATACAGCCACGTGCCTAGCTATACATACTATCAGGTACCGTACCTTGCTTGGTTGCTGGTCTCGCAGCTAAACTTTGGCTCCCGTCAAAACCTTGGCAGGATGGATGGGACGGGACCCGCCGACGATGTAGCTCCGGCGGGACACATAGAGGTACCTACCGAAAGGCACGAGCCTTTTTTTCTCCCCCAGTCATTTCCCAAGAATCTTCGATGCCAGGAATAAAATACAGGAAAGTACTGGAATGAGAACTCCCTTTCCCCATCAATTCCCCCGATAAGAAATCGGCAGAATATTTCAGCTCTTTCCTTACTAATCAAGGATAATAGGTGTGACGTCGCCAATGATCTAACTTTCTCAAACTCTCGTGTCTGTCCAAGATAAACTCCCGTTCTCCAAGATGCATGCCTGCCACGGGAGCATAATTTCACTTTCGACGAGCTCGCTTCTTATCATCTGAAGATGTCGAAAGGAAGAGTACGGCAGGCGTAAACCGTCCGAATAAGTCCATCACGACAGAGACATTGGCGCAAAGTTTTTAGACGGCATGACGTGGCTACCTCCTCGACCATCATCTTTCTTGTTTCATGCGGCCAACCTCGCAAGGGGCTGTCGCTGGGCCTGCATTAAGTTGGCCATATTCACGTCAGAGAGAACGTTCAACATGTCACCACGAAAAGGCGAGGCCCTGCTGTCAACAGCCTGAGGCAAAGAAATTGGTATCATCGACTCGAGAAAACACCCCAACTCCAGCGCACCACCCAAGCCTACCTACAAACCATTCAGCCACCTCTCAAGAAGGTTCAAAAAGGTATCGTACAAAATATCCCACTCCTCTGGACTCGCCCCCTTCAGGACCTCCCAGTACCGCCCGACCGTCATCTCCGCCTCCAACGAGTGCCGGCAAGCCCGAGCCATGCGCGACACCTCGCGGAGCAGCTCCTCCCTCCTGGACTGGGGCGCGCACGAGTACGACAGCGTCTGCACGTTGAGCAGCACGACGCTCACCCGCTCCGCCTCGTCGTCGGCCCGCCCGACCAGCTCCCGCAGGGCGTCGCGCGCCCCCGTCGCCCACCGCTGCCGCCGCGCGAACCACGATGCCATCTCGCCCAGCCGCGACGCTAGGTCTCGCAGGTCATCTACCGCGGATGCGAGTCGCTCCGGCCGGAGATTGTGCCGCACCCAGCGCTTGATCTCCGCTGGTTCCGGCTGCGTGACGTGGTGGTCGCCGCAGTCCGGGCAGCTGCGGCGTCGGCTGCGGCGGGTGGACCGGCTCCGTGGGGCCCGTGGCGATGAGGGCTGGGGAGGGTAGTAGTTGCTGTGGCCGTGGTTGTGGTTGAGGTTCATCCTGTGGAAGCCGAGCTCCGCGTCGAATACTTGCCTCGTCGCCGCCTCCTTCAGGGTGTCGTACGCTGTTCGGATCTGCACAAACTTCCAGTGAGCATCATCCTTGACCTCCTTTGAGCCGCGGATCTTGTCTGGGTGGCAGCTGAGGCATAGCTTACGGTAGGCGGACTTGATCTCGTCGGTACTGGCGTACTCCTCGACTCCGAGGACGTCGTAGTGGTTTACGAACCCGCCCCTGGGGTTCGCAGACATGTTGTGAGAGTGCTGTGATTTCCCCGTTGACTAATTGTTCGTTGGAGGAGATTGCCGACCAGGTCGGCGTTGGCCTGGTTGGGCTTTTGTATTTGGATGTGGCGAATGGGAGATATATTTTCATTGTTGCTGTGTCTCCTTTGGCGAGCTTTGACGATGGTGACAAGAGGATTGTACTGTACAATAGGTACATACTGAGACAAAGGGGTGAACTGAGTCCACGGGTCGCGCCTTTGTCGCTGTGGGCTTCCGCGTGGGGGCAGCCGCCCTATGTTCGAATAGGTTGATTGTTCCCAGAACGTTGCCTCTGGCCAGTCGTGGCAGGAAGGTGTTTTTCCTGATCGATCTTGCTGTTCTGTCGATAACCCTTCCCACCGCTGCTAACGGCACCACATACCATGATATTTGTGTTCGGAGCTTCCTCGGAGCTCACCCAGGCCCGCCGCTTTAAGGATGTCACCCTGGGTGAGCTGGGTGAGCCAGACCCACAAGAGGGTGACCTCCTGGGTGAGCTGGGTGAGCGGGGTGAGTATTAAGAGCTGACCTTTTGTAACGAATGTAGAGGGCACGAGTTGGTTACATTAACTAGGTAAAACTGTGGACTTTGGGGAAAGGCCCATCGACGAAACGGCTGGCATTTATTGCTAGCTAACATTTCGCCACTGACTTGATGCACCATTGCAATAACCACATATTCCCATGATTACAAAGCAGCGTGCAACTCGATGTTTCTGACCGTTTCCGTCAACTAATGAGTCACGTTCTTGAAGCCAGCGTTCTGCACCGTGACAGCAATTCTTGGTGTTTTTCCTCCCTGACACGTCCCCTGAAACTATATCGCGCCGTCCACGCGAACCCAAAAAACGAAGCTATCACGAACCTTTGCTAGAGCGCTTATCGGCTATTTTCGGCTATCACTAAATATACATAAATAGGACGACTTTTCTTATCTCGGGGACGTGGCGCAACGGCTAGCGCGTCGGATTCCAATATCGGATTCCCGAAAGTTAAAATCCGAAGGTTGTGTGTTCAAATCACATCGTCCTCATTTTTAAAATTGTTCTTTTTTTATATATTTCTTTTCCCCTCGATCCAGTGAGCCACAGCACTATTATTCACTACCTACCTAGATTCAAGGGGAATACAACTAATGCCTAAATATGCGAACCTTGGGGAGGGAAAACCTCATTGAGCTAGGAGGATTCAATAGCCGGCTCGTTCCTATGGCTCGTTGGCTGTCGATTGTGTCCGGAGCTGGGCCAGGTAGAGATCTCGATATTTCCCAGTCAAGCGGCAACACTCAAATAACGATCTTGAGTTCTGCGCGTGGTGTCTCTAGAGGCTAACGCTGTCACCTCGCAGACATCAGTGTATCACACTTTACGTCGGTGCCCTGTCCCCAAGTGATGATCAGAAGCATGATAATCCCGACTTCAATATGAGGTCTCCATTACTAGATTCCTTGCTGTGCTGCACACTCACGCAATACTGAAACCCAGACATCCATCGTCTGGACCTTGTCTACTCCTCCCACAGCATCCACTGCAGCAACGGTGGCGGCTCTTGCGGATCGCAGCAGAGTGCCCACCCTCTCATCATCAACCGCCCCATCAATCTCCCCCTCAAATCCTTGCCCGACGACCATGTCCGCCTCCCACCGACCATCAAGCAGCCCCTGCTCCGGAACGACAACCCCCTCGCTCTCAACCTCCCATCCCGCCTTCCGCGCAATCCCCCTGATCGCCTCGGGACTCAGCGGCGTCCGGATATTCTGCCGGCTCTCGACCCGATGCGCCTCCAGCGCGCCCCTCCCCAACGCCGCCAGCACATGAGGCACGGCGGCCGGCTCCGTGGCCCGCAGCGCATACTCGGCAACGCACACCGCGCCGACCCGACCCCGCAGCGCCCGCAGGATATCCTCCAGCACCCTGCCGGACTCGAAATACCACACGCAGTGCGCCAACACGGCGACATCCCAGGTCCTGTCGGCCGCCTGCCCCTTCTCCCCAAGAAAATCCAACACCTGCGCCCGGTGCCACGCGACCCGACCCCCCACGGCGCTCGCCGAGATGTGCGCCTGCGCCTGCGCTAGCGTGTATGGCGCGCCGTAGTCCGGCGCGCCCGGGTCGACGGCGTCGACGGCGCCGCGCGGCCCAACGGCCTCGGCCAGGACGGCCGTGCAGCCGCCCTGCCCGCAGCCGATCTCCAGGACGCGGGCGCCGGGGCGGATCAGCGTCGGGCCGCCCCAGTGGTTGACGAGGTGGATGCGGTGGGTGGCTTGGGAGAGCTCCGAGGGGAGGTGGGAGGGGTGGTGGAGGGTGTGGGAGGCTATTTTGGGGGCTGATGTGAGGGGGAGGACGGGGTCGGGGGTGGGGGCTGACATTTTTGCGGTGCTTGTTGGGAGGAGGTTTGTTGTTTTGTTGTGGTGGTAGTTGTTGGTTGGAGGGTGAGGGCTTGTGGGAGGCTGTTGTTATATAATTAATTTGCATCGACGACGTGACTCATCCTTTGCATTCTTACTTCTCAAATTGGAAGGTGGTTGAACCAAGTCAGATAGCTTGGATGCACGGACAACCCGCTATCATTTGCACCGGATACGAACAACGGTGAAGCATTTCTTCATCTCTTTCGGGAAAAAATCATGTTTGTCTTGTTGGGGGAAAGGGAGAGTCGATGTCTCAGTGTTAATGGTTCTACAGGGCCTGGTTGATATTTTGACACTCTATCTTCAATCACGCACCACTATTCGAGACACTATTCGAGAGCTAATTAAGGCATCGCAACAAGACCTCTACTACTGACGTTGAGCCGTTTAATTATATGTTACCTGTGGAGGCAGGCAGCAATTATTAGTTGGCTCAAAGAGAAAATGCGACGCCCAGGAATCATGGTCACAGAGACAAGGTGATTGAGTTTCGGAGATGACCGAAGACAGCCTGAATAGGTTTAGGTATGGGATATGACAGCTGCAGTGCTATAAGTGAGGCCAAGGTGAAGAAGTGATGAAGTCAATGGAGCTATCGACGGCCCCATTGCAATGTCGCGGGCGGATATTAAGATCATCCAGTTACCATGATAACCGTCGGCTGGCAAACTGGAGATAAGAAGAGACTAAAGGAATGATTATTTTAGCCATACCGTGGTGTTTCAATGTGAAAGAAAAAACTATAATGCAGACAATGGGAGTGGCTTGGATGTTGGACAGAACAGTGGGACGCTGGTTTTTTCCCTTCTCCCCGTGTCCATTAATGGCGGCTGGGAAGATGGACAGGAGGCAAACGAATAGCAATTTACCTACCCAGATCACGTAAATATGGTCAGCTTGGCAGCGGGCTGTTGGGCAGCGGTTCCATTGGGCAGCAGCTGGCCGTTGAACTCTTGAAACAGAGCTGACCCAATTGCGTATTTGTGCCTGATGAAGTGGCAGTTCGGGTTTGTTCTTAGGGACGAGGAAGATAACCGGGAAGCACAGACTACCTAATTAATAACAATAAGGATATTCTAATCTGGCGCGAACCGAAGGATTGCTGACGACTTCGGCACCGGTAGTGTTGCGACCATACCCGCCTTCCAGAAACCCGTCAGATTGGCCAGAAACCCGACCCGTTGGGTACTATAATTTGGCCGGGCATACGGGAGCGTTGGCTGCAGAAACCTAAGGTATTTATCATGCATCTCGAGGAAGAGGGGTTACACAATGGGGTGTCGAAAATGCCTCGCCGAGGACGGCCCAGATTAAGAGCAAAGCGAGCCCGCTTGTCTTTGGTGCCACTCCCACCCCATGCTTCTTGACCGAACGGGGGATAATAGTGTCAAAAGTGATGCACGAGGTATCACACCCGCGGAACTTGGGCCTGCAGGAGATGTGACGAGCAAGCAAGGATGTCTCTAACCTCGGAATCTCCGCTGACCGGTCTGTGGCCACCCACCACGTGGCGAAGTACCTTTGTATGGTTGTGCCAATGGTTCAACGACTTCGCTCCGCTTGGAGCCCTCGGGGAAGTCGGGCGGAACAGCAAGACAGGCGATAGTGCCGTCCACCTTCCCGACCAGCTTGTCCCCCCAAATAAGCTCGATCCGAGTGGCTCTCTCGATGGCGCCCTGGCGACACACCCGCCCCGCGGTGACACTGCAGAGGATATCTGCGCCGCTGTCGAACTGAAGTTCCTCCTGCCGGTGCCCCCCATTATTGCAGCAGGGGACCACAACTCCCACCAGACCGAAAGCCAAGCGGACCCTCAAGCATGGGCTGCCACTAACGAGGCATCCCTGGCCCGTCGGGCTTACGAGCTGATTGCCCAGACCATCCAAAACCACGCGGGACAGCGATCTGTGACCCTGCACGACATCGTCGCCAGCGGGCACCAAGAACGGGACTTTTGGCCGACGCACTGGATCGTCAAAAAGGCCAACTCGGCCAAACTCCTAGACGAGGACGACTACGACGACGGCCATGAAGACAAAACACACGCGGGCCACCACTGGGTGCCCGTAGAGGTGTGCTCCCCAAAGCTCCAGTGGAAAGGCACCAAGCCAGGCACGGGACCCGCCATCGGCGCCGTGCTCAAGGCCCTCACGGCCCGCCACCGCGGCATCGTCGCCAACCACACCTGCGACGTGCACGTGCACGTCGGCCGCGCCGACGGCCGCCACTTCGCCCTGCCCACCCTCAAGAGGCTCGCGACTGTGCTCTGGCTCGCCGAGGACGTGCTCCGCAGCGTGCGCGACCCGGCGAGCCCCAACTTCCACAACGTCTATACCTGGGGCGCCGAGGTGCGCAGGCACAGTCGTCTCGCTGCCGTGGTCGAGCAGCAGGACGCCGATCGTGGGCCCACGCCGCCGCTGGATTCGATGGCTGGGGGCGGGGATCTTGCCGCCGCCGCCGCCGCCACCGCTGCCGTGGATCCGGCCGAGTATCGCGCCATCAGCATGATATGGGAGGCGGGGTCGCACCTCGAGCTGGGCAGGTTGCTGTCCGGGTCGACGAGGCAGTATCGTCGGCTCGGGTTCAACTTCAGCTCGCTCGGGGAGGAGGACGAGAGGGCGAGGAACGGCCCCAAGACGGTCGAGTTCCGCGTCCTCGAGGGGACGCTGCGCGATGGCGTGGTCCTGCCGTGGACGAGAATCTGCTGTACGCTGGTGGAGATTGCCGTTGCGGATCCCGAGGATAGGTTCCGGGACGTTGTTGGGTGCCTTCTCGGGAAGGCGGGGGGCGAAGGTGGTGCTGCTGGGATGCAGCACCGGTTCGGGGACTTTATGCATTGTTTGGGGATCGCACCCGGGGTGGCTGATGCGTTCCTGGAGAGCGTTTATCGGGACCGTGCTGGATAGGAGAGGACTGCATTTTTCGTGATTGGCTGGTTGCATTAGTATTCCCGCTCATTGTTCCACGTCGTCTCACCTTCGCTTGTCATGATTACTGCGTCATAGGTATGTACCTTCCCTGGCACATATCTTGCCGTATGTCTGTCTTTTGTTATGTATTAGTTTATCTTCCATCGTTTTACCTCTTCATTGGATCATCGGGGGCAGGGACGGGGCTGGGAACGGGGACGATGGCATATCAAGTGCAGCAATAGAGCGTGTCTGCCCGGACACTCAATGATTAGTTTTCCCGTTCTTGTGTACCTTTCTCAAACCTTTATACCACTGCCACATGGCCGGCGAGAATTGCTAGACAGCTCAACTTCGCTGGATTACCGGGTCAGGATCGGCCAACCTCTTCGATCGCGTCGCGCCTATTGTTCTTGACAGTCCCTTCAGTATATGACACCGGCAACCTTCGGAATCATCTGGTGCCCCTTTTGAATGGGTGTTTGCGTCGGTATAGACCCCAGGAATTATTTCCGCCGGTTGAGACTGGAGCAGGACCCGAATTGATTTGGGGAAGGGTACGTCGCCGGAAGGATGATGGACCTCTCGGGGCAAAAGTGCGGCTCCGAGACCTTGTTTATCTGGATGTCGGTGCACGGGGGATCGTTCACGGGTCCTGAGTTCCGGGCGTTCCTTCGATGCACCAGACTGGACCAGACGCGTGTCATCGGAACGGACTGGCGTACAGCTAGACTCCAATGACTCAGACTGAGGTTATCCGAAGTTGTGAGGTGCTAACTTCCAACGATCGATGGCGTCCCATCGACATATAGCAGAGACAATTTCCCCCCTTGGGTATTACTTGTAATTAAGTTCTTGATTGTGCAGATGCACGGGTTATCGTAATGGCCAAGCCATGTTGAAAGTTCAGCTAGTGATTGGGGCATCTGCCATATCACCTGCTGCCCACTCCCCCTTTTCAGCAGACATGGTTTCGTCTTCTCGTCCCCTGACCCAACCTTTGCGGCGTGTCTGACGGGTTCGTCGGGCTGGCCACTGCAGACGCCCTCTCCAGCAGCATCATGCTTTCCCGTCGTTCACGGTTCGCTTATGCAAGTTGGGCTGCGTGGTCCGAATCGCTCCGTCTTGGCCATCTTTGAACAACCATCAGAGTCGTTGGAGCCGGGACACTCGACCTGGATTCCATCCAATGTTCTGCAAGGTGAGCGAAATCTGAAGCCGTCTCGGATTCAACGTGGGTAGTTCTTGTTTCTGATTCGACATTCCGAGATGGTGTGCTCGCAGCGTAGCTGTTCCTGCTGTCGTCGGATCTCGGCTTGGACAGGAAAGTACGAAGGGGAAGAAGGGCTTCTGCTGCCAGGGGGACAGGCGGGCGACAAAGGGGGCAGGTACTGCCGCCCCTTGCCTTTGTGGCCTGCCTTCCTGGAGGGTCACTAGGTGGTGGTAACCCATATTGCGGTACAAAGGTCACAGGTACCAGCCAGGTAGCCCTTCAAGTGGAAATCTGTAGCATTCGCGCCCAAGTTCGACTGGAAAATCCAAATCGCCGACCCTGTCACATGCCCTGAGGGGGATCATATGGAGGCGGTGACCAGCACAACCGCCCAAAACCAACCCTAATGTGGAAGTTGTCTCTCAGCCCCCTTGCTGAGGGTTTTCTTCACGAGGTTGTCTCCGCGGGCAGGGGCGGTTAGATATTCGGGCAGGGCCATTCAACTATTCATGCAGGGGCATTTAACTGTTAGGGTAGGATCATTTGGCTAGTCGTCGCTGTCACTATTGCTAAAGCACGCTTGGCGTCGCCGTTTCTGCTGCTGTTGCCATCGCCATTGTGTTCCGCGCTGGTACCTGGTCTTTTTCATCCCCTGCCTGAATAGCCAACTGCCCCTGCCCGCCGAGACAAGCTCTTCCTCACGCTCTCTCAATTATGAACATTCGCGGCTCCGAATAATCCTGATTCCAGCCTGCTGAAGGCCGTCCTAGCTTCTGCCGTGTTCCTGGCGTTTTGCTTTTTTTTGGCGCGAGAACCCTGATGGGCAATCGGACCAACCAGAAATTCAATATTGGATTCGCGATTGGACGACAGGAAGCAGGCTTGGCCGTAGAGGTTCTTGTCTATGCAACATTGCATTAAAAAACGCACAGCAATCCATCAGGGTGCCCAAGGTCCCCGTAGGTTGTTGGACCTTCGACTGGGCGCCCATATTGCGATTTTGACAATGTTCCAACACTTCCAGGTGATCCACCAAGCTATCGAATGAAATGGTCCTTGCCATCAAACGGGGGAGGCCAAGAGGATCAGCCATTCAGAACCCTGCTTGTGACTTGTTCTGTCAAAATGGACCACGAGACGGGTATGGTGGCCCTAGAAACAAGAGAGAGGGAAATTAGCCGGCGCCAACAACTCTCTCTCCATGAGGGGACTGGGGCTGCCAGTGTTACGAAGCTCGTGTCTAGAGGAAAGAAGGTAGGGAAAGACGTAAACAAACCCCAACTCGACTGAACTGGCACGGCATGACAGGAGACGAGGAGGAATCCATGGAGGGATAATTATGGGAGCCACCGGAGGGAGAGGCCAGCGCAAGGTCACCCCCACGGGCATGATATTGTAGGAACAGACAGGTTTTTCGATCCTCCAGAGATGGGTCCCTCGCTCGAACCGAGCGTGGTGACTGGTCAACCCTCCCAACCAGAAACCCACGCCGCTTCGCTCAGGCTTGACCATCAAGGTGCCCATCTCATGCAGCTTGGCAGGCATGACTGCATGAGAAAAACAGTATTTGCCACACAAAAAGGGGCGTGTCTGCTGGGCTCCATCGCGGTTACGCCCCAGGTAGAAAATCGTCGCTTCTGGGTTAACACCAGGGTCGGAGCCAGATATCCAGAGGGCTAGGTATGAGCAATTTGGCGACAATATCGATCTGGGCACCTCACGCCAGAGACAGAGACCATACCATCTCCCAGAATTCCCACAGACGAGGATATATAGATGACCTCGTTCCCCTCCAGTTCCCTTCTACGTCTCCGTCTCCGTCTTTTTCGCTACTCCTTTGCCCCGTGCTCCACGACGCTACTGCCTCGGCTGCCATCCAACGCCTCGCCCGGGTTTCAGGATGGCCATAACCCCTTTAGCAAACTGTGATTCACGTACGGCATCTTTTTCTCAGCTTTACCCTCGTTCCTCCCCGACCCCCGTTCTTCGTCTGCCTTTATTTTCTCTCGACTTCCTCTACCCACGTCGTGTGGAGGCAACTGCGGATACCCGGGTATGTACTGCCCACGCCCATTACCACTGCCTTGGCCTCTCCCACTGGAGTACATGCCTGTTAATGACAATCTATTGGTGCTATTAGTCCGACCATAGGTAGTCCTACCACTTGCCGACTGCGCCCCCGTCCCACCCCCAACGACAATGACCCCCTCCCCGAGCCCCCCATCCGAGGCATCCCACCATGTCGTCCGTCCAGACTCGTGATCCCCACCTCCCTCATGCAGCCAAGGTCACACAAGATAGTATCCGGATGTCAAGAAAATCCAAGACCTATCGGTCTGATTTGCTGGCTTGCGAGGTCACCCGTTCTACCCGCCAAAACCACGCTCCTTTGTAACCCGTCCCCTCCACACCCCCCCTTTCGCCCCCTCCGGCTGGAGCCTCCACTATCCACATCAGCATATCACCACCATAACCAAGGCTGTACCAATCATCGGCCTAGGGTCATGTCTCGGGGGTTGAGCTTGTCCTAGTTGAGGCTCCTGTTCGGGTCTTGTGCAGAAGCCAACCCGCAGGAATGGGTCATGCGTGGGTGATGGTCGTGAGTCTGCCGGCCATCGATTGGTCATCAGCCTGGCTGAGGCCTTGGGGGTTTCCTATCTTTCATGCACCTCAGCGTGGAAGAAGACAAGTCGTCGGTCATGGCGATAAGAGGCGTAGTGTACACCGACTGCCAGCCAATCATTCTTGTCAGTAGTGGGAGGTCAAGGTGATGTTGGAATGACAACCTCCCACCTTTTCTTCCGGATCCTAAGTTGGATAAGAAAAGCGTGGGGGCTCGACTGCTTTCCAAGTATTTAAATGCCTGGTGAATCCCGTGTCTTGGTGCTTGGAGAGTTGTTTCTCCATCAGACTCTTCAAAATCATCAACACTCACCATCAAAAGCCCAAATACCACTTTGCAACCCGCAAAACCCCCAAACCAAACCACCATCATCAACATGTCTCCCTGGTAAGCGATATCCCAAGCATGCTGCCAGGCTGCCAGTCTCCACCCCTCCGGGAGACCTCGATCCCACATGTCAACGTTGATTCCCTCCTAGCTCGTGCTCCTCTTGCTCTACTGGCTGCGCCGGCTCCTGCAACGCGTGCTCCTGCAGCTCCTGCGGCGTAAGTGATCTCCAGATTCGTGACCAATCCAAGTCCCCGTAGACCGACCGTATGGCTTTGACTGACATGTCTTCCTCGACACCTCCAGCACTAAATGCGGTCAACGATTGCCAACAACTCCTTGCCCAACCACCCCTTGACGAGACAATTCCCCCACCACCCATGCATATCTCGGCCAGAGCTACGCGCCGGACAATGTCACAAGATCAGTGATGGGTCAAATGAGGTCGGGAGGTCGAAGGTTAGAAAGGAGTAGCTGTCAAAATCCCACGCCGGTCTTCTTCTCTCGCCACGTCGGACATTTTCTTTTCTATTTGCTTTCTTGAGGAGGAGGTGGACGGGAACGGAGAAAGGTGCATATGCCTCGGTCGCTCATTACTAGTACGCGCTGTTTCAGCTGCAATATACCGACATTAGCAATTGCTAACTGCGTTGATGCCCGTCCCCGAGTACCGTGATCCCGACTGTCGGGGCTACAGTTGCATGTCCCGGCATTGCTGATGGTTGGCTCGGGCGGGTCAGTAATGATCGCCATTAAAAAGAGAGTTTTTCTACGGGCGTGGGCATCCCGCTCTGTGGGCAGAGGAGACAGGACACCTGATGACGCCTGGAGCCGGGTCTGCCGCTTCCATGGCGGTAACCCGGGGTCGTGGCCGGTGGTCCCGCCTCGGCCCCGTGTGCACAGACCTGTGCGTCCCGAGACGTTCCCTCAGTCAGGTTATAATTCCCACATTGTAGGGCAGCATAGTACCTTAGCTTGCTCATACTCGCTCACCTATGATAGTGCCTACCTGATGTTGGACATGTCCCTGCAGCGTAGGGAGACTCGAGCTTGTCCACCTCCTCTCCCCTTGCTTAGGCCCTCTCCTCTCGTTGCCCCCTCTACCAGGTCCAGGCCTTTCCTAGTCATGATCTTTGTCCACACGCTTCTGTAACTCGACTTGCTATGATTCAGCTCATATCGACACTCAGGTCTTTAGCACATGCAGTTGCCGGACGAGGGCTCCTTCCGCCTCCCGGCTAGCCTGTCTCCTGACTGGGCCCGTCCATGGGGCTCTCGTCGGCTACGGCATCTATACCAACAAGCCGCCCTCTCCGTGCTTATACCTGTTTCCAATATCTCTCGGCCTCAATGCTGGAGTGCTCCAGCAGTATGCCTGCGGGGGGTAATGTCATCAGTAATATTCCCCTGGCACGTCCTTGTCGATTCTCTCCTCGCTGTGCCGTTGTATTGTCCGGCGGAGCCAAACCGGCAGCCTCACTACAGCTGCCGCCATCTCGCCACCATCTGATCCTGGAGAGCGATAGACCGGCGGCCGAGTCGGATCACAATGACGTGGACGAACAGCACAACAGGTCCACGGAATGAACCAAGGCTATGCCAGACAGTCGTCGTTCGTCCCACCGTCTGTCTATCGCCCACCAAGAAGTTGACGGACATGATGAAGCACTTGCAGGCACACGATGGCTTGCTCACACTTTTGGGCGGGCCCCGTCGAACGCGTGCGCGGTGGCTGGCTATCGCTTATCGGAGGAGGCATCGGGATCACGTCATTCCTGCCATGGGTAGCCAACTACTGGAGTGTCAAGAAGACGCTCAAGTGTTTGGTTAAGACGATGGACGGGGCTTCTGAGGTGTATTGCCGAAAGGACGTGAGTGTAGAGCATAGGCTTGACTTTGGCGAGCTCCTGGTCGAGGAACACTGCTCTGTGCTCGAGCTAGAGATGGATGCATACTCGTGGTGAAGCATGCGTTCATCCCCTTCCTCCATAACTAACCGCTCGGGTCGTTGTTCCACACTGCGAAATCCACACCTGCTTTTGATGCGATACCCACAATCAGTCTCTTGATGGCGGATTCGCCATTGAGGTGGAATATCAGGCAATAAATCGTGGTGACACGGCTCATGCTCTCCAATCGGGACTCCTGTCGCGAGAATTCGGCCTCGGGAACAAGTTAGGGGACTTTTCTGCTTTTGGCCAACGGGGTTTCTGCACGTTGACTCCGATGCCTGTCATGATCTGGCAGTCCGATGCTACGACGCTGGCATTGATTTAGGCTAATTAGTATCCACGTGCGACAGATTAATCCACAGCTAATTATACAGCTAGTGTAGCACAAAAGTCGACTCGAACCCGGAAAAGCTAGGACGGCCCCAGCGCCAGGGAACCACGTTCCTGGTTGGTGGTCTTGGCTCCCACCACCCCGGCACCACGTCTTTCCTTGTTGGGCCCCGAATTCGCGGAGGGGACCTCCGCAACGACCGGGCCAAGCTGCCGTTTTGCCAAGTCTAGGACCGTCGCATCATGCAAGGAACGTTCCGTTGGGTCCAGAAATGGCATCGTCGCCCAATCGAACCCGGGGAGGCGGGCTTGTTTACCCCTCGGGTCCACCCCACGATGCTACGATACAATCGAGGCCGTAGGACAGAGAGGCGCTCCACTTGACCGAGCTTCCCGGAACTGGCTGGTCTGTTGCCGGGCCCAGGATACATAGATATCCTCCTCCCACCCCCCGGCTCGTTTATTGTCTCGACTGTTGCTCCGGGAATCCCATCTTCGAAAGCGCATCGTCTCGTCGACAACGCCCCTGTTGAATATTTTCTCGAAACCATGCACGCCAAGGCTCTCCTCGCCGCGCTTCTTGCGCCGGCGGCCGTGTCGGCGCAGCTGAACAACCTCGCCGTGGGGGCGGGCTTGAAGTACTTCGGTGTTGCCGTGAAGGAAGGCGCGGTCAACAGCGACTCGGCTTACATGGCCATCGTCAACAACAAGAATGAGATCGGCCAGGTTGTGGCCGAGAATGGCCAGAAATGGGACTCGACTGAGCCCAGCCAGGGAAGTTTCAGCTACTCCCAGGGAGACATCGTCCCGGGGGTCGCCAAGAAGAACGGTCAGGTTCTTCGGTGCCATACCCTTGTGTGGCACAGCCAGTTGCCCAACTGGGGTAAGAGACGATTATTCAATCCTTGACATCGCGAAGATGTCTTAGGGAAGTACAATCTTTGCTAATCGACTTCCAGTCGCATCCGGCAGCTGGACTCGGGCCACTCTCGAAGCCGTCATCAACAACCACATCAGCAACGTGATGGGCCATTATAAAGGCCAGTGCTATGCCTGGGATGTCGTCAACGAGGCCATCGACGATAACGGGAACTATCGTGACAGCGTCTTCTACCGCACGTTTAACACCGACTTCTTGGCCATCGCCTTCAATGCCGCTAAGAAGGCTGACCCGAACGCCAAGCTGTGAGACTATCCCTCCCCCCTAAAATAGTCCCCCCAAAGACGGGACTCGATTAACATGCGAACCTAATCAGATACTACAACGACTATAACCTCGAGTACAACGGCGCCAAGACAGATCGCGCCGTCGAGCTCGTCAAGATCGTCCAGGCCGCCAAGGCCCCGATCGACGGCGTCGGCTTCCAGGGCCACCTGATCGTGGGCTCCACCCCGCAGCGCTCCTCCCTCGTCACGGCGCTCAAGCGCTTCACGGCCCTCGGCGTCGAGGTCGCCTACACGGAGCTCGACATCCGGCACTCGAGCGTGCCGGCCTCGGCAGCCCAGCTGGCGACCCAGGGCAACGACTTCGCCAACGTCGTGGGCTCGTGCCTCGACGTCGCCGGCTGCGTGGGAATCACCGTCTGGGGCCTGTCCGACAAGTACAGCTGGGTGCCCGACTCGTTCCCCGGCGCCGGTGCCGCGCTGCTGTACGATAACAACCTCGGCAAGAAGCCCGCCTGGACGTCGGTCTCGTCGGTGCTCGCTGCGAAGGCCACGGGGGGTCCGGCTACGACGCTTACGACGTCGACGACGAAGACGACTACTACTCCGCCGCCGACGACGACAAAGACGACTACTACTACTACTAAGACAACGACGACTAGTGCGTCTGGTCCCCAGCAGACGCATTGGGGTCAGTGCGGCGGTATTGGCTGGACTGGCCCGGTGAAGTGCGAGGGTCCTTGGACTTGCCAGTGGCTTAATGACTGGTACTTCCAGTGCCTGTAAGTAGGGGGGAGGTCGAGAAGGCGGAGGGATGGGTGAAGGGGGTTTAGCTGTGGCATTTGCGGATGTATGTACATACATAACAACCTTCGATGTACATATCAGACTTCGGGTTCGCGTGTAGATACATGGTTGCGAGTTGGACAATAGAGCTGGGGTGTTTTTCTCAACTTGACGGGGGGTCTGCCTGACGATGATATTCCTCAAAGGTGGCTGAAAATATTGGCATTGGCCGCTTCAAGTAACGAACTAAAGGTATTGTAGATATGTGACCTGTCGTTACCTTGTGGAAACAATACGGTTGTGCCTGCTATCGGCATAAAGGGGTTGATTAATTAGGGGCTCTCATTCAAATGTTTTACGCTGCAACGGCATCGTGTGGCCTTACTCAAAAAAGACGCAGCAAAAGAGAGCCTCCTTGTTCATGATTGGGCGCACAGGGCCGTGAAACAGCCAAAGGATCCATCTATTGATGCATATAATCTACACACCCCTGAAGCGCAAAAAAAGAGTCCCATCCAACCTCCCAACTCCTCGCCTAATATTTTCCACCACACAAAGCAGTAAGTAGTCGCCCTCGCCCCCCTCTCAAGTCTGCTTGATCAGGTTGGTGAACCCGTTGGCGGCCATGATGCCCGCGACGCTGAGACCGGCGTCCTTGAGCGGGGCCTTGAGCGAAGCGGCCGAGTTGGCGTTCTCGACGGCGGCGCCGTCGACGGCGGGGTCGACGAGCGGCACGATGCCGCGCAGGGCCTTGGTCGCGGGCAGCGTCGGGTCGTCGCAGATGGTCGGCACGTCCTGCGCCGACGGGTTGAAGTTCTTCTCGGCCGCGACCAGCTGGGCGGCTGCTGCGATGACTTGCGGGTCGGTGCCGAGGGTGGCGATGATCTCGTCGGCGAGGGAGAGCTGTGTTTGGTTGGTAGCGGTCAGTTCTCCGTCCTGGGATTGGAGATGCTAATCAAATGCTAACCTTGGCGCAGGCATTGGCACCCCCGAGGAGGACACCCGGAGTCTGACCGGCGAGGCTTCCGGCCTGGCCGGGGTTGCCGAAGGCTGACAGGCCCTGGACCGCGTTCTGGATGAGACCTTCTTGGCCGAAGCGGGCCTCGGTGATGGCCACGAGGGCAGCGAGGATGAGTGTCTTGGTCTGCATGTTGAAAGAAGTGGGGGATGGACCGGCCAAGCGGATGGATATTAAAAAGATTTAAGGTTAAATAAACTATTCCTGGAGACAAGGGAAAGGCAAGGAAGCGACTGTCGAACCTGCCGGACAGGGAATTAAAGAACGGAAAGGCGAATGAGAATGGTATTTGGATGGAGAAAAGAGTGGGAGAAAGAAGGTTGAACCGGAATCATCAGACGGTTATATAGACCTCGACCAAGCGATCCATGTTTCACCCCTGATAAAGATAAGGAAACGCAAGAGATAGTCAAGAACAGCATGAACGTGGCCATCAAGGGCTCTCAGCCCCTGGCTCGGTTGCCCTTCGTCTGAAGCTTGGTGGGGGGGGTTCGCAAGCTTGGATGAAAATAACCCGGGACGTGTAAAGAGATCTAAGCGACTTGGATCCAGTTGCTAATTATTGTCCATGGTGACTGCACCTAGACAGAGAGAACGTTGTGGCCATTTTAAGACCCGTGAGTCCCTCAAGTTGGCAACCCAATGTTGCGTTTTGCGCTTCAGCTCCTCATCCGAGTAGCCTCTGACGATGAACTCGCTGCCTAGGTTGGTAGCAATCATTCGTGAATTATGGTTAGATAATTAGGGTTTAACGAAGCAGAAGTAGCCCATTCTGCCCCAATTCTGTACTCTGTTTGTAGCAAGGTCACGCGAGATGAGTTCAGTGTGATGCCACTGAGTCGAGCAGCGTTTGGGGGTTTCCAAGCCCAATGTAACACAAATCGTGTGTCGGCTAATTGATCCGCATCGATCAAACCGCCATCCAAAACTGGACGTGGTGATGCCGACAAACCCCGAAACACGACAGTGCGGCTTTTAATGCTTTATCGCTTGGTCTGGGTCACTGCCCAAATCTGATAAAAGCGCCCTTAACTCGTAGGAATTGTTTCGTGGGGGTACTTTGGGCGAAACACATTCGTTGCCTCGCCTCAGAACGGAAAGAGGTAATTATTGTATTATCGAGACAGTCCTAGGAAAAGAACATCCGAACTCGAAAGTATCGCATTTTGCTCCAGCAAGTACGAGCAACATATGATAGAGGTACTATGAAGTCTCAATCCTCGGTTGCTCACTTGGTCAGTTCTTCGATCGGGAAACCATGTTTAAACCAATATCCTGTCGAATTGGTCGCTTCTTCCCTCCGAACACGCCCTTCGTCAATCTAGACCAAAGGTGGATTGAGTTGCCCTCACTCGTCGACTGTGACTCGAAACATCACATCCATTCATTCGCCAATGTAACGTCCAAGACGCCAAAGGGGGGGATGGCAATTAATTAATATAGCCAGGCTGGGATTGGAATTATTGCCTGGCCTGGAGCTGTTAGACGATCCCCAGAAAGACAACCGATGCCATGTAATGATGCCGAACAATGAAGGGGGGCCGACAAAGTGACTTCACCGTTCGTTCACTGTGCGTCATCGGGTGGGTTACGCATTTTGACGTTTTCTCCAAGCAGCTCATTGGCCCCTGACAGATAGGGCTGCAGGGAAGGCCTGGTTGCGGTTCCTAGTGCGCCGTGTTAGTCGGTGATCAGCCCCTGAGCTGCCCGTAATCGATGACATCAGTGCTCATGGCGTCTGGCTCCAGACCTCAGGTGAGGGAGTGGATTACCCTGGAATAAAATATCAGCATTGTCCCCAGACCTTTCCTAGTCGTCTTTGCCACACTTGGAACGAATTCTAATTCGAACATTGCAATCCAATCCCTTGGCCATTTCCCACCTCTCCAGTTCCCAATATGACGGCGACAAGATCCTCAACCAGAAAAAAGGACGGCGAGGAAGCTCCAGCTCCTCAGGATTCCGCGACTGGATCGAAGCACAAGCTGGAAACCCCCGAGGCGTCTGAAACCAAGCGTGGGAAAACGTCGGACGACAAGGAGAAACACCCGACTGAGGAAAATGTGAACCGGTAAGGAAGGCAGGGGGACATTTGCAACAACCCCCCAAATTTCTCAACAAGACATTTTCTAACCCGCTCCACAGCAAGGAGGAGACAGCGAAGGACAAAGATCAGCAACAGGGCAAGGAAGCGCCCGAAGAAGAGGCAGACACCAGCAAAAAGACGGCAACCGCCCAAGGCGACACCGCCGAGCAGCCCAAGGACCACAACGGCAGCACGCCGTCCAATATCCTGGAGAAGGGCATCATCTACTTCTTCTTCCGCGGGCGCGTCAACGTCGACGAACCCTCGGACATCAGCGACATCGCGCGCAGCTACATCATCCTCCGGCCCATCGCGCACGAGGCCGGGCTCGGTCCCGGAGGCGGCGCCGTCGGAGACGCGAGCAGCAGCAGCCGCCTGATCGCGGTGCCCAAGAAGGTGCTGCCGCGGTCCGGACGGGACCGGTGGACGGCCTTTGTGGAGAAGGCGGGTGCGTCCTTTGCCGAGCTGAAGGAGCGGTTCCTGGCTGGCGCCGAGTACTCTACTAAGACGGTGGGGGAGAGACACATACCTGCCGCGTCGCCAGCCGGGGAGGGCGTGTATGCTATTACCAGGACGGGCAGGGAGAGCCACTTGGTGTATGTGTTGACGCTGCCCGAGAAGCTGGGTGAGGTGCAGAAGGAGATCGGGCTAAAGGAGAAGGGGAGCTTCGTCATCAGTACCAAGAACCCAAAGTTTCCCGGCCCCTCGAACACACAGCTTCCGAAGGCACCGGAGTATCCGGAAGAGTAAGTTCTCTGCGTTAATTACTTGAGCCGTCTCCCAAAGGCCTGGGACGTTGCTGACTATGCTGCAAGGGTGCAAGAAGAGTTCCGCGACTTGAGGTGGATGCCGTCGCTACCGAAGCATCTGGATTTCCCCAACACGCAGTTCATCCTGATCGGTGAGTCGTCCGGCATCGAGAAGGCCACAGAGCCGCAGAAGGACCAGAAGGAGGGAGAGCAGGACCCGAAGGAGGAGATTGAGCAGCTCGAGGAGGAGGACCTGGAACGCATGAAGAATATCAGCAGTAATGACTCTGCGCGTATCTACGAGGACTTGCACGCGGATGCAAAACAGTACCCGAAGTTGCAGACGACGTTTTGAGGTCGGGATGGCTAGGCTTTCGTTAAGCTATGCCGAGTAACTAGGCTATTCCTTTCTACACGGCATGGCGAGGGCGTGATGAGTTAGAGGTACTTGGAGGTGTCGAGACGGAGACATCAACCTTTGTTAGCACGATAGGTTTGGGTTACGAGCCCTCATAGTGTGGCTCAGAGAGTACAGACTCAGTCATTCGAAAGGTTTAAGAAAAGGAGCCTGTCAGTCACTGACGTAGCTGGCTTCCAATTATCTTCAATGTATGACGTTGGTCAGCTAGGCTGCTAACACGGCGGCAACGATATATTTCACCAGTAGCTGAAGGATGAGGGAATGGAGCAAAGTGGAGTGTTAAACAAATGATATTATACCCCGACAGACAGAGCTTTCGCATTCAATCTCTTCTACCCTTAATACATCCCACTTTCTCGTATAGTTAGGTGATTGCCGAACATAACATGACAGAGCAAACAAAGCAAACAAGGAGAAAAAAAATTTAATAGGGAAACGGGAATAACCAGGGGAGAGAGAAAAAGACAACCAAAAAAGGAGAGGGTCAAAGTGGCATGGGGAACCACTTAAGAATATCCCCCGTACCCTCCAGAGCTTCCACCTCTTCCGTGCCCCCCACTTCCACCACTTCCACCGTCTCCGTAGTACGCCCCGTACCCCCCAACTGGAGGATCCCAATCATCTAGATAGGGATTCTCTTCAGCATAACCAAGTGGGTCTCCCGCACCAAGATACGAGGGCTCCGAGGGGTAGGGGGGTCCCGTGGTGTAAGAGAGCCCCACAGCGTAGGAGGGCGCCGCAGCGTAGGAGGGCGCCGCAGCGTAGGAGGGCGCCGCGGCGTAGGAGGGCGCCGCGGCGTAGGAGGGCGCCGCGGTATAGGAGGGCGGCCCCGCGGCGTAGGAGGGTCCCGTGGGGTAGGAGGACGGCCCGCCGGTACGGTACGGGAGCTCGATGGGCAGGCGCCGGTGGGCGGTTGAGCTAGGTCCGGCGCCCGCGCCAGCGCCCGCGCCCGCGCGGCCGGACCGGAGGTTGTATCGCTGGGGGGCGTTGGTTGCCGGGGCGGGTGGGTTGTTGCTGGTAGGCGGCGGAGTGTTTCTTGCTGAGCCAGACGGGCTGTTGCCGGCACGCGGCGGGGAGCTGCCTATTCGGCCAGATGGGCTGTCGTGAGGGGATGTGGTTGCAGGGATCTTCTCGGGCCGTCTTGGCCGCAGATTTGCCATCTCCGGGCTTCTTCGCCGTAGGGCAGCTCGAGTGGTTGGCTCTTCTTTTTTCGAAGGGCGGACTGGGAAGGAGTATTCTGGCCGTTGTTCATGAATTAGTGTCCTGGATAGCAGACGGGGACGAACATATCCCGAGCGAAGAATTAATTAGAACAAGCTCACTCTCTCTCTCGGTAAAGTCCAAGATATATCCCGTCGAAATTTTCCTCGCTGGCACGTTGTTGCGTCCGTCTTGAATCAAGTAGGGTTTCCCGGCCTGTCGGTTACCGAGGGGGTCGTCTGGGTTCTGGTAGAACTCCACCACGCCCCCAAGAAGAATTGATTCCCAGCATCGGCCAGACTCGCCGTCGTTCCCGTTCTCGTACCCTACCATGCAGACCGATCTGGGAGTTGCGGGTCGAGCCGTGCCTGTCAGGTAGCCAATCAAGAAGTGGACGATTTCGTGCGCGACTGTTATGCCCATCTGGAACTTGAACAGGCTATAGGTATCTTTGCGAATGTCGGCCGGCTGCTGGCGAGCATAGACCATGTCGTTAATGATTACTCTGCTCAGGCGCAACGCCACAGCATATTAGGGGTCGTATTGGGCCATGTCTGTGCCCCAGTCCTCCTTGACTGCGATGGCTTCCCCGTCGGTTATGGTAAGGAAAGTGTAAGGAAAATTCTTTCTGGTCTTGTCCAAGAACTCATCGATACATTTCGGCATCTCGTTCATCGGCCGCTTGTACAAGTGGGGGACGGGATTCTTTGCACTGTTGCGTGCCACAACGAACCGGGTGGCAACGTCGACAAGACTCTGTCTGCCTTTGGGAGTCTCGAGAATGGAAAGGGCCATGTCGATTATGGCTTCCACAACTTTGAACCGGGTGGAATCGGGAGACAATTGGATGTAAGACTTGCCGACCTCATCGGTATATACCAGGAGGTTGCGAACTCGAGTCTTGGAGGACATGGTGAGACAAATGGTATGCTATGTTGCTTACAATGCCAAGCAAGTAGAGGCCAACACGGAGGAGTTGACACTGAATGAGGCCGAAAGGTGTAGTGGTCTGAAAACGGTGGTCTTCTAAGAGATGCCAGGGATGCTACTGCGTGACAAACACGCAGAAAGGCTGGAAGGGGGTGGATGGCTTTCAACAAGACAAAAATGAGAATGAACCGAGAGAGAGTCGCACTGATGGGCTAATTGATGTGTCGAGAAGAGCGAGCAGAGGGCATGGGCCTTTGCTACTTAAGCAACATCACAAACACGCAGAACGTACCGATGAACTAGCTTTGCCTGGTCAGATTTTGCGAGACTGATCAACAGAGGTGACAGACGGCCAACCAAACCCAACTTGTTGGTTTCGCACTGATGCTATTTCTGTCTGTCTCAGATGTCATGTCGGTCGCGGGGAGGGCCGGCGGCTTTTCCATCATGAGTTGAGCTACGTCGTTGGCTTTAGATTGGCCAAGGCAACAATACAAGCGAGAATCAATGTAAACTTCACCAGCTTTGCGGTCCTGGCCGGCAGACACGACTGTCCCGGGGCAAGCTAATTACATACTTGTGGAGGCTGTGTTTGGTGGTTGGGGGATAAAAATGGTCGTTCTCAAGCGCCCAACGCGCACAATGTTGCAAAGAGCGCATGGGCATGGGAATAAAAGGCTCCAGGCGCACCTTGCTGTGACTTGTGGCGCTGGCCAGTATGCCGACCGGCATTCTGGCGCGTGTAATTAACCATCAGGCGCTTGGATACGGAATGTAGGTACTTCCATTGGCTCTCGTCACGATAAGATTGACAGTATCTTTACAGGGGCAGGCAAGCGCTGGTCTCGTCACATTACAACATCAAAGGATGTACTTGGCGCTGCGTTGCGGCAGGAGAATCCATGGATCATCGCCATGTACCTAACTTAATTAACGCCCACCGACTTCCATTGGGATGTCATTGGACCACAGTCATGCAGCTTGCGGCAATGTGACTTCCTGCCTCAGGCCTCATCAATCGAGATCAACGACACTGCCCCGCCTCTGATTGCCCGCCTCAGACAGCGCTCCCCGCCACCTCTCCAAATTCCCATATCTCATGCACGGTTATTATATTTTCAATACTGCGGCATCAACAGAATTGCCACGCCCTGTCCTGTCCAAGCCCGGCAGCCCACCTTGAAGCTCTGACTAAATCACCACAACCCTCTACCCCGTCGCTTGCGCTTTTGTTCCAGACCTTCTGATTAAACCTGCAGCCTAACATGGCGCCGGAAGCGTATGCCGGGAACATGGCAGCCCCCATTGAGAGGATCAAGTCCTCGATCGATATGACCTTAGGGGGCCCCCATCGAGACATCTTCGCTCGTGCGGTATCCAACGTCCTTGCGACTGAGCTCGCGAAGATTACCTATGCTCAGATCATTGATGGACTTCCCCTAGCCAGCGTTGCCGAAGAGACAGAATCTAATTTGCTGCCGGATCGGCACCCACTTTTTGATGTGCACACGGAGCTTTGCCCCGGGGTTTTGGAAAAGACCGAGGAGTTCCGGGCCCAGTTTGATCCTGGCTCCCTAGAATTGGATGCAAATGTAAGCCGGATTCCGCAATTCCACAAGATAACCATGCTTTACTAAGACCGCCTTCCAATTAGCTGATCAACGCGTACCGGGTCGCCTCGCCCGGATCAAGAGCGTTCAAGACACGACTAATTGAGATGATAGCCGTAGCGATACACGAGATCGCCGTCCAGCTGTTCAAACTCGGGACAAGTCTTCATACCAACGACCCCATTGCTTCGTGGGTTCCGGCTAAGGATGACATGTTCTGGAGGTTTTTCCCGCAAGGCGCCTGGCCCACGCTCTTCCGTCACCGCTGGTACGTCGACGACGACCAGTACCCCGACGGCGTTGCCGACGTGGTGGGGTACTGGGCTGAGGCGCGCATCTTGGGCGGTGTCGTTCTCTTCGACAGGCGCGACCCGGCGACTTGTCCGGACGCGCAGCCCGATTCTATCTGGTTCCATTCTGAACGCGTCGACGTGACCTATCGGATGTACCAGCTCCTCGACGAACAGAAGCAGCAGCTCCTTGACTTTTTGACGTCCGAGTCTCCGGATCTCAACTTGCTCCCGATTCTCGGCGACGAGAAAAACACCCGGCGAGAGGACCCAGAGGAGCCCCTCGAAAACACTGGCATCTACCGCAACATATATGAGCGCAAGCCGCTCGGGGAAGATGATGGGGATTACAGGTACAAGGATGTATGGGATAAGTTTGAGTTCCCTACGACGGCGGACATGATGCGGGCCCGTGGCCGGGCGTATGATCGCCGCGCCGGACCTTATCACCGGAGGTGATAAGATAGATAACCCACTACCGAGTACCTGATTATTCATAGCCCGGACCTCCCATTGTTACTCCATTTTACGTATAGGTATGACGAAAAGTCGTGTCTTAGCATGCCGGCCCTTGATGATTCTATTTTCTCTCGGTCTCCGTTTGATACACCGTGGAAAAGGCTTCTTCACCGCGAAGGGCAAGGGAAGCGACGACAATACTAAGGGAGATAGAAGGGCTTGACACGTTTCGTGACCGTGGAAATACCCTGGCTCTAGGATAGAAGACGGGGTCTGGTGCTGTGAAGGGGCAACGGAGATGAGAATAGGAGCCGGCAAGGATCCGACCGGAGACCGGAGCGCAGCCGAGATGGAAACTAGCCTAGTCCCCGGGATTTGCCCGGCGTGCAAATCCCGGCGTGTTGGTGGACGGATGAGGCGGAGGATTTAGGGCAAGGCCCATCCCCAAAAGGTCAGATCCCGCCGGCCCCATGATGCTTGCGAAAAGGACTCATAGGCACGACGGGACAAGCCTCGAAGCAGGACCAAAGCATTCCGCGGCGGACCGCGGAGTTCCGTCGTCCTTGGAGCTTGGCGCAGGCAGCACGAGAATTTGCAGGAATCAGGAGGAAGGGGTATTGCGAGAAATCCCGCAAGTTAATGAGTGAGTATCCTGTAGCCATTGACGTCATGTGGAGATACCTGGAGCTCTAACGCAGCCAATCCGAGCGGGCATTTCCGCACTTGATGCGCTTAGCATGAGCCCAGCCCGCCCCGATTCTGGACCACTGCACACATCAGGCCATTTCCAGAAGTCGACCCACTCACAGGTCTCGCCACTTCCGGACGACCTGGGAGGTATTGTGGTACAGCAGAAGTACTACGTACCATGTGAGGCATCGCCGATTGGCAATGAATTGGCCAGTTATTATGGTAGAGGAGCCCTGGAGGGCGGTTTCGTTCGCCAAGATTGCATTTTCTGATGTCACCGAGGCGTACCCCCGAGGGAGGCCTTGTATATGAGCAGAGACCGAACAATCTCGAGTCCTGTCTGTCAGGTCACGGGAGCGAGCTGTGACAATATTGTAAACAGGCGGGACTGACAGGATGAGTCTTGGACATTCACATGTAGCTGGACGTACGAACTATCCGGAGGAGTAGGTACCTTCGTCCAAGAGCTTGGCTCAGAACTTGGGGACGAGCGATGACTTAACACTCGGGTCAAAGGTACTGTACATTTTTGTATAGCCAAGCCAGTACCGCCAATGCACCCACTGACACAGCGGCAGTGGCAGCAGCAGGAGCGGGCCTCTCCGCCGCCTGGCCAAAGTCTCGAATGTCTCGAATGTCGATTGGCGTCATAGTATCATGGGAAATGGCATGGCCTCGGAACCCATCGCACCTGCATTTGGCCCATACTATGCTATGCCTTGTATTTTCTTTTTCCCGATGCTTGATCTCGATGGATATTGGGCCCATGTCTGGCCTGGATTGCCTCTGCACTCGTACGACGGACGACAATTAATCGTTTGTTGCCCAGTCGGTTCTCCCAATTGCCCGCCATTACCAGCCCTTGCAAGCCCAATCCACGTGCAAGTCTGGGCGCACTGCTATTTAGTTTTTTTCTCTCGTCGTCCTCGCCCAGACTTGCCGAGCTATGCCGAATGGGCCGGCGACTGGTAAAACGGGGCTTCCTCATGTCATCCCGCATCCACCCAACACCTACTAATAGGTAGACTTGGGCCCTTGACAAAACGTCACAGAGCACGGAAGAAAACACTAAATTCCTCGTGAAAGACAAACCAAACATCTAGCATTCCAAGTCGAGGCACCTGGAACACGAATACCTACCTGCTCAACAACGCCCTGCGACTTGCAAACACGCCCATTCCAGCTCGTCGGCAGCTTGGAAGCATACCTATCTATTGTACCACAGCCCCGCACCCGATCAAGCTTATCCAGCTTGCCTCCCTAGCTACCTACGACCTACGTAATCATGGCCAGCTCCACCCTCAACCAACACCCGCTGGCATTACCGTTTGACACTTTCTCCCCGTACCAAACAAGACAGCAGGTCAGTAAACCAATCAATTGATTGCATGGGCTCTCTCTCCCAGGCCGAATGGCTAGAACGGTGGTGGCACTGCAAAAGGTTGGACTGAACCCCAGCCCAATCAATGCTCCGTGGCAGCAGCACCACCACTCTCCAATGGATGCCCCTCATTTCAACATGCTTCTCGAGGCTGCAGCATCCAGAGCTAAAGCTGACTCTCCGTGCCGCAGACATACGCCGACTTCTCACCGGCATCATTATACAGCCCGTTGGAAGACTTCGGAACGGACTTCACCGACTCGGCAGCATCCCCTGACTCTTCTTCCATGTCGCCTACCTTTGCCAGCTCCTACTCCCTGCCCCAGGACAATGACTGGATGACATGGGACGCAAAGGTAGAACGCTCGCCCGAGTCCGACTTCCTCAAGCCAGAGGCATTTGACAGCCCGATACTCGCCTCAATACCGCCACACAACGTGTCTATCAGTCCCGCTGTCAATCCCATGGAACTTGGCAACTCGGCTGTGGATGACATTGTCGTGTTCGGCCACGAGGGGATAAACGACACCCAGCCGCTATTCCAATCGCTGCCGCCGCTATCGCGATCATCCGAACCAACATCGGCCATCTCCCGGCCATCACCGGCGATCAAGACCTCGCCCGCCCCCTCGCCGCGGCTCGCTTCCCGGACCCCGGCCCGGGGTCAACAAGGAACGAAGCGCTACCCAAGCCGAAACCTCAAGCGCAAGTCCTCAGGGTCGACACCGACATCCGGCGATGAGTGTGAGGGTCTCTCCCCCTCGCAGCGGTCCTCAGTCTCTCCCGCCCCACGGGTACGGCGGGATTCCAAGGAGCCCAGGGAGTCGTCGGCGCTGCCCAAGAAGACGGCGCACAACATGATCGAGAAGCGGTACCGCAACAACCTGAACGACAAGATCGCGTCGCTCCGCGACGCCGTGCCGGCGCTGCGTGTCATGGTGCGCCGGATGGAGCCGGCGAACAGCAGCGAGGAGGACGGCGGGGACGAGGGGGGAGCGGCGGCGCGGTCGGCGAGGCGGGGGTCACGCGCGGCGGGGGCGGGGGCGATGGATTTGGGGGGTTTGGCGCCGGCGCACAAGCTCAACAAGGCGACCATCCTCAGCAAGGCTACCGAGTATATTGTTCATCTCGAGAGGCGGAACCAGAACCTGGCCAGGGAGAACGACGCGCTCAGGACTAGGGTCGAGGGGCTTGAGATGCTGGTCATGGGCCGGGGACCCGCGGGGACCATGTGGAACCAATAATTTATGTGTGAGAAAAAGGACGGATTGCTTGGTGCATGGCCGCGGAGTTTCGTTTGGAAAAGGCGTCGTTATCGTTTGGTCCCCGGCATGGCGGGTTTTGGGAGTTTTCTGCTGGCCATGGGATGGCAGGCATTTGGGGGTTGGACACGGTTGGAAATGCTTGGTTAAGGCAGACACCATTCCACTTTGATACTTACTACGATTGTCTTCGTATACATAATAATTACCTTACAAGGGAGAGGTGGGGAAAAAGGGGTCGGACTCGGCGGATGAACCGGAGTAGAAGCCGAATATGATATAGAATCCCATCAACTGTTTGGCTATGCGTACATTGGTGAACCCTGAAGACCGCTGTTAAGATAACTCCGAGTTTGTGGTCGGAGCTTCGGCGGAAAAAGAACCACCGATGCCCGGGCATGCAACCTTAGGTTGCACAAATGACCCGCCCGCCACCAACTATTAAGATAAATCTCATCCAGATTCGCAGTTATGGGACACTCAGGCGTCCGCTCTCTTTCATTGCGAGGGCCCCCCCGATGCGGGCTTTTCGATACTTTGGTTACCGCCTGAGGGCTTCCCAGAGAAATACGACCCGCCATTCCAGCAGCAGCAGCACATTGACCGCATCGGCATCCGCCATTTTGCTCGCCACACCTCTGGCCATGGCTGGCTATTATTCCGTGACCGTAACCAAGCGGCCCGGCTTCGAGTCCGCACCGGACGATGCAGCCTCCAAGCCGCACCACGTCCTCTCGAGCAGAGGCACGACATCCAAGTTCCAGAACCCGCATCCATCGAATGGAGACGGAGTTGGCTTCTTGATCATCGTTAGCAAGTTCATCAAGTAGGTCGAGCAATCATCATCACCTCTCCGATAGACCCTGCCGCGCGCCTCCTTCTGACCTCGGATTCTCCCCCAACAGACTCCTGCTCAAAGGCGAAACCCTGCCCTCGCCCGACACGACCCCGCCGACGGTTCGCGTCAACAAGCCGACCTTCCTCCCCACCCGGCACGGCTCGGACAAGCTGCGGGCGACGTGGCTCGGGCACGCGTGCTACCTCGTCGAGTACCCGTCGGGCCTGCGGGTGCTGTTCGACCCGGTCTTCGAGGACCGGTGCTCGCCGTTCACCTGGCTGGGCCCGAAGCGCTACACGCCGCGGCCCTGCGACATAGCCGACATACCCTTCGTCGACGCCGTCGTCATCAGCCACAGCCACTACGACCACCTGTCGACGGGTACCGTGGCAGAGATACGGAAACACCACCCGGAAGCGCATTACTTCGTCGGCCTGGGGCTCGAGAAGTGGTTCCGCCGCGCGGGGATCGACAAGGTGACGGAGCTGGACTGGTGGGAAGATGCGGACCTGACGCTGGAGCCGCAGAGGAGCGGAGGCGGCGGGGAGGGGGAGGGGGAGGGGGAGCAACAGCGGGCGATGACGGCGCGGATATCCTGCCTGCCGTGCCAGCACAGCTCGGGGCGGACGGGGCTGGACCGCGACTCGACGCTGTGGTGCTCGTGGGGGGTGAGCAGCGCGGGGCGGTCCGTCTACTTCGGCGGCGACACGGGCTACCGGGCGGTGCCGCACGTGGCCCGCGGCGTCGACGACTGGGGCGCCGAGTACGCCCACCTGCCCGTGTGTCCGCAGTTCCGCCAGATCGGCGACCTCCGCGGGCCCTTCGACCTCGGCCTGATCCCCATCGGCGCGTACGCGCCGCGATACGTCTTCTCGCCCATGCACGCTAACCCGGCTGATGCGGTGGAGATCTTCCGCGATACGCGCTGCAGGAATGCCGTGGGCATCCATTGGGGCACGTGGGTGCTGACCGGCGAGAAGGTCCTCGAGCCGCCCGCGCTGCTGCGCGAGGCCATGAAGAGGCGGGGACTGCCCGAGACGGGCGTGTTTGATACGTGCGAGATCGGCGAGAGTAGGGAGATTTAGGGAGTTGCCGATGTAAACTTGTATCCTGCCCCAGCCCTGGCCTTTGCAGCCCTGGCCTTTGAATTATCGTAGCGGGCGGCGTTGGATTTATAACTTTCTGCTAGCGTTAATTTTTGGGACGGGATCATCTCCAATTGACTAACATCTGATTAATGGAAGCCCTCTCTGGCTGATTATACAATCTTGACCACCGCCACCTCGCCAGCCGACTTGGCCATTTCTAGCATCGACCTGTTGCTGAACTGCCGCAGGAACAGCTCGGCGAACCCAAGTCGCTCATAGACGTGGCATGGCACTTCTGCATCGTCGTCGTCAATCCGTCTCAGGACAAGGAAACACAGCACGTCAGTGGGACGCGCCTGGCCGATGAGGAAGCAGTACACGGTCGACCCGGCGCTCACATGCCCCGGCCCCGCGAGTGACGGGTCGTAATCCGCGTGCTGGTTGCCCATCCACCCGCGGAGAAGGCCGAGGTCAAGGATCTGCCAGGGGGGTGCCTCCGGGGTCCCTGCTTGGGCTTTGTAGAGGAGGTCTGTCGGGACTAGCAATCCTTTCAGTTGGAGATGTCCTCCGATCAACTGCCCCGTCGGGTCCGTGCCGACCGGGGTACAATGCGCTTCAAGGACTTGGCAGGGGTGGATGGGGTCCTCGACTGTCATGAAGCGTACCGGCCCTATTACCGACGCCCAGGACCAGGTCGGGGCTCGCCAACGGCTTGGCCTGCTCTTTGGTGCGACCTCCGACGACGCAGACGGAACCCGACGGGACGGGACGTACCAGCACAGGTCTGCGAGAAGAGACGTCTCCCACAGCCCGGCGAGATACCCGCTCTCCCTGACGCGGCCCAGCCCCTTCGCGAGCCCCGACGTGGCCGGGAACACGTCGCTCTCAAACGTCAGCTCCAGGCAGCTGTGGTCCTCCACCATGTCGTGCCAGCACCGCCGCAGCTCCATCTCGCTCATGTCTCGCCAGTGCGACGGGTTGTACAGCAGCTTGGGCTGCATCGTCTGCCCGCCCTCCGCAGCGTACTTCGCCATCGCCCGAGCGGCCTCCCGCGACCGCGGGGGCGTCTCGGGCCCCGAGCATTGGCACGCCGATTCCTCTAGGCACTCCCAGGCTAGCTCCTCGGCCGTGAAGTGCACCACCCGCGACGCGAGGAAGCGCTCCTGGAACGTCCAGCCGCGGGAGAAGACGGGCAGCGCGGAGGTCTCCTCTGCGGCGGCCGGGAGGGGCTGGGCGGTGTGCGTGAAGCGGATGCGTGCGGATACTTCGTCGATGGGGTATGAGTCGCCGTCGTCGTCGTCGCGGGGAAGATCTACCGTCAGCTTGTGGGGGGCGAATTTGGGAGCGACGGTGGAGAAGAGGCCGTCGCCTGCGGCGCCGGACTTGGCGGCTGAGATGACGAGGTATGACCCCTGGTAGATGGAGGCCATGTCGGCGGCCTCGCGACGCCAGTCTTCGTCGGAGTCTTGGATGATGCATAGGCTGTCTATCCAGAGGTAGCGCAGGCCGAGCTGGCGTGTGACATCAACGGCGTCCCGGTGGGTGGGCGGTAATTTGTCTGTGGGAATACTGACTCGGTGGTCGTGGAGGTTCGCTGTGACTGTCTGCAGGAATGGTTGCCGTCCCCAGCAGTAGCTCAGGCTGGCGTACCGTCCCATCTCACGGTCCGTCTCGTACAGGCGGATGGTGCCGCCTGCATTCTGGCCGATGTCGAGGATGCGTCTCGGTAGCGGTGAACCCGACTGTGAGGTGGTGCATTTGGTGTGCGTGCTAACGCATCTGTGGAGTTGGCGCGACGCCCACTCTAGACTCTCTCGAGAAGATGTTGTCGCCGGGATTTCATACCCCCTTGGACAATTGGGCAACAATTGGGAAATCCTCGGCGATGGTTCTGCGCTTGGTGTGAGTCTGCGGCGTGTAGCCGGGGTAAGAGGAGAGCTTGTGGTCAGGTAGGCACTCACCTTCCGGCGTGAAGAAGGACACCGTTTTCAGGGAGGGGAGAAGCCTGAGCTCGAAACTTTTCGTTCCGCGGACATTGAAGTCGAGACGAAGGAGCTCGTCGCTCTGCAACCCGAGGGAGGGCATGCAGGCTTGGATGCCCTGGAGGAGGATCGCACAGCTGGCGCATCCGGCGCGCGAGTTCTCCTCCATAACCCCTACGTTGGTGACGCCATGCGTGGCTATGCTCTCTGCTGGCCGGGGGTGGTAGCAGCCTTTGCATTCTGGTTTGGTGGTTGACGAAGCCATTGTTCTTCTGAGCTCCGGTAGAGAGGCGGGCAGAGTGAATGCGACGGATGGAGAAAGGGGAGAGAGATTCCTGGAGAATTTGAGTGGGTAAACTTCCTGCATGGGGATGCCTGCGCGGATAGAGATGCTGGTCCAATTGGGCATCCAGTAAGCATTAGAGTCGCCGATCCAGGGGCCTTGATTGGGCCCTAGTTCGGCTGGGGTTCATCGGACCGGCGACATCCGGCCGCGGGAATCCGGCGCCCGGGAAATAATACGACGGCGCCAGGAGGCCCGGTGTCAGCGCCACTTGAGGTGGCAGATGGCGGACAAACGCCGTGTACACCTCACTCAATCGAATGTGGTTGCGGCAGGGGAGGTCAGTCTCTGATTCGCTGGGTTAAGCGCCGAAAGATGAAACATGTACCGGCATTTTGGAAAGCGTTGCCAATCCGCGAGAGACCCCGAAATTGCCATTTTCACTCCTTTTGCTGCTCATTTCTTTCCCTTGTCGTTTCTCCTGACATCCGGTTGTGGATAATTTGCGTGTCTTAAATCACATGCCCGCAACCAGCACCCGAACTGGCGCCGCGACGCTGAGGCTGCGCAAGGAGCCAGTGGTCATGAGGTGGCCTGCCGCAGGAGTTGCGACAGAGGAAATAGGATCAGGTGGGAGTTCAATCGGCTCCGTCGGTACCGTGTCAATTGCGCTTGCGTTGTGGAGAGATCTTCGTAAGAGTCCTGTGAACGGCTTCTCCTCGAAGCTGGACATCGCTGACAAGAGCGCCCACGTTAGCCGAGTGGCAGCAGTAAGCAGCAAACGAAGACTGAAAGTCAGTCTTTGAGACACGATGCTAATACAGCCAACTAAGGGAGGGCAATCATTACATTGAGACTGGATATAGGTTTGCTCCCCCACATGGAACTCAGGCTTCAACAGGCCACTAACGTCGGAGCGAATCATGTAGGAAAGCCACTGCCTCGATTCGAGACTGCCTATACAGCTGGACTTATCTGCACAATGAGACGGGTAGCTTACCACCATGGTGACCATTTACCATCTTCTCTGTCCCGAGCTGACCGTCCGTTGGCCAGTCAACATATTTTCCCATGTTATTGGGTCACTTCTGTTCTTTGCGATCCCAGTATTTGTCTTCAACGTCGAGGTACCCCCGCGATATACCGTCGCCACGGTTCCGGACAAGATAGTCTGCTCTATTTACTTCATTGGCGTTGCCATCTGCTTCGTCTTCTCCGCGACGTAAGTTAATTGCCAACCAAAACCCCCGAAGTGCCCATCGGAGCCACTGATCTTCTTGCAACAGCTTCCACACGTTCCTGTGCCACAGCCACAGGGCTTTCTCACTAGGCATGAAGCTAGACTTCCAGGGCATCATCCTGCTCATGTGGGGGGCGAACATACCTCTGATCTACTACGGCTTCATCTGCGACGCCAAGCTGCAGATCGTCTACTGGGCCCTCACCTCGTTCCTGGCCGTCTGTTGTTCCATCTTCACCTTCCAACCAAGGTTCAGCGAGCCACACCTCCGACCCCTTCGAGCCGCCACGTTCGGCTCGTTGGCCATGTCGACCTTCATCCCCGTCGTGCACGGCATTGCTGCCTACGGATACCGAGCCCAAAACCGACGGATGGCTCTGCAATGGGTGCTGTGTACTCTCGTGTTCAACTCTCTGGGCGCCGCGGCGTATGCCTTCAAGGTGAGTCTCAGTCAGGCATGGGATGGATGCGCGGGGTGTTGGGTTACAAGTGCTTATCATGCATTACCCACGACAGTTCCCGGAGAAGTGGTTCCCCCGCCGCTTCGATATCTTTGGCGCGAGCCACCAGATCATGCATATCATGGTCCTTGTCGCGGGTATCGCGTATACATTTGCTGTCCTCGAGTCGTTCGACTTTCTTCACAGTCATCCGGACGCGTGTCAATAGGTAGACACGTGGTTGGGCTAAAGACGGGAAATAAAAGCAATAAGGGATATCTACCTATAGGTACATGCAAGTACTTCCGTCTGCTGTCGAGTGTACTGTACATATGATTGCTGTCGCTATTGCCTCTGCTGTCATCGGTATTGCAGTCGCTGTCCATCGCTGCTGTCGTATCGCTGTCCATCTCTATTGCCTCGCTGTCTATCGCTATTGCCGTTGCCATCACCATCGCTGTTGCCGTTGCCGTCACCGTCTAATATCCAGGACCAACCCCCACCCCTAGCTCCCCTTTCGTAACCTCTCCGACGCCGTCTCCAGCAGGTTCCACAACCGATTGAGACTCTCATGCATCTCCGCAGGAACATTCTGCGAGTCCATCAACTCCTCCAGAATGCCATCAACACGACCTAGATCCGCCCTGCTCGCCCGGTTGGCCTCCCGGAGCCCGGCAATCGCACTCCGGAGCTCTGAAATCTCGGTCTCGGCTCGCTGGTTTCTTGCCTTTAGTCTCTCATTGGTTCGCCGCAGTTGGGTCTGATCGCTGGATGTGGTAATGCTGCTCGGCTGTGTGAAAGGGAGGGAACCTTGCTGGGTTGGTCCTGCCGATGCGGATGACATTGGCGTTGAGAAGCAGTTGCTGTTAGATTGGGAATCTGATGATGAGTTTAGTGGTTCGGTACTGGGGTACGTCCAGGTGGCTTGCGGGTGGATGAAGCTAGTGGTGGCTAGGAGGTCTGGAGGTTGCAGACGGGGTGCTGATTCGTAGAATGGGACGGAGAGGGTTTGAGATAGCATGAATGGCCTCTCTGGTTGTAGCAGGGGTGTTGTGAGGTCCGTAATCAATGATTGCGAAGATTCAACTCTAGTCGAAATGTGAGCACAAATTGTGAGCAAGGTTCTACTTACCGCCTTTATGCAGTGAGTGAAGGGTCTCACCCGTTTGTGGTTGATACATCCCCGGTACTGGTCTCAGGCTGAGGCTGTGAAAAGGATGTATTTATGAAATTCAAGGTCGGAATGGTCATAGATACGTCGTAGGCGATGTAATCTAGTACCAAGTCAGTTGCAATTGAGCGCCTGCCCGCTTCAGGAGTCCCCTTACATGGGTAGTAATGCGTGTTCAACCAGCAAAAGTCTCGTGTTTCCATGCCCGGAATGAGAAGCCGGAATAGCTTCCACCATGTATCCTCCTCGGACATGGAACCGCAAGGCTTCTCAACTTCGCTCTCGTGATCTGTATCCATGAAGAGTTCGCCCACTGGCCTCGGTCTCTCTTGGCATTTTGCAATTTTGATGTGCTCGTCTTGTTTGGTTTTGGTGTCAAAAGACCTCCAGCAAGTTGGACATCTGGATGAGAGCATATGCCTTCGGCTGAGGTGCTGTCTGGAGATCTGGTTAGCTCTTGCCCATCAGCATTTTGAAGACGGCAGGTGCTCTCCGGACATACCTCAACCGGTATATGCCATCACAACCCCCTTTTGGGTTCCTCGGTCCTCGACCCAAGCAGCCTTGGAATGGCTCGTACACTTGATACGGGCAGGCGAACCGTTGGATAGTCTTCTTCATCGCCGCATCTGGCGAATTCTGGCGTCGCCTTTTCCTACCACCACCCCGCCCGCCGCTTCCTCTTTCATTGGATCCCGAGTCCTGTTGACCGTTCCCTGAGGAGCCCGATCCCCCGGATGGACCTTGGACAGTATTACTACTAGGGTTACCCGGACTGCTGCCAGAAGACCCGGGGTTATTCCCCGACTCCTCCTCCCCACGCTGGCCGTCATCGTCCACCGGGCCTTCACCTTCGTCCGCTGAAAGTGGCTCGGAGGCTTCGGAATCGTAGCCATCGCCCGGTCTCGAGACAGACAACAGCTCGACCCGAATCCTTGCGATTCCCACTTGTCTGGCAGGGCGGTGGTCTAGGTTTTCAACTTCCCTTTGAGATTTAGAGTAGTGACTCTCGGCTGAGAGCTGTCCTGGCGTCTCAGCATCTGTCGGCTCTTCCTCAGAGGAAGATTGTCCTGGGCATTCGTCGGAAGGACCCTTGCCGTTGGGGTCCATACTAATTCCAGAGTCACAGGACAGGTCGGGCATATAATCTTTCTGTGAGGCCATCTGAGCATAACGGTCAGGTGTTTTCTCGTTGATCGTCGGGGATACGGGGGTAAAGTGCTCGAAAAACGCACGTGACGCCAAGATTGAATCTCCATGGCGGGAAGGAGCCGGTGGAGGGCTATCAACTGGAGAGACAAAGTTATCGGGAGTCAAGTCTTCCCTGGCAACAAGGCTTAGAAGGGGCAGAGCAATCTCCTCCATATGCTTGGCCAGATGATCGGTCAATTTCTTCCACGTTGTAAACGCTTTCCCACAGAAGCGGCAGGGTTCATCATGTGGCTTGGATCGCGATTGGTGATGGCACTTTTCCACCTTCTGCCAGGTAATAGGGTCCGTACTGCCGGCTCGTTTGGTCGGTCCCCCGGTGTTGGCTTTAGGCGCTGTGAGATTGTGTTCTCTGACGAGATGCTGGAGGAAGTCATCGCGTCGGTAAGACTTGTGTCGACAATCTTTCTCGTCACAGGCCCACCACCCGTGATGGCGATGGACCTCGTTTTCGTGCCTGGCCCAGTCGACCTTGCGTTTGAACCTCCGCAGGCACCCATCATAGGTGCACACATAGGGCTGAAGGTCCTCGATGATGTGCCTAGTCCAGTCCGATGGCCTCCAGATTGTTTTGACCTTGTAGCATGTCTGGCACTCCAGTTGAGCTGGTAGCCCCTCTGTCGGGGGCATCGGAATGCCCTTGGAAAAGTTCTCCTCTGCGACTCTGAATGTACCGGGTACCGGATCTGCTTCCTCATCCGAGTCTTTTACATTGATGGTCGTTGTCGGATCGCCCTTGGCGTGGAGAAGCCGGGGGCCGCCTCCGAGGGCAATGCAACAAAATCTAGAAGGACAATTCTGGGTTTCAACGTCGCTGACATGCTTGGTCCTTGCGGATACAAGGGAATCGAAGCGGGCGGTTTGATGGTGGGCAACGTTGTCGAGAAGATAGGCATTCGTGTGGCTCAACATTGGATTGAGCTTTCGCGCATGCTGCCGAAAACGGTCAAAGTCGGGGATGCAACCTTTAAAGAAATCACTGGTGGCAATCTCGGGTTCCAGACTGCCAGAGTCGCCGTCGCCGAGGTCTGACTCGCCATCGTCCTCGTTGTCGGGTTCAGTCACTGCAGGCTTGGGCACCGTCGACAAGCTGGGAACGGGAGGGCCACCGAGCGTCTTCCACATGCCGACGAGACCATCTTCGGGTTCCTTGGTCCTTGCACGCTTCAGAAATGCATATGGGGGAGACCTCTTCAGCAAGGAGCGCACGCCGTCGAATGCCGAAGGCTTTGATTGAGTGCGAGAGCCGAGGGAAAGCTTCTTTAGAAATAGCCCACTCGTAATGCCTTCAATGTCGTCCAATTCGGGTACGGTTCGACGGCGGGTGCCCCAGGTAGCTGCCCGCGAGACAACCGAGTTATTGTCGTCACACATGCTTTCGAATCTCGCAATCGCCGCATGCGAGGTCTCTGGCTGACTGAGTAGCTTCGCTTCGCCGACGTTCTCGATCTTGAAGAGTGCGGGCGCATCCTGCCAGGGTGCTGTCTCGCGCATGAGTGAGAGATCCACCGTGCTCAACTCGGGCCCGTCTTCGATGAAGTAGGTCTGGCCAGGGAGAGGCTTGTTCTCCGTCTCATCGCCGAGAGAGGGTTCTCGATCGTCGACCCCGACGAATATATCGCTCGTTGGTGGCGTCCGTGGCCCCCAGTCGTCGGTCACCACAGGCGACATCTCGTCTCGGGAGTGGCTAGTGTCGTGCCGTCCGACGTTGTCCTCCAGAGCAAAGCTTGAGTGGCCCAGCCAGTCGTCGACTTCGTGGTTCTTCTCTTCCACCTGCCGCCGCATCGCCATCTCATTGACACTGGCGATTGCCTCGCCGAGTGGGCGATTGAGAGGGTTCAGGCCTTTGCGCCCTGGGACATCATTCCAGCTTCCAGATCCCACCTCGGTCGTCCCAAAGAGACTTCTCCTCTCGGCCGGAACAGCCTCGACGACCGCAGACGTGTCGTGCGTCATTGCAATAATATACCAGACGCTGGGCGGGAAGGGCGACTGCAACGGTGCCCCTCGTCTAGAACCGGACCAGGACCGTGGAGCTGGCTTCCCAGGAGGCGGGAGAAAGTTAAGGTGGAGAGAAAGTGCCGAGGGGGAAGATTCTCGTCGTCAATGCATAATTAATTGCTGTGCACAAGTTGGCAAGGCCTCAATCCGGTTTGACTTGCGGTGCGGCTGAGCTCTGCCGAGTAGCACCATACCAAATGCAGACTGCTGCCTGCAGGCTTACACAACTTGTGTTGTCTTGTGTAACATAGGTAAAGAGTGCATCATTCGGGGTGTTGTAAATGGGGTTATGCTGTTATAGAGGCAAAATGGTGTCAAATATCAACAGTTTGCCGTATTTTCCCGTCTTCTACCTACAAGCCACATGAGGTGGTTCTTCTGACGATAGTAATGAGAGAGACACATGGAACGAAGATTCTGGGCGTTAATTACGACATGAATGGCGCTTGATGGGCAGTAACGAAACAAGAATGAGCCAAGATGATGTATGAAGGCCTCTGTTCAAGTCATCAGAGGAATCGCAACCCTTTCCGGCTCCGCTCAGCAAAGCGACGCATAATCATGCGCCTGTCAGGACCCTTCGACGCCAAAACCTGCTTCATAGCTTCATCCTCGGGGCTTAGAGCCATATGCATCCACTCGATGGCCATGATGGGCTCGAGATCGCCGTCGTGGCCCATCATGGCCGGATGCTTCGTCATGTCGTAGAACGAAGTGAGAGTCAGTTTGCTATCCGGACCAATCTTTCCGAGGTTTTGGCACGAGGTCGTGGACGAGATGTGCGCGATGTGGTCGTCGCTGCCGTGGTCGTGTTCACTGCCGGGCTCGCCTTCCTCCTCGCCTTCCTCCTCGTCATCATCTCCTCCGTGCTCATGCTCCATCTCGTGACCGTACATGCCCACATGGCTGATGTAGCCCGCGCTCTCACCATAGTTGGCGACGCTATCGCACACCATCTTGCCGTCCAGGAACACCTCCTGATGGATATTGCCGTCATGGACATGGCTAGTCATTAGGTAGAGATCTCCGGTAAAATTTGGCGACCAAGGCGACTCCCTCGTAGCGTTGAACACGTCGGCTTTCGGAACAAGGGGTCCCGCCTGACTCGGACAGTCCCCTTTCACATCGAGCCAGATGGGAACGTCCAGGTCGAAACCATCAGGGATCCCAGCCAGATATTCCCACTCGATGGTCAGGTAGACGGTGCGACTGAGCTCCGACTCGTTCATGAGTTCGGTGGCGAGCATAATTCGGTCGTTTGGGCCGAAGTAGTAGCCCACCTTCCGTGTCCTGCGACGGCTGTCAGATTCCGCAAGCCATTAAAGGGGGATCACGACGCACCCTCCAAGAGTCAGGTCGACATTGGACCTCTCGTTGCCGTTCGAAAGAAACCTCTCTGGCCAGCTGGTGCAAACCACATCGGCACGATTCCAATTCCCGAGACCGATGTGGTGCAGCCACATCCCCTTATCGGCATTGGCTGTCGAGCCGTCCTCGAAGATGAGGTCGGGCACGGTGCCAGTGAGCAGGCAGTCCTGGCATGGCATTAGGGCGTTCATGTTGACGAAGGTCGTCATTCCGTGGGTCGTTGGATCGTCGATGCCGGGCACGTTGTATGGCCCGTACGTGATCTTGACGCGCTTCGCGTCCAGGTCCTTGAAGAACTTTGCCTCGAGGGGCTCGACTTTATTGGCTGCAGGCTTCAGTGAGAACCTATTCTCGGTCATCTGTCAAGAATGCATGCGCGCGCGTACCACTTGGGCCATCTCGTGCCTTCACGGCTGCCCCGAGGCTGCCCCCAGCGAAGCCGGAGACAAGGAGAGCGGCGCTAATCTTCATGGTCAACACGGTTTGCTGGCAAAACAGGAAAGACTGACTGCGCTTCTAATAGCAGTGCGCAACGTTATGAAAGGCCATGGTCAAGATTAAATAACCCATTGTCCAATATTATCCAACATAACCCGTCTTTGGAAGGCTAATTAGCACGTGTATAGGATCTGCAACCCGCTGCCCGAACCAGGCTCGACCAGCCTATATGTTGTCCGCAGCTTGATATTGTGAAAGAACTCTACCCCCCCCCCCGCTTCTCGGATAGTGAGCAGATGCCGACGAGGCTCAAACTTGTACATGTTGCAAAGAGAATAGATCCTTTGCATAAAGAAGCCGGCTTATGAAAGAACTTTAAGACTGCCGGCAGTTAGAGCGAGCACTCTACGTATCAAGATCAACCGCGAATTCGGTAGATATCAAGCGGTTGTCGGCAGAATTCCCACACCAGATTCGGCGAACCAGAAGAGAGGGGATTCCGTCACACATTCCTCCGACGGAGAGGTGATTCGCCTCTGATGGCTGCGGGACTTCGTCAAGAGTCGCGGAGACCTCATCGCATCAGCCAGCGTGAACCGCAACGAGCGGCAAGTCGCCAAAAGCAGGGCATGCAATACTTAGGAGGCGGAATATTGTCGTACAGTAGGGGAGACGATGGTTTCCGAGGGACTTGAGTGGGCTTCATCGACGAGGTCCTGAATACGATCGCAAGCATTGACTTCAAATCCACCCGCATCCAACTACTTAATGTCGGCTCCGTTGCCAACCCCCTCTATGCATGACTAACGAGGGCTATGCGATCCAGACGATCGACTAAATCTACGACCGCAGCGGCTCCGACGGGCAACCAGAAGTCTCCCTCATCGACGCCATGGACTACGAGGGCTGGCGGCACCCCCATCACCAATACCATCCTCCGCCGCAATCCCGGACGCACCGGCCATCCGCTTCGGTATATGGTCCGACAATGCCCGTAGCGAGCTACAAAGTTGGATTTAATCACCGGCACTGGCCATTGGCGGAGATGCTCAGAGCCTGAACGGCGGCGATACGAGCACGCCATCAACAGAGGGTCGGTAGATCCTTGACGCTGTTGAACTCCATACCGATCCGTACATTGCAAAATCCATTGCATTCGCTAACTAACGGATCATGGGACAACAACACGGTGGTTTCGAGTCCCATTTGCCGTAGAATGTAGAATGGGAAGCAATATGGGTAACACGCAATTGGCTTCTAGCGTCCCGAGCCGTAGGCGTATCAGGGGTCACCGTCAAAGTGGCGTGCGGGGAAGCTCCTTACTCAACGAGTGCCGGCGAATTGCTCATCGCTTCCTTTACTAATTGATGGAGTGCGATAGGCTGTGCATCTGCATCCCTCGTCTACTCATGTCGGCGGGCGTCCAGGTTTCGCCCAGTTCAGGGGATTTTTAATAGCCCCATACTATACCATAGGTACCGTCAAATAAGGTTGACTGGTAGATCACCAAGGTGGGTACGACGCGCGTTGTACGTGGGTAGCTTCCAAGGTAACTTAAGCCGAGTAATAATCCCAGCCAAGACGGACGGAAGTCGGAGGTCATAAATATAACAGTAGGGTTGGCGACGGGATTGAGGCAGGTCCACCATTCGTGCTGGTTTCAATCTAAAGCAGTTGGAACTGCAAGGATACTTCGCTGACACGACAACATGGGTTTGTCCAACATGCTCATCTTCTTGCTCCTGGTCATTCCGTCGGGTCTGGCCCACCCGTTTGGCATGGAGGAGAAGGTTTACCTCCATAACGCCCAGCCGCAGTACCGTCGGTCCTTGTCGCACTGCCAGTCGACATTGGAGAACCCCGAGTTTGTCAAGAGGACAATTGCACGCCGGCAGTCCGAGGTCAACAGACTGAAGAAGGAGCGTGGGCTAGAGCATCAGTAAGTTTGGCGACGCCCGGGTGAATTTGGGAAAGATGAACCCAACCATCCTAATTATCGCACCCCTCCAGTCCTATCGTCCAGGGACGCCAGATAGACAGGTTCCTGAAGGATCACCAAGTCGATAAACCCTTCAACAAGGACACCAAGGCCGCCGACCTCTTTGCTGATGATGGGACGTGTATGATGGCACAGCTGGTATCCGAGGGACCGCTCTGTGAGTGCCGAGCCACTACTAATCTGCTACCCAAGTAAAGACTTGATGCCTGATACTTGCTCCGCAGATGTCAGCGGCGAGCAGATTCGGCGAAATCTGACCGAGAACGAGAGGGGTATTCCGTTGACTCTGGATTTCCAGGTCGTGGATGCTAAGACCTGCCAACCGCTGGAAGATGTGGCCGTCGACATCTGGGGCTGTAATACCACTGTGAGCTTAGGGAGACCTATACCTAACTATGACTCCTCAAATTTGCATGTTACTAAAGCTGACCGCCTATGATAGGGTATCTATAGCGGTGTCTGGACTTACTACAGGATGCCAGATCACGGCGAGGGTTATGACCGATCCGTGATTAACGCTACGGCCCTTCGAGGGATCCAGTTTACAAACGAGGAGGGCGTTGCCACTTTCGACTCCTTCTTCCCAGGCCACTACCAAGGCCGAGCGGTGCATATCCATGGTGAGCTTGCTCCGCTAGAGTCGGGTGTTGCCCGACCGTGACGGGTCTACGACTCTAACCAGCCCTGCGTCTCCCCTAGCGATGGTCCATAGCGGCGTAAAACGCGAAGACAACGGCACCATCACTGGAGGCAACATCACTCATATTAGCCAGATGTACTTTGACCAGTCTCTCATCACCGAGGTCGAGAAAACGGCGCCGTACACGGACAACAAGCAGGACCTAACACTCAACCGTAATGACGGTCTCCTGCGCCAAACTAGCACCGCCACTGCCGACGATCCTTTCTTCCGCTACGTCATGCTTGGCGACAAGATCGAGGACGGCCTTTTTGCTTATATCCGGCTAGGCGTCGACACGTCGTCCGCGTGGACCGTTAATCCGGCGGCCTTCAGGGATGCAAGTGGTGGACATCAGAACCCGAACGGGCCGCTGGGCGATGGATCGAAGCCGCCGTCCATACCCCCAAATCCGGGACAAGGGAAGATGCCGCCGCCTCAATAACATCAATGCGGTGAGGATGCGTAGAGAGCGGTCAAGATTGGTCAATTACTTTTAGAGAGATGTCTCCGTATGGCCACTATGATAGCAACCTGTTGGCGAAGATAACGCTTGAGGAGGCGACGGAATGGTGCCGTGTCTGGAGGGCGGAATTGCTGGTTGTTCTCGAAGTTTGCGACAAGCAAAACAGGGCGTCTCCTTATTTAAGCACCGTTTACAGCTTACACAGACACATACGACCATACCCATTGGAAAACTCGGGATCCCGTCCGCTCTCCCTTAGATAAGCCAGTGAGGGCCAGACTAGTAGTTGGGTCGGTGACGACCAGCGAATCCCTGGTGTTGTATGTTTTTTGCCCCTTTAATCTTTTTCTTGGTTTCAGAGAGAGTGTCTTTTCCCCCAATCCTCAGTGACCTTTCCTCCGCAAAACCAGGTTAAGCTTGTCAGCTCCTCAAGCTCCCCGATCATGCTTTCGCCAGCGCCATAAAACGTGACGACAAAGAACTTGGGACTGGATCTGCATGGGGGCTTTGTCACCGCCAAGGCCGCGCGCGTCTCCCGAGAACTCGCGTCTGCCAATGGCATGCTTCTCCCTAGGTTGAGGATAGGGTTTAGAGTGTTCTAGCCGATCAGATAATCAAAGGTGCAAATGATAACGGTACGGTCAAAAGAGCGCCCGTGGGCCAGCAAAAAACTTTCAATGTTCTCCAGTGCCATTGTTAGCTGTGTAATACGATAAATGGATCGAGAGCGAAGAGAGGTGTTTAAATTTGAATGGCAAATAATTATCCATAAAAGTTATCCATAGATCCGTCCCAGTGGACTCTCGTTTCCCCACATGGAGGTTAAAACTAGAGACGGCATACATGTGGGGCGGTCGAGGTATCCGAGGGTGTGGGGTAAATAGGGGGTAAACTGGGTCGGGTCGATGCTATTACTACAGCCACTTGGATATTCATGTGAAAAATCACAGTATATGGATTACCCAAGCATCGTGCCGCAGACTTTTCGGCAGCATCAAAGGAAGCACGCCTAAATCAATCCAAATGCATACCATGCGCAGGCTTCGTTGACCAGTCCCGAAAGTGTAAGTGGGGTATACCACATGCGTACAGTGGGGGGATGTATACGTGTATGTGTGGGGAGCAACCCCACTAACCCCAACTTCCTAGGTAATTAATGGCGTACCAGTGATGGGTGTTGAAACATTCAAAGCAGCGTGAAGACCACTTCGTTCTTGGTCCAGTCCATTAGCTCCCCTACCCGTCTTCAACGAATCAAAATGGCCGAGTTTTCGCATCCAGAAATTGGCAAGATCAAGGGTATTCGTGATGGGAAAGTTCTCTCCTTCAGAGGCTTGAAGTATGCTTCGCTAGAACATGGATTCAGCGACCCAATGCCTTTGTTAAACAAGGCGCATGGTGTTGTCGATGCTAGGACACATGGGTTAGTCACTCCCAGATGCCCCGACTACGTGACACTACTTACATTTTGCTTCCCAGGCCAACAGCTATCAGTCCCCCTATGGGATGTGACATGGAGCTAGGTTTGATCCAGAAGAGTCTCCCTCATGATTCGTTCAAAATGTCGGATACGGAATGTTTGAACCTGAATCTCTGCATACCCGCGGAGCAGCCGTCGACACCTATCCCGGTATTCGTATTCTTCCACGGAGGAGGGTTCATGATTGGTTCCAACGCTTGGCCACAGTACGATTTGGCTCGTATTGTTGCACTTGGGGAGGAAATAAACCAGCCGGTGATTGGGATTCAAATCAAGTATTGCTCTTCCTTAGATAATCATGCTATACTCTAGAGATACTAATGTCCGCAAACAGCTATCGACTTGGGGTCCACGGGTTCCTTTACTCAGAGGCGATGGGAAAGGCTGGCATCAAGCCGAACCGTGGGTTGTTAGACCAGCGAGCTGCCTTGACGTGGATAACGGAGAATATTGCGGGTTTTGGGGGAGATCCCAACAAGATAACTGTCTGTGGCGAAAGTGCTGGAGGAGGTACGTTTGACGACTTGTTTCCAACACGCAACGTCTTACCCCCAATTAACGCCATTAATAAACAGTCTCTGCCATGTTGCATCTCCAGTCAAACGAACCTCTCTACACACAACTTGTGGCCATGGGCGGCAACTCTTTGGTGTTGAATCCAATCCCGCTTGAAGTCGCTGAGGCTACATACAATACTGTTCTCTCGACACTCAAGATCGATCCTGCTTCGTCATCTGAAGCGCAGCTCTGTTCCATTCTAAAGCTATCGCCGGAGTCGTGGTTGCAGGCGATCGGCCCAAACGTGCCAATGCTCCCTGTTGTGGTTGGCGAAATTGTTCGGCACTTTCCAACTTACGCCCAATGGCATCAAACAGAAGATGAGGCTAATCTCCCTGGACGGGCTTGGTGTCGTCGCATCATGATCGGCGATTGTCAATTTGACGTTTGTATACCTCCCCTTGATTACCAGAACACAATGGTTGACCGACTAATAGGGGAGCATCTTGGCTTATGCCCTTATGGGCAAAAAGGCCGGCATCTCAACGTCATTCCGAAATTCATTCTTGTCGAGCTTGAATGGAAACCAAAACCTCGTGCAGGCAATCTGCACTGCGTACAACATCACCGACCAGATCAGTGACGATGAAGCTCTGTCCAACATCCTCAAATTTGTTACTGATTTGCGCTTCTACGCATCTGCTCTAACAATTTCCCAAGGATGGCCAGGTTCGGCCTATGTCTACCATTTCAATGAACCCAATCCATGGGATGGGCCTTGGAAGGGGGAGTCCACCCACATACTGGACGTGGCGTTCCTCTTTCAGAACTTCAACCAGCATCTTGAGCCACGCCAGCGGGAGTCGGCACGAAAATTTGCCACCGACTTCATCACATTCGTCGCTGGAGAAGAACCGTATGCAGCATACGACTCACAGGAGGGAGGTGCTCAAGTTTACGGTCCTCCGTGCGAGAACGGACCGCGCTTCATTCTTGGCAAAGACCCTGAAAATTACCTGCGCCGCAAGCATGTATGGGATATTGCGACGGAAGCTGACTTGGACACCTTGTCTAGAGCATTTGACAAATTCATTGCTAGTTAGAATATCAGAATTAGGTCATGGATGAGCAGTCTTAGCCCTACGACAAGCAGAACTGCAACAGCGCCACTGCAGATAGAGGCGACCACAATTTTGACAAGACAGAATACCATGAGCTAATTTCCCCTTAACATGTTATCAAACAGGCAGAGGGGGTGTTGAATTGGCCAAGCTGGTAGCGATCAGGATCTTGTCCGTCCTCAACAGTCTCGATAGTGACAGGCAGAACAAACCAGATGACCATAGTCGCGGTCGAGCAGCAGACCTCAAACCCGGAAAATGCAAGGGCGAACTTCCAGTGCTTCATCGCAAATCTGAGTCGAGACACGAACGTCACAAGTACGGCGAACAAGCAGGAGACATAGGAGATAGTGCCGACAAGTTCCATGATGAGGAAGTGTGGGACTTCCGGGCCTTTGATGCTGAGGGCTGTTAATATGGCTGCGAGGATAACAAAGTTCTGACGCTCTTATTGTTACTGTAAATAGCTCTTACCGTCACTTTTAATATGCTCTTGCTCTTGCTGTTTGCTGGCTCTTGGGTTTCCTGCCAATAGCTCTTGCTGTTACTGCAATAGCTCTTGCTGTTGCTGTCAATGGCTCTTGCTCTTGCTGTTAATAGTTCTTGCCGCTGTTATTAGTGGCTCTTGCCGTTATTGCTAATGGCTCTTGCCTTTACTTTACTGTAGCGCACGCGGTGGTAGCCTCGATAGACTTCAAGTCCTGCTTCACGTTCTTGGATGGTGGCGCTGCCAGGCCTGCTCGACGAGGGTGGTTTCTTCTGCAATGGCATCTGCCACGGTCTAATTATAAGTCGGGGTTTTCGGTATCTTTCCATCGAAATTATATCACCGCAGCTCTTGTGACTATGGTGCATTGGGAATGCGTAAGAAGTAGAGGGAAACCCAGTGGGTATTGCAGGGTGCGTTATTATCAATGTGTTGGAGAAGCAGCTGTTCAACGTTGTCGAGCCCAAGAATGAGAGAAGATGTCCACCAGAGCCCAGCTTGCTGCGTGTTGCAGACCCCAGATTATTTACCAGAGTCGTAAATCCCTAACAACACAACATAGACACCCCCTAGCTTAGAGTATTCGCCCAGAAGAAGCTCCATCTCCGACTCGAACGCTGCATGGACGGCTTTTGCCTCTGCTTCCATGGCTTCCATGGCTTCCTTGCTCTCGCGTCGATACTTTCCTCTCAATTTCTCCGTCGCGTCTATAGTAGACCATAATGATGCCCCCTTGCAAGCCGAGAGTACATCACCTGCAGCATAAATCTCTTTCGTTCTCCCGTTGATCTTCCTCCTTTTTTTTGACCTTCAGAGCCTTGAGCTGGAGGTCTCGCTTGGTCTGTAGCTCCTTCCTCCGACGGGAAAAGTATTCGACGAGTGTTCTCTTTTGGTTTCCGGATCAGCAGTCTCGTCGGGGCTGCCGTGGTGAAGTGCGACACGCTCGTCCGGGCACTGGGCCTCCTCGTAGGGCGGCAAGTTATCACGCATGGTGATTTCGCTCGTTGTGGCCTTGCAGTCGATCGTGATTGTATCTCGCCCGGTTATTTCAGGTAGTACTCTGTGTGTATCGTGGGTTTTTCTTGATTTCTTTGGCTCTTTGTGGATCGGGTAGGAGCAGAAATGGTGATGGTTGTGATGGTTGTGATGGTTGTGATGGTTGTGATGGTTGTGATGGTTGTGATGGTTGTGATGGTGACAAAGTGACCGTGTTTGTGGAAGGGGGAAGGCGAGGAAATAGGGTAGCGAATAGTATTTATACTTCACTGTTAAATAGCTCCCGTCTCTGACTCAGGTAGGCTGAGCAAAAAGTATCTTTTCGAATGATTGCAGGAATGGGTGCGATATGCATGAATCGGTGAGCGTTAATCATTAATTTCCATTACCCATGTATGTTCTTAGTAATTACAGGCTTTCTTCTACCGAACCCAGTTCGTCGTCCCAAAATGGCCTCTCATGTCCGTTTCGAGACACCATCGTAGCCTGGAGGCGGCTCATCCACCACATCGGTGTCTTCCAGAGGCGCGGATGCTTGTGGTATTGGCGGCGCAGCTTGCGAAGTCTTGGGAGCAACAAGGACATCAACATCATCGCCCCTCGCCCCATAATTCCGCAACAACCTCACGGTATCGCCGTCGCCCAGCGCGCTCGCAAACGCCAGCGGACTGATCGCCCCGTCCTTGTTGGCATCGGCCCCGCGCTCGAGGAGCAGCCTCGCCGTCGCAAAGTCGCGCTTCCGCAGCGCCTGCACCAGCGGCGTCCTCCCCTTCGCGTCGGCGGCGTTGGGGTTCGCGCTGTGGCCCAGCAGCACCGGGATCAGGTCTGAGCGCCGCTGGTCGATGGCGTACAGGAGCAGCGTGTCGCCTGCTGCCGTCGTCTTCTGGTTGGGGTCCGCGCCCTTCTCGAGTAGTGGTTGGATCAGCTCCACGCAGCCCTTCTCGACGACGTGGCTCATCAGGGTCCGGCCCCAGGAGTCGCAGATGTTGGGGTTGGCGCCGCGGGATAGGAGCGAGTGGACTAGGTCGTACTTCTGGGTCAGGCTGTAGCCCGTGTCGTCCTTGACAATCATCATCAGGAGAGGGGTGCCTGTAATGTTCGAGGCGTTCGGGTCGGCGCCGCGCTGCAGGAGAAGCTTGAATACGTCGTGGCGCTTCTTCTGCAGCGCCTCGACGGTTAGCGGCGTGCCCGTGATGGAGCGCGAGTTCACGTCGGCGCCGCGGGCGAGCAGGAAGTGGAAGATGTCCATCTTGCCCTCCTGCAGAGCCAGGACGATGATGGGCGAGCCTGTCTTGTCCTTTACGTTGACGCTGGCGCCGCGGGACTGCAGCAGCTGCATCATCTCCAGGTTGCCCTTCTGGTAGGCGTGGAGGAGGACCTCGCGGCCCCAGGCATCTCGGGCGTTGACGTTGGCGCCGTAGTCGAGGAGGAGCTGCACTATCTCGACGTTGCCTTGCGTAACCGTCTCGCAGAAGTACGGGCTCCCGTACAAGTCCTTGTCTACGGGGCTGCAGCCGTGGTCCAGGAGAAGCTTGACCATCTGCAGGTCTCCCGCGGCGGTGGCCCAGAAGAGCGGGGGGGACCTCTTTGCCGTGTCAGTGACACCCTTGGAGGCTCCGTGGTTGAGGAGGCGCTTGACAGCGTCATACTGTTGATTCTCGATGGCCCTGGCAATCGGGGTCTTGCCCTTTTCGTCTCGGCCGTCAACGTTGGCGCCAGAAGTGATGAGCATCGCGATGTGGGCCACATCACCCCGGGCGGATGCCTCGCAGAGGGCGACCACCAGCGGCTCTGGTTTATAACGGAACGGGGCTGTCATGGCCCTGAACGCTTCAGACAAGGATGCAAGTGGGCCCGATTTTGGTTGAGACGGTTCGGCTGACGAAGAGGGTGATGATAGTTTCGGAATGGCTGCAGCCTGGGGCGAGGAGGAGGTCACAGACACGGGGGCAGGCTGGTAATCATCGGGCGCCGGGCCCTTGACGTCTCTTGGGTACCCAGAAGCGTTGTCAGTGTACCCAGGGGGATGATTGGCATCGTTGTCGACATTGTCGACGTTGAGGAGATGTGCGCTCGACTGGGAGAGTTTCCGTGATGCGCGCTCTGTCTCCTGCAGCGTCTGCCGTGCGCTCGAGGTGCCGAGCATGGATTCCTGCTCAGCGTGGGTCGGGCTGTATTGCCAATTAGTGTAGTTCTGGGGCTAGGCTCGTTTATATTGAGCATGGCAAACTCACGTTTGAATCAACTTGCTGAGCAGCCTAATTGCATATATCGCCAGCACAGCCCAGCCCTCGTAGCCTGCAATCACACCAGCCCCGATGGACTGACTTGCGATATCGGAATTAATAACCTTGGCCTTCTTCTCGACGGTGGCGGTTGCTTGGGCGCAGCTCTCCAGCGTCGCCGACAAGACACCCCAGACGGCTTCCGAGACTACAGCGGCGTGGGTGCGGGTGAGGGCCTCGCTGAGCGTGTCGGCCGCCGCGCCAAGGTCCCGCAGAAAACCAGACAGGCTAGAGAATTCGGCGACACCAGCGAGCTCATCAAAGGTGACGGCGGCAGAGAGGCAGCGGGAGCTGATTGTCGCGCAGAGGGAGGTGGGGCGTGATGCGGGAGAGAAGCCATCAATTCCTTCATCCATGGTTTGGTTTGGGTTGTTATCTCCGTCCCAGTTACGGTTTAATTTACTCCTTGTTGTCGAACATCTAGGTTGTCGCGCAGTTGCAAGTTTAAAAAAAAACAAAGTTGAGGCGGCCGAGCTGACGGAGGGCGCCGACGCCAAACGCTGACGCGGCCGTCCTGCAGGTGCATCTTGGTTGGTTGGTTGGCTGTGGCGCGGGGGAGAAACACGCAACATGCACCACCCCACCATCAAGGGGATGCCATCGGATGCAGTCGTCAGCCCTACGCTGTCGAGCGAAACTAAGTATTAGTGCGTCTGACAGTTGCCTTACAGCTGGCATTGTTGTTGTTTTCCTTCTTGCTAGTGCTGACATGTGCATGGCTAGGATCCCGCTACTGCTGCTGCCACCCCATATCTCGGCAGGATGAATCCTGAATTCGCAGCTTTCCCAGAGGGCCAATCGCGTCACCACCCCCGCTCCATCATCAGCCTTCCATTTAATACACCTATACTTTCCTATTGCCAAGAGCGATCGTCACTACACCACAATTAAGAACACCACAACTAAGAAGTCATGTCGCTCTACAGCACCTACAACCAGTTCTTCCCGCCCAAGCCCACATTCACGGAAAAAGACGTCCCTTCTCAAGCAGGCCGAGTCTTCATTGTGACAGGCGGAAACTCAGGCATCGGATATGAGCTGTGCAAGATCCTCTACGGCAAAGGCGCCACCGTGTATATGACAACGCGATCAAAGGCGAGTCCCCTAGGCATCTCCATGACCTAACGTCAAGGTTTGCGCCAATTGATTAATTGCGTTATGTGCTGACATCCCCCCTCCCCCCACCAGGAACGCGCAGAGGCCGCCATCAAGACCATCACCCAAGCTGACCAGCCCCCACAAACCCCAGGGCAACTCAAGTTCCTGACCCTCGATCTCAACGACCTCACCTCGGTCAAGTCCGCCGCGGCGTCTTTCGCCCGCCAGGAGTCCAAGCTCGACGTCCTCTGGAACAACGCCGGACAGGGCGGCTACGGCCTCCCCGTCGGCGCGAAGACGGTGCAGGGCCTCGAAGCCTTTGTCGGCGCCCACTGCGTCGCCACGCTCCTCTTCACGGAGCTACTCCTCCCGCAGCTCCGCGCTGCAGTAGCCACAACCTCGGCGCCGGGGTCGGTGCGCGTCGTGTGGACGAGCAGCTTCCTGGCGGAGAAGGCGACGCCGTGGGGGGGCGTCGAGTTCGAGAAATTGGCCGAGGGGACGGCGGACGCGGTGCGCAACTACGGCGTGTCCAAGCTGGGCGGGTGGATGCTGGCCCGGGAGGCGGCGCGACGGCACGGCGGCGAGGGCATCGTCAGCGTAGCGCAGAACCCGGGGAATCTAAATTCGAACGTGTACGCGGGCATGTCGCCGTTCCTCAAGTTCTTCGTCCGGCTGGTTTTGTACCATCCGAGGTTTGGCGCGTACACCGAGCTGTATGCTGGGTTGTCGCCTGATGTCTCGCTGGAGAATAATGGAGCTTATGTCATCCCCTGGGGGAGGATTCAGGCCGATGCGGACTTTTCGAGGGAGGATATTGTCAGGGCGATTACACCCGAGGAGGATGGTGGGCTGGGGTATGACAAGAAGTTTTGGGAGTGGTGCGAGCAGCAGTGGAAGCCGTTCGTTTAGAGGGGTGCCGACTGGGGAAGAACGAGCGGTCGACACCAGGCGATAAGGGAAACCCCCTTGTAATAATGAGCGAGGGAGAAAGCGGGGCGGGAATCCGAGGCAACGATGCCACCAGCAAGCGACCTAATTATCCACTTCTAGAAATCACACGAGCGCAATATTCGTCCTCCAGACGAGCGGGATGAGTGGTATCGGGCTGGGAGTGAAATAAGACGAAATGTTGCAGCAATCATGGTCCCAAACCACCTCCACCGACATCTCAAGTCCAGTCACCTGATAAAGTTCCGTCAGGGTCTTGCGAGGATGCTGGACTGGGTAAACATCTAGGTCGTATTGTCCACTGCACGAGAGCGTCACCTTCGGCTAGCGTGTGGTAGTTTTCAGGATATTATATGCAGGGGTACCCAGGGGCACGCTAGCCTGTCGTACAGTACCCATCTGTTGCTGGGGGCCAAGCCGGGAATCTGATGCTTTTCCAGCCACCAAAGATGGCCAGTGTTTAATCAGCATGCTTTCAGGACGAAACGCGAGAAATACGCAGAGTAGGTTCTGGGATACGAAGCGACAGCATACGCGGGAATCACCACCAGTGCGAACCACAAAAGGATACTACGGCCAGTGAGGTGCCCAGAGTGCCGAGAAAGGAAAGTGGTCACAGGGGTAGCTGGCAGGCCCCTGCAGCAGCGCAAGCTCACCGCTCAAAACCCCCGTCGCCAACCCCCCGCCCTCTCACACAAATATGTGTGAGCCCCTGGTTGGGCATCATTCATCTCGGGTTCCCCGCAAGCGGTTTAATGACCCTTTACTCATGTCGGAAGGCCAGCACACTTCCCAGACTCAATTCAAGTCACATCATACATTAAATCATAGAACATCATACTTGGAACAATGGCCTCAGAACCCGTCTCAGGCCCACCCGGAGCGAGGGGAGTGATGAAGTCGAGCGAGCCGCTGCCCTTGACGGTGGAGGGACTCACAGCCTCATGGTTCTCCAAGATCCTCGGAAAGCAGGTGAAGGAAGCCAGCATCGTGGAGACGATGCACGGGACAGCGTCCAAGATCCTCGTCCAGCTTGACTTGGAGGACGCCGATGCTGCCGCCGGAGACTCGGAGGCAGCGCCTACTCGGGTGTGCGTCAAGGGCGGCTTTAATCCGGCACTGGTAGCTCTCCACCCTTCGCTGTTTGCCGTCTATCGCCTGGAGGCCGAGTTTTACTACTACCTCGGGCCAACCGTTAACATGCGCCTGCCCAAGACTTGGTACTGCGGCACCGACACCGTCAGCGGTCAGGGCATCGTCGTGCTGGCAGACCTCAAGGCAGAGGGGTACACGTTCGGAGACCCCTTGGAGGCCTGGCCGGCCGACCGGGTGCGGGCCGGGATGGAGGAGCTGGCCACGCTACACGCCAGGACCTGGGGCGGCAAGCCTGCAGACTTCCCATGGTTCAGACCCGAGTTCTCGCTCCGCGACGTCATCACTTCGATGCTGGGCCAAGAGGAGTGGGACAAGCGCTTCTTGGGAGACGCCCGGCCGCCGGTGCCCGACCACCTGGTCGACCGCGAGCGCATCATCGCGGCGTACAAGACCCTGTGGCAGACGACGGACAGCAAGTTCCACTGCATCGTCCACGGGGACACCCACATCGGCAACACATTCATCACCCCGGCCGGCGAGCCCGGCTTCCTCGACTGGCAGGGCCTGCACGCCGGGTCGGCAATCCACGACGTCGCCTACTTCATCGGCGGGGCCATGGACGTCGAGGATCGCCGCAAGCATGAGGATGAGCTGTTCCAGCACTACCTGGACTGCCTGCACAGGGCCGGCGGACCGAAGTTCGACAAGGCCGAGGTCTGGGACGAATATCGGAAGCATCACCTGCACGGGTTCGCCTGGACGCTGACTGGGCCTATGATGCAGACAAAGGAGAGGGTCGATATTATGTCGGAGCGTCACTGTGCTGCCATTGTGGACCACAAGAGCCTCGAGTTGTTGGAGTCGCTTTCCAGCCATGGCAAGTGAGTGGGGGATGATATATCAAGCATGCAGAAAATGCGTGGCTTCACTGGCTAGATAGACCTCCCGAGATTACTGCGCAACTAAACTTTAGCTGAATACAACGTCTGTTAGCTGCTCGGCACTTTTAACTCGATGCTCGTGATCTGTGATAGGGGAGGGGAGGAGCAAAAGGGGGGCCAAAGAAGTTTCTTTCTCTGTTCTCCACTACCGTGTAAGAGAAGCCCGCGCCAAGAAACAGAAGGGGAAACGAGCGTGACAATCCCAATGCCCAGATCCCGGCTGGGGCTACGCTAACAAACGGCTCAACGGTCGTACCGCGTCTTGGTGCGAGTAGTCAGGGATACTCCGACGACGGTATTTCTCTTGTCCCCCGTTCCTGGTTCGCCCTTGACTAGCGCTCTCTCGCTTCGAAATAGTGCCTCCTGATTTGCGACAGAGAAGTGGGGTTTTGCGTCTTAACCCTGCTGGCCTAGCATTTGAACCCCCGGTCGAGGTAAGGAGGCAGGCCCAGACACACAAGAATCCGCAAGGACAGAGAGAAGACAGGGATACGAGAAAATCACACCACAGGAAATGGAATGAAGAGGGGAGGCAATGGCTGATCTCTCGTCTCGGAGGTTCAGGCTTCGTCCTCCGCCCCCAAACTAATAGCATGCCAGATCCCTTCAACTCTCACCATTGAATGTAACCCCGGGCATTCAGCTTCCAGGGGACTCGTACATATATATCAGGAATGAAAGCGAAATGTCGTTTTCTCTGGGGGCTCGAGTCGGTATAAGGAGTACCATCTTGTTTTCACTCCTTATGTGATTCTTCTATTCCTTTCTTCTTTGCCTGTCGTGTACACCTAATCACGAGTCAAGTCGCGATCGCGCAATCCAGAAGACATTCGTTGAGCCTGCCGCGAGAAATGGACGTCCCAGGGGGAGACGTCGGTGTCATGCCACCGCCTCCAGGCGTGACACCGGACTTTCATGGCTCCTCGCAACTCCAGCACACGCTTATTATCGTCTACTCCATCACCTTTGCCCTGGCCACCGTCGTGCTGACACTGCGTCTATATACCGGTCTGGTGCTCGTTGGAAAACTGGGACTCGATGCGTGCAAGTACTCCCTCTCGCCTTCGGCCTTGTTGCCGTTGATGCTGACCGAGCCGCAGTCTTGATCGTGCTGGCATGGGCCGTCTCGTTGGCTTTCTTTATAACCACGCTTCTGGGTATGCAATCCTTGACATTGGGGGCTAGTTATGTGCTCCCGTCTTGGATAATTAACGCTGACCTCTCCCCCTCAGTGATGCCATCTGGTTTCGGGAAGCATCTGTGGGATGTCACAGGGACACAGCTGCAAGGATATCTAAAGGTATGTGAGAACATGAGAACATGGCAGAGTTGCTTCCTGCGCATAGTTAGGGACCACCTGCTAATTCTAACCTTCTTCGCAGCTTCTCCTCGTCCTGGCAATCACGTATATCTGGCCGCCGACGCTGACCAAGCTCGCCATCCTCGTCCTCTACCACCGGATCGATCCCGGCCTGGCCTTCCGTATCTGCATCTACTTCGTCGCCTTTACCCTGATCGCCTCGACCGTCGTCTTCACCGTTCTCTTCTGCGGGCCATGCAACCCCCTGACCACTGGGAGTGGAATGTGCCTGAACAACATCGCCATCGCGCAGGCGGTCCTCAACATCGTCACCGACGGCTTTATCATCATTCTCCCGATCCCGACAATACGGAAGCTGCACATGCCATTTAAACAAAAGGTCACCGTTGCCGCCATCCTGGCCCTCGGATCAGGGTTAGTCCCCCCCTTTCCTTCCGTCCCCTCCACCCCCAAACAAACCCCAGTCAACCGACTCACCCTAACACTCCTACCCCCCCTCCCCAGCGTCGTCATCGCCTCATGTGTCCGCGTCGCCTACGTCCGCGCCATGCAGAACAACCCCGACGTCACGTGGACGCAGGCCTCGGCTGCGGTCTGGAGCTGCGTCGAGCTCAACATCGGCATCCTCTGCAACTGCCTGGCAATGCTGCGGCCGTTTGTGCGACGCCACATGGTCTGGCTCGCGAGCATCGTCGGTGGAGGCGGGAGCAGCGGGGGCGTCGGTTCGGCCGGGTACAGCAAGAAGGGGCTGTCGAGCGGGGGCGGGAATAAGTCGGCGTTTGGTAGTCCCTGGAGGGGGGACGCTGATGGGCATGGGTACCAGCTGCACAGTGTTGGGAGGACTAAGATGGTGCCGGGGGAGGAGGAGGGGGGGATGGGGGCCGGTAAGGGGATTGTTGTTGTTGATGAGTTCCATGTGCAGTACGGCAGTAAGAGGGAGAACAGCGATGGGTCTAGCACGGAGAACATCCTTGACGATGAGAGGCCGCAACCTCGCCGAGCCAGGTGAGAATGTCGAGGTGGTTGCAGCCCGAAGATGTCGTCGTTGCATATCTTATCTTCTTGTATATAGTTGTGCAAACAGAGTGACACATGGCCTGGCGCAATGTGGCACAATTGTATCGATACCGAGACTAGCGAACCAACATACTAGGCCACTTTTATATTTCTGGTCAACATACTATGTAAAATAATTACTTGAACGGCTGCATGGCGATCTGCAGCGAAGATCTGCCGCGACAACGATTGGCCAAACATTTGCCGGAACCCCTCACAGTGGACAGATAAATGCCCCTCGAAATCCCAGTACTCATCAATCCTCATTTTTATCCTCTCCATTGACTGGTAGACTAATTCGTGTTGTTCCCCCTGGTGTATGCCCTTCAATTGTAACCTCTGAGAGTTATTAGAAAGGTACAATTCTGTCTCCAAGATGCAACCCAACGACGAAACAGCCGGCACACCGGCTCTGGAATACTCGGTCCCCGTCCAGGCAAGGCAGCTCCTTCAAGATGGGATCGTAAGAAACCCTTTAGTTGTGCCGAACATCCCAAAAGAAGCAGAAGAGTACCTATCCCGCATTCAGTTCGAGGGTTCGGAATCGCCGTCCCTGCCCATCAACTGGCGGTTCGCGGAGAGTGTCTCAGCACTGAAGGGCCTGGAAGCCATCATGGTCTGCGCTCTACTCAAGCGCAAGCACGGAGTTGACGTAGGCGAGGTGGTAATCAATACGTGAGCACACTCGCTAAATATTCCTTACGCCGAGGTTCACAAAGCATTCGACTTACCCATCTTGGTTAGAGACCACGCGCAGCTCTTCTTCATGTCCGCGTTTCTCTGGACCATTGACCCGGATGGCGAAAAACTATCCGGAATGAGCCCGGACGACGTGGAGAAGGTGCTCAAATACTTTCCGAGTAACAACATCCACAGACATCAGGCGACCCCCTATCGAGCAGCTTGTACGAACATATACAAGACCAAGGACGATAAATACTTCCACCTCCACGGTGAGAGAACCCTCCCTCCCAACGACGACCCTCCCAACATCCAGCTGACAACCCCGCCCAGCAAGCATGAACCCCGACCCCACCCTCGAAAGCATCGGCCTCCCCCCCGACATGGACGCCGACACCCCCGAAGCAGCCATGCAGCCGTACATCGCCACCATATCCCAGCTCGACTCCGCGGACATGCAACGCCGCGCCGACACAGCCCGCCAGGCCGGCACCATCTGCTGGACCGCCGACGAGTTCCGCCGCAGCCCGCACGGCAGGGCGAACGCGCAGGTCGGCCTCTTCGAGATCCACGCCCACGACCAGCACAAACAACCGGCCTGCTGGTGGCCGTCGTCGCCGCAGACGGCGCCGGAAAGGCCGCTTGCCGGGCTGAAGGTCGTGGACCTGACGCGGGTCATCGCGGCGCCGGCGATCACGCGGGGGCTGGCGGAGTTGGGGGCGAGCGTGATGAGGGTTACGGCGGGGCATTTGGTGGATATGTCGGCGCTGCATTGTGATCTGAACTGGGGGAAGTGGAATTGCCATTTGGATTTGCGGGAGGAGGGGGATAGGGAGAGGTTGAGGGGTTTGATTGGGGAGGCGGATGTGGTTGTTAGTGGGTATCGGCCTTATGTGCTTGACAAGTGGGGGTTTGGGGAGGAGGACGTGCTAGAGATGTGTAAGGGGCGAGAGAGGGGGGTTGTGTATGTCCGAGAGAACTGCTACGGGTGGCAGGGGGAGTGGGCGGGGAGAAGTGGCTGGCAGCAGATCAGCGATGCTGTAAGTTGGCGTCTTGTCCCTGTTGCCTTGTCCCTAGTTCTAAATCGCTGACTTTTGTCGGGTTCACACAGTGCTGTGGCGTTTCGATGGAATATGGACGGGCGATGGGCAACGATGAGCCGGTAACACCTGTGTTTCCGAACTCGGACTACTGGTAAGTTCGCTAATTATTACATGCTCCGTCGAGCAGAGTGTCCGCAGCTAATATCCTCAAGCACTGGCATTCTAGGTCTGGCTGGGATAATCCAGGCGCTGCTGCTCAGAGCCGAAAAGGGGGGTTCATACACTGTCGACGTGGCACTGAACTACTATTCCCAGTGGCTTGTAAACTCATGCGGCGTCTACCCAGAGGCTGTCTGGAACGAGGTCTGGGGTCGGTATGGGAAACCAGTCTTCCGACACTACCATGCGATGGGCCACACTCTCCCACGCTTCGCGCGCATGCTCCAGTCGCAGCGCAAAGATGTGCTGTTCCGGGACGAGTTCTTCGAAGTACGAGACTGCAAGAACCGAGGGGTCAAGATCAGAGCTGTGAAGCCCATCTTGAAGTTTCCGGGGGGAGAAGTAACGCTGGGGTACAATGTCGGGACGAGACCAAATGGCGTGGATCAGCCGAGGTGGCCGGAAGACTTGATGACGGAGGTGGTAACTTGAAGTTGAGCGGACAAAGTGCTCCTTCTCAGTTATAGGACTAACTGTTTAATATTGTGCGGAATGCGTCGAAAGCGGTTCATTTTAGCTTTCCCATTCCTGGGAGTGGCAACCCTTGATTAATTAGTGGCCGCGTCTTGACGCCTGTTACCTAGAATTTTTGACGGCGATGACGGCAAGCGTTCGATGGGAAGAGAGTGACTTGTACGCCACACGACGACAGCATAAAGCAGGGATGATCAATCGTCACTCCTCGGCTAAAAAATTCAAGAAAACAAGAGACGAGACAGGTCTCTAATTCCTCCCGTCCCCCCTTGGTTAGGTGATCAGCTGGTAGCACAATGACGTCAGCGCTGCCATCATTAACCACCATGACAGTTGAGGCAAGCAGCCAACCTTAAAAGGCGATTTCATCAAACTTCCCCAAACCCCCGATCACAATCCCCAATAATCATACCCCAGAAAAGACCCACACACAGCTCACCAACACTGCCAAAAAACCATCTCAGCAAGCAACAATGACTCTCTCCGGCGCCATCACCGACTTCTTCAACGGCCTCTACGAGCTCTTCGCCTCCATGGCCAGCGTCGCATACCGCACCGTCCACTCCGTCTTCGCTGCCGTGTGGGGGCTGTTCAGCGGCATCGTCAATCTTATCACCGATGTCGTGGGCGGCAGCGTGGAGGTTGTGGGTGGCGTGGGCCGGTTCCTTATCAGTGAGTCTTTCCCCCACCCTGTCTTCCCCCTTTTCTCTTGTTCTGGACCGTTGCAGCACGTCTTTTGGATAGGGACTAATAGATCGGGTGTGCCAGGCAATATCGTCGTACTCGCCATTATCGGAGCAGGTGGGTTTGCCTATGTGCGGTATCGGGACCAGCAGGGGCGGCCGGTGAGGGTTGGGAACAAGAAGGCGAATTGAATGAAGGACGTATGAGAGGCGTTTTGGATAAGATGGGGGTTGTGAGATACCATTTAGCTTGAAGAGATTCAATCTGGGGTCGGTGTAATTACACAACAGACAGGCCATCACTGTCGCTATCACTTATCACCTCATGTTAACGTGTGAGAGGCATTACCCAAGATCACCGTCTCTGCGTTCCAGTTGCCTTGAACATTGCCATCGCTGTTCGTATCCCACATCAGTGTTCGCAAAACGAATACGTCACGTTCTGCCACTCGTGCTCCGATACCTGATGGAAACTGCTCCTCTCGTCCATCAACTCAAGCCTGTGCTGCCTCGCCTCCTCAACGCTCATCAACCCCTCGGGCATGACGCCCTGCTCACGCACCATTTCCAACAGCTCCGGAGGGAGGCGACTGTCCACCTCATCCGCAGAAGTTGCGTCTCCGGGGAAATTCTTATCAAGCCCCTTCTCCAACAGCAGCTTGAAGACCTCAGGCGGGACATCGCCCCGAGAGGCCGTGGCGTCGGCGCCAAAGACGGCCTCGGCCCACCAGTCCAGCTGCTGCGGCGGCACGTTGGCCGTGGATACGATGCGCTGGTGCGGGTCCACCAGCCAGAGAGCGATGAACCGCCTGTGACCCGGTTTCGTCGCGTCTTTGAGGCTGAACGGGGAGACGCGGTGTTGACTTGCCGGGGTGGTTATGTGGATCAGCTTCAGTGCTCTCTTCGATGGGACACGACGATTGGAAAGGAGGGGGGGGTGTTGGTGGGTGCTGGTCTGGTAATTACAAACTTACAACACGTTGGGGAACGCTAGCAGGCGACCCTGTTTCGTCTCGACGCTGCCGTAGTTCTGGAGACAAGCGTCTGCGCCGCACAATGCGGTGCCGTACACTCGCTCAAGATAGTTGTACGAGTCCTGGCCGGCCGTGATTTCGTCCTGATACAACGACGTCTGCATCCGGAACGAGAGATGACTCGGCGTCACGTTCTCGCTGCTGACGTAGTACAGAGCTGTCGCGCAGATTCTCTCGTTCATTTGTCCCTCGATCTGGAATCGAGTTAGGGGCAGTTTCAGTCGCACGAGTCAACAAGTCGATTACCGACCGCGGAGGAAGAAAAAAAAAAAAAACACATACATGCCAGCCTCCCACTGGGAAGTCGGGCTTCTCGGGGGTCAGTTCGATGCTGGCCATCTTAACAATGACCTGCAACCCCAGCTCCTTGAACTTCTCTCGAATGCTCTCCTCGCACGAGTAGTCAACCTCGGGCGGGCCATCGGTCTCAGGCATCACCATATCGCGTACTTTTGCCCATTTCGCGTCTTCCAAGGCAGCGGCATAAGTTTCCTCCATGCTCTCCATAGTTTCGTCATCTTCGTCGGCTTCTGCGTCGTACCTCGCCCGTTCCTGGATGTCAAAGATTTCGTCCTCGGTGAGCTTAGGGTTGTGTTCTGCAAACACCTCGGGATCAAAGGCTTCCCACAGCTCCTCGTCCTCGTCACTTTTTGGGCATGGTTAGCTAGTTAATTAAGATCACGGTTACGAAAGGAAAGGCAATCATTCCGGAACGACACGACGTACTCGCAACGGTCGGGCTTGCCGAAGCGTGACTCTCTCCGTCCCACGCCGACCTTATTATACTTTCGGTACTCAGAAAGACATTGATCCCACGCGGGAATGGCCGTGTCGATGAGCGTCTCGATTGTTCGATAAATGCCTGGATATTTCGCGGGATGCAGGTTGTTAACGTAGCTCGTGAACCTGACGGTGCCGTCGTCTTGGAACGCTAGATTTGCCGGAAGCCACTGGTACTTGTTGGACCAGTACTGGGGAGGCACATAGGACCCGCCCCCGTAGCCACGCTCCGTTGGCGTTTCGGTTTGCGGGACGATCTCGCCTTTGCCGGTCCATTTGTCGATAGCGTTGGAGACCCCCACCACTTCTTCCTCGATGAACTTCGACCGGCCTTATTTAATTACACAGTGGTAAGCCTCGAGTCAGACGGGTTCCCTGTGGATGAACTTACCGAAGACAAACGGATACATGGACGGATGAACCAAGTCTTGAACCATGTCTCCACTCCTTGGATGCCAGTCAACGTTCGAGGCCTGATCTGCCCGAAGCTTGTCGAATGCAGCATTCAGCCCCTTCTGTAATTCCGGAGACACAAGTGTGTCGGATTTGACGATGGTATTGCCGTCCGAGTCGAGCGTGGGGATCAGGCCGGTCTTCTTGAAATGCGCCGCCTTGCACCTCAGCTCACCGATACACTTCACACATAATTAGTACTTAGTTGAAAGAATGATGCAGAAAAGAGAAGGGCAAACATGCAAAGTCAAACACGTCCTCCTCCACGATCCTCACACGACGCGGCATGGGGATCTTCCTCATGGTTTTGCCCTCGGTGATCTGCGCGTACAGATCGTCCTCGGGCTGCTCCATTGCCTCGCTCCGCCATTTGCTGACGATCTCTTCGTCAAACACCTTCTCTTGCCAGTTGGGCTTGTCCGTCAGGCGGTCCATCAGGATCATCATGGCGACTTCGCGGACCGGCAGCATCTCCGACGTGGTGCCACAGCAGTCGTGGTGTGCGCCGATGGGGTATATCGGTTTGTCTCTTTCCTGGGGGTAGTACCGCAGATCGATCTTGACGCCGGGGTATAAACCTGCCATTGTCGCTTGGGTTTGTGGTTTTGAGGGGGTGCCGACGGACGAAGACGTGGTGAGTTTGAACGAACAGGTTTTCTGCGGTGATCTTTCTCAGAAGTGAGAGATGCAAACGATTGAGCATAACAGCTGGAGATACTCTCTTTTTAATGATGCTTGAGACTCCAGGCAGCACTGGGTTGCCTGGAATTGGGAAGAAGCGCGTTGCATCGCGTCGAACTAGCTGTTGCTTGCCAAGCAGCGATTTACGGACCGAGTTCCTATCCCTGTTGGTGGCTTGCATATGGTGAGTCACAAAAATACTTGCAGGGTAACAAACCCTCTACTGCGTAGGATCTGAATGAAAGTTCAACATTCAACGCCAGGCCGACTTCAAAGCATGATACTCGTGTTTTCCACGGTTCGTGATATCCCATCTTCATTGGTGGTTCCGATCAAGTCTAAGAGAAAGCTCTCTGAACTTTGGCTGAAGTTGTAGCTTCCGGGCCTGAAACGAGAAGTAAATGCAAGACGATCGAAGCGCAAAGTCCCGTGTAGAGAGACGTGGTTCTCCTCGCTACATTGCTATGGAAAATGGCTAGATTGGAGTGTGAAGCTGGCTATTGGAAAGTGCAGCTCTTGATCACGCAATGGATGTTGATCGTTACCTGACTTTGTTCTGCACATCGGACAGCTAATCACTTCTAATATGGCTATTTAAGTTTCCGCATCTTACGATGTTCATATCGCGGTTGGCTACCTCTTTCAATTACCTCAAACCCATACTTAGACAAGTGCCAAGTGTTAAAACCCAGCCAAGTGCCAAGTGTTAATCTGGCAAAATGAAGAGGAATAAGGTTGATTTTAATTAGGAGGGAAAAAGGCTTAATCAGGGAACTAAATATACATTAACCGGGTAAAGAATGTGTGGCGGGTCGGGCTATTAAATACCTTTTGTGTCGCCGTTGATCCCCGGTATCCTTCCTCAATTCAAGCAGACGACTTCGACAAGGTTGCTCTTTGCTTTGCTTCAAGATATCTACCGCTGTGATTTTTTAGCAACTTCATCAGGCGGCCTGCAGCAAACATGACTCGACTACTCCCCGTCCTCGGCCTGGTAGGCTGGTTCATTCTCCCGAACCACCTCGTTCCGGCCCTCAAGATTGCCAGCGATGTCGGTACGATCGAGCACACTCCGGGACGAATCGCCATCGAAGACTACTACGAAGGGGATGCTCAGATTGTCGGCGGTGGTATCACGGCCTTGGTTAGCGACTCGAGCGTCGATCTGGGGACGAATGCCGAAATCCCGTCTCTCCGGACCTACGCCACGCATAAGAACCTGCGAATAATCTACACCATGACGGAAACCTACTACCGCATTGTCGCCAACGCATCTGTAGTCCCTTCCCTCGAGGACCTGAGGGGGAAAAGAATCGGCACACTACCGGGCAGCACCGCGGCGTATTTCGTGGAGAAATATCTTGCCACCGTCGGCCTGGAGTCCACCGATTACACCCTCGCTTCCGGATCCCCATGTTCGGCTGCCCCCTGCGGGCGCGGCACTCTCCCGTACCAGCTTGCCACCGGCGTCATCGACGCTGTCGCGATCTGGGAACCGACTCCGGAGCTGGCAGTCCAGGCTCTCGGTCCCGACGCCATCGTGTTCCAGGATCGATCGGTTTATCGAGAGCTGGTCAATCTTCACAGCACGGTTGAGAAGCTCGCTGACCCGGTTTCAAGGAGCGAGATTGTCGACTTTGTGCGGGCCCTCAATAAGGCGGAGGAGGTTTTCAGGACCAAGCCCGAGACCGTCTGGGACCGGGTTGCGTCTGCTCTTGGTGTCAATGCTTCTGTCATCGAAGCCGTCTTTCCTATTCACGCCTGGAGGGGCACACTGGCACCGGACTTGCTGGATGTGCTGGTGACCGAAGACCCGTGGGTTGCCAAGGCGAATAATCGGGCTGCACTGTCGGTAGAGGATCTGGCAGATCTGATTGACTCGAGTGTCTTGGATGAGGTTCTTCGAATGGAAGACTGAGCATGGGAGTTATGTAGATATGACTAGGCACTTCAATGCCCGATGGGCGCAGAAGGGGGATAATGAACAATTCGAGACCTTGTCGCATCCAAGCATGCCATCTTATCACTCAATCTTCTCACCCAGTCGTGCATGCCGCACCCCAACCCCAAGAACGATCAGAACCCTCACCAGAACCATTGGCGCAGTGGTGACCAACACAACCCAATCCTCCACCGTCCACTCCGACAACGTCGCCCAGGACCCCCACCCCCCAACAGCCTGCGCGGCGCTGTGGCAATATGCCGCGTCGCTCAGCAGCATCCCCGCGCACAGGAGCTGCCACAGGCGCAGGTCGTCGAACGCGCGGAGCACGACGGCCTCGACGAAGGCGAAGTACAGCCACGCCCCGCCGAGCTCCGTGTACAGGAAGGTGGTGTTGTCGGCGAAGGCCGTGGAGTGCCGCGTCATCGTTGAGAGGTACTGGCCCGGCGTGCGGAAGGCGAGGATTGCGCCCGAGGTGGCGAAGAGGGGCTCCAGGGTGGTTAGGATGAGGCGGTATGTGAAGGGGATTGACGCCGTGGCCGAGACAGCGCCGGTCGTCTCCGCGGATTGGGCTCCTCCCATGACGGCGTAGTTGTTTATGTAACGGGGATAAAAGTTTGACGAACGATGATTATTCTGACGATTGGGAGAGTTGTGAATGACGGCCAACCTGGGAGGGAGTCTCTTGTGAGTCTTGTGAGGGATGAGATTGATAGCTAAAACGCTTTAATATAGAGCGCCTCCATACCGACCCCCCCATTTACCCATCCCGACCCCGCCTCTCCACTTTTTTGCCGGTACCGGCAGGGGGTTAGGGTTTGGTATGGAAGGAAATTCAAAGGCACCGATGCCATTGATATTGCCGTCGCCATTGATATTGTTGTTGCTGTCGCCGATGAGGATACGTTGCCCATACTCACTATCTATATTATATGACGTCTCGTCTGTTCAATATAACGTCCACGATGTCATCCACTATCTCACAGCCCTCCACTAGACCATGCATTGAAGTCCTTAACTCTTCACCTCCATGCTCCAGTAGCAGCCTCTCAACATGCAGTCCACCTTCAACATATTCGGAAGCGCAGTGCTGTAAATATCTTCGACAGAGGTACAGTGGGCTAGCGCCATGTAAAGAGTTGATATGGCTCAGCGGATTTCTTGTAGAGAACGCAGTGCCGCCAACAGGCCCTGTGCTATTGACTTTCGCTCCTGCAGCGAGTAGCATCCTAGTAGCGTTAACGTCTCCCCTTGCTGCTGCAATTTGCAGAGGCGTCACCTGGTACTCTGGCGGTTCTAAACTTGCCCCGCACGCGATTGTTTTAGCGACGTCGCATACTGACGGCTGACAGTTAACCGAACAAGGGGACCAGCGGCTTGCATGGGCGAGCAAGACCGAGAGCAGAATCCCCGGTGTTTGCCGCACAAACGATGCAGACCAATTCTCAAGGAGGAATGCAAATAACTCTCCACAACTGGGCAGGTCGGTCACGGCTCCGAACACAGCTGCCCACTCTGGTAACGTGCCTTCAAACGCGTACTGGACCATGCCCTCTGAATGCACATAACTTAAGTCTCTGAACGGAGAGAAGGCCGTGGTCCAGGACATTCGTGTGAGAAGCAAATTGTCATGCATAGTCGAAGCTGACTCCGTATTGGAGATGGACAGGAGGGCCGAACTCAATTCCCATAGCCGCATTTCCAGGAAACACATCAACGCATAAGCTTTCTGGGTCGTCGGGGTTGGCTGGAAGTGCGGGTCTAGCTCGGATAACCAGAAGCGCGAAAGGTGTCCTTCGACTATGCGATCGGTTATGGGGTAAAATGCACTTTCCAGTGACCTCTGCACAACCCTCCAGTGTGAGGCAGTTGGCGTGAAAAATGTGGATGCCAGCTGGACAAGCTCGGGGATTTCTGCTATTTCACCACCCCAATGCGCAATCGACGCAAATGCCGCTAAAATCGTGTGGTCACTGAGGTTGCAAGGGCGTCGCCCGTGGCCATCGGAGTCGGAATTTACCTCTAATGCATGGCGCTAGACGGTTCCAAAGAAGGAAGACCGCTCCTGAGGCGAAAAGGCGGCGGCTGAGCTTGTCCTGATGCGAGGAGAGCTGAGGAACTCGGCGACGGTGTAATGGGCTAAAGAGATAAATCCGATGTTGTGCTCGGTATGTCCTTGTCCTTCGCATGGACATCCCAGCATCCATATATAGTCACCTGGGTTCGATTTATCGACAACTCGTACCAAACAGCCCAAAAGATCCAGAAGCCATTCGAAGACTCAGAGGTGTCTGGCTTTCTCCATGGCCGGTGTGAGTAGCGAATACGATAACACAAAAAGGCATCTCGTTCGTCTCCAGCAACTCGCTGTTGTACGTGATCCAAGTCAATGCATCCGCAACAAGTTGGCTGTCCTCAGGAGACTCGTCAAGAATAAGCTGGAATATTCTCTCATATGTTGTGTAGAGGTCCTGGGGCAGATTTTGAAGGGTCTCTCGTAGGAATTTCTCGTCTTTCCATCATAGGCGCCGAATAGTGTCGATCTGGCAGACAGCCCATCGGAACCTAATTATGATGCCCTTGCCAGCATATACCTTACCAGTGATGAAGAACGAAACTAAGATGGAAAACCTCGAGGACCCACATTCCCTGCGACTTTGAGGACAAGACATCACAGGCGTGATAGAGAAATTCGTCGCTGAGGTGACAAAAAGTGGTGAACCGTCGCCGCCCGATATCTCCCTCGACATACTTGCGTATGTCCTCCTCAACGAATGGATTAGACAAAGACAGGGGTCGGGATATCTCAGCCATAATTGCCGTGATGTCGGGGTAAATTCTGCTGGTTGGCAACAGCGTATCTTTGCGAAACGGAAGTCCGTTGCGAGACCCTGAACCACAGATAGCAGACTTTCTTTTGCCATGCTCTCATCCATGGCGTCTAAAACCACGAAGATGGCATGGTATGGCTCCACGCACGTCTCCAGTGCTGATACCAGGTGCGAAAGGTTTGGCTGGCAATTCTCGCGATAGAGCTGAGCAAACACACTCGGGATAACATCTGATTGTCGACACAGTTGATTAATTACCCAGCGAAGGAAATGCGGTGCCTCGTCGTGATGTCGTGTGTGATGACAGTAGTAATAGATACATGCGACAGACAGACTTTGGCGCTGACGGCGCTGACTTGTGGCAGCAAACCAGGAGAGGGGGCTGTTCTGGGTGACCTGGCTCCAGTTATGGGGGCCACGTCGAACTGCCCACATGCCCGCATTGAAAGGAGTTGCGAATATATATAAGGCGCAAGAACTGTCTTGCCAGAGCCCGGAATTCCGTGAATCCAGAGGCACCGGGGATGCTGGCTGCGCAAGTCTATCCATTGGTTCCAGTCTGGGTGCCGAAGAACCCAGCTTCCAGTGCCCTCTTGATACTGGCTAGAAGCCCGGTTACGAAGATCGGAAGGATTTACTGAACATAACCAACTCAGGAAAGACATGCGCTCCGAATCTGTACATGATATTAGCAAGTGCTGAGAACCTCGCATCGGAACTCGTCAGTCCTTACCTGTCAACATTTGACAAACCTTAGCCACTTCAGTCTTCAAAGCCTTAACATCTCGCCTAGATATCAACGTGATAAATAATTATCCCTTATCCCTTATAGACTCGGAGAATAAAGGGCTGGGGCACAGCTAATTCACACTTACGATATATCGCCGCAAATGATGAGAGACATGGTTGCTTTGTGCCGCTGCACATCATCAAGTGTAGACATGACAGTATTTCTCTTCAACGGCCAGGCCAGACGTGCGGCTATTGCCTTCGACCGCTGTTTCATAGTAAGGCGTCGTCTTCCGGAGCCGGGACGAGGTTCTCGAGTTGTTTGAGGCATTCGAGACAGCCTGAGATGGGCCCATCTGCAGCATCCAGGCCTCCCAGCTCAGCATCTTCGAAATCCGGGTCATGGTCGAGGAGAAACCAGAGATTTTCGACGATGCCTTGAAGGGACGTTGTCTCGATCAGCACCTTTCGGAGGTCCTTCCGTGCGTCTTTGACATTCTCGATGTAGAACTTGCAGTACCCGGCCAACTTGGCTGTGAGCTCGACGATGGCAATGACGCTTGCCGCTAGGCCTACGACCTCGGCCATGGGCTGTTGTGCAGCGCGTACAGGTACTCTCTGTTGCGGATGTGTCAAGATTTGGGGAATGCCGTTCAGTGCGGGGCATTGCAGCCTAATTATTTCGAACATTCCACTCGGTCGGAAATCGGGCATTTCATCATGGCAGCTGTGGAGCTGTGCAGCTTTAGCCACTCTCCCCCTGCAGGCAGTGTGGCAGTCTGCCTTCTTATTCTGAATTTCGAGCCCGAGGCGGGTCAACCTTCTTCGAGGCTGCAAGTTCTTGTCAAAAAGCGTCAAGAGCCGTGGACCCTCTCCTCCGGAATGGTTGTTGAGCCCCATGAAGCTGGTGCCAAAGAGCCACAGTCTTCGACTGCCTTCCTGAAGATGTTTGACAGGCCTCATGCCTCCCAGCTTCGAAAAGATAATGGGGTCGAACCTTGAACGAACGACATTGATGATTCTTGTTTCGAGTTTACCAGAAGCGGCAGAGCTGCTGGGATGTATGAGACCGATAAAACCGCCTACACTGCACTACGTGACTACCAAGAAAAGATTGTTCCTCAAATTCTCGCAGCGGTCAATCTGGATATCACGCCTCCCGAAGTGGAAGGCCACGTCAAGCCGAGTGCCCTTTACCAAATCAAGAGAATCTTGCTCGAATACCTTGAGGGATTCGGCCTAGCAACACTAGAAAAACGCGCCCCTCAGTCGTCGTGGCAAGATATAGTTGATCAGGCTGTAAATATCGTCCACGTCCTCAGCGACAACCGCATCCTAAACGCCGACGTACGACCTGACAACTTCGTCATTGTGCCCTGCGGAGAGAAGAGATATCGAGTCTTCATTTTTGATTTGGCACAGTGTAGGCTAGGCAGAGAAGATGAGTCGGACATGGATTGCGGCCGCGCGAAATGGACACAAGATGAGGAAGGGGCTATTGGGTTTGTCATGAAGCGTAGGCTGGGGAAGCTTGGGTTCGAACTCGTCGTCAACCATTCACAGAGATATCTTGAGTTCGCTGAGCGGGAAGAGTGAATGGCATTCTGGATCCTACGGGATCATGGAAGCAGACTCTGGTCCGACTCGCTTTCTATTTTGTCCCCAAACTGGTTACAAATTACCTTCCTTTGTCTAATAGCTCCTATTACTTATTACAGAGTGCCCCATGACAGACATGGCAACTTTGCACCTCTACTTCGCTCATCATGGCGATCACAATGCTTCTCACATGGCTGCGTCGCGACCGATGCTGGTCCGAGCAACCGCCAGTGTCCCCTTTTCCTCCGGCGAGAGGCCCACAATGTGCTCTTCGCCCTTCTCAACGTCACTGCCCGCATCCTTTGCGTTCTCCTGCCTGGTCAGCCCGTCTGAAGAGTCATCGCTTTCCACTGGGACATGGTCCCGGACAGCGAGCCACGTGGGGAAGGCAGCCAGGCCTATCAGCAATGTTAGCTAAGTCTCCAAGATCTGGATCTGCCCCATCGGGTAGAGCGGTTTGAGAGCATCGAGGGAAGACCTACCGAGCAGGATGGTGTTGATGGCCAGTGGCACCCGTCCACCCTTCCACTTCCTCGTGTTAAGTCCAAACGACACCGCCTGGGCAAAGCTCTCCTGGCCGCGCAGGATGCCCGAGAAACGCGCCAATTCCGCAATGTTGTCGGTCATGGAGGCGACGAAATAGTACAGCCAATTCTGCAGGGACTGGCGCGCCATGTCCCACAGCAGGAGCACAAAGAAGCCCTCGACGAAGCCCTTGTCCTCCCAGTCGTAGGCAGGCGGATTGGCCGTGTACTTCTCCTGGATGACCCAGCCATACACCCACGCCACGATGTGCCAGACGACCACGTACCAGAACCCGATGTCGATGCGGCGCTTCACGGAAAAGCCCTTGTAGTCGAGCAGCGAGCTCATCAGCTGCGAGGCTAACAGCGTACCGAAGTTGCCTGCGAAGCCGATGAGGGCGCGCGCGCGGACGCCAAAGTAGTAGGTCTGGAAGTTGCCGCTGTACTGGTTGAAGTAGGCAGCCCAGAATATGGGGAGCAGCAGGAGAATATCCCTCCGCTTACTGGCCGTCCAGAGCGCGCCAAACTCGGCCTTGAACGACTTCTCGGCGCGGATGATAACCTTGCTGCCGTCGCCACGCTGGACCTTCTCGGGAGCCGAGAGGGCAAGCGCAAGCGGGGCGGCGACGCACTGCAGGGCGATGAAGACGAGGTACGTCTGGTACCCGACCTTGCCCTTGGCCTTGGCGGCGGCGTCGTGGTTGAGCGCCAGCACGACGGCGCCGCCGACCAGGGGCCCGCCCGTGCGGAACCACAGCCAGATGTTCATGTACCGCCCCCTCTTGGCCGGCTCCGGGTACCCCAGCGCGATGGCGCCCTCGCTCGCCCAGAAGAGGCCCGCGCTGAAGCCGCAGGTCACGGCGCCCACGAGGACGAGCCACACGGTGCCGAAGCGGTTGTTGGCGTACAGGCCCGCGCTGTAGATGGGGTAGCCCACGGCGCCCAGGCACAGTGTCCAGTTGAGCCCGATGCGGTTGGCGATGGGCCCGCCGAAGAGGCAGAGGAAGCCCATGATGCCGAATACCAGCGCGTTGGCGGCGTTGACGAGGTACGGCTCCTGCGCGCCGCCCGCGCCGAGGGCGTTCATGGCGTTCCAGAGTCCCGGGGCGATGAAGCCCACGCCGCCGATGACGAAGGCGTTCCAGAGGGTTGTGTGGTACCATGTCCGGTGCGCCACGCGGGGCTTAGATGTGGCCGTAGCCGTGGCGGGGCCGGTGGTGTCTGCCATTTTGACCGGCCGTGATTAGTGTATTGGTTCCGGAGTTGGGTAAAGATGGGACGAACTCTGCTTTGATGGGAATGCATTACTATCTATATAAGCACAGGTTGGCTGCCATAGGTTCCTCGGATTCCCGTCCGGCCATTGAAAAAATCTTCAAACTCCAAAACCTGGCATTCAATGCCGATGTTTTCGGTACTCTCATACACTGCTACAATGGCGACATCAACGATTGCGGGTCCCGAGCCCCCGTCAATTCGCCGAGCCAACGGAACGCCTTGCCGAAAGAGGCAGCTCGAAATCCACGCCGTATTCCGAACCCCGGTCTATTTGGTCTCATCGTCCGTGCTTGGAGTCTAGTCGACGGCTTTTGGTTATCGAGACCCTGGTGCCAAGGTATGGCGTATGGAGGGGGATTTGAAGCTTGCTTTCTGTTGTGCACCACGGATTGGATACGGCGGAGTGTCTAGCACAGTGATTGGTGGAATGACAAGTGGCGAGAGTAAGAAAGCCGCCCTGGATTACCCGAGTCGTCCTTGCTCAGGAGCCTGAGGTGTGTCGAGTTGCCCCCACGTGGGAGTGACGGCATATCATATTTCTTGTCGAGGACGTCTTTTGAGGATGGAGAACTAATTCGGTGCAGGCGTATCTCAGCGCAATCTCCCCTTGACCAGGGACAAGAGCTCCGAAACCTGCGACAGGCTCTCGTAAATACCCTCAGGCAGGTCCAAGCCAAGGACCTCCTCGAGCATGGTTTCGACCCGGCTGAGATCCGTACGGTTCTGACTGTTAGCCGCGCGAAACTCGGCATTCTCGCCCTCCATCCTCGAATTCTGGACCTTCATGCGGTCGTAATTCCGGCGCACTTGGGCATCCGATGCCGGACCTCCCTGTGCCGAGGGGAGAATGGACGGGACTGCGGAGGGTGCTGTTGAAAAAGGGGTCGAGTAGTTGTTGCTGGCTGCGGGGGAGTCTGAGGACCGGATTGAGGGCCGGGTGCTGGTTTCGGTAGGGAGGGAGTGGAGAGGAGTGGGGGTTGGATTCACGAGAGGAGTATCATGGGAGTCCATTCCGAAGACTGGCACCGAGAAAGGTTGAGAGAGGAGGACTGATGGGCTGAATGTCGGGGGTGGAGCACTGGTTGAAGAATGCGGTGCCAATGGGGGAGGAAACCCGTCTCTGCGTTGTTTTTGTTTCGGTTAACTAACGAGACGGCTTGCAAGACCAACAAGAGGCATGCAGGATTTAAGTGTCCGAGGACTGAGATAATTACTTACACATTCGAGAGCAGATATTCTCCAGCGTCGGATCCGGACAGGAATGGCTGAAACGACAGACCCGTGATATTAACCGGCGGAATCATGAGGGAACTGGACGGGTTGATGGAGAGGTAGTCTGGTCATGGTCAGTCGTGCGAGACACATCGAGTGTAAGAGGTGTAAGAGGAAAAGAACATACACGGATAGTACTCCGCCTTCAACGACTGGTCATCTCGGTCCTGCATCCCCGGAATAAGCAGTCGGAATAGCATCCACCACTTGTCCTCCTCCAACATGCGGCCGCAGGGCTTCTCCATCTCGGCCTCGAGCTCGTGGTCCATGAAGCAATCGCTCTCAGGTGGTGGTCTGACTTCACACGTCTCTAGTTGCTCGTGGGCCCTTGCCTTCCGCCTGGCGTCGAACGAGATCCAGCACCGGGCGCAGCGATACGATCGCATGTGCCTACGGCTCAGGTGTTGCCTGGGGCACTGTGGTTTAGCTCTCTGAAAGTACCGGCCATTGTCTTGCATCCCGGGGGAGTGACTTACTTGAGACGCACTATCCCCTCGCAACCACCTTGGCGGTTTCGCGGGCCTTGTCGCAGGCATTCCTGCGATATGAGGGACTCCCGAGTCATGTGGTATTTTTGGTACGGACAAGCAAACCGGAGCGAGTTGATCTTGGAGCATGGCGCTCGGGGAGCTTGGCGTCTCCTTTTCCGCGGCTGCTCTCGACGGTCATCGTCGTCATCTCGACTCTTCCTTTGGGTGGAGCACTGGTCAGTTGTCGGGTTAGACGACGACGGGCCGGAAACTTGGGTCTCGGAAGGATTTGTTTCTCGCCCGGACTGAGACACTGGTGCTGTCTCGTCCTCGTTGTCGAAATTGCAGTCCTTGATGCCGTCCTGGTCGTCACAGGAGTCGGCCGAGGAGTGCTGAGAAGCGCAATCCTCTGCATCGTTGGCCACGCTTCGACTCGATATCGTAAGAAGTTCTATTCGGACTCGTGCCACGCCCACTTGCTTTGGTATCCTGGTCGTCTCTAGGCCTCGGTCGGCAGTGCTTTCACAAGACGAGTCATGAAGCGGGGATCGCCTGCTTATGTTATTGTCTTGTGCACCGAGGTCAACAGTAGGTCCGGGGGTCGCTCTCGGTGTGGGCAATAACGTTTGCGTGCCAAAGGACCGGGTTGATGGGGGTGGATTCTCAGTCTCAGAATTCAAACCAGCCGATGACAAGTCGAAGTCCATGGGTTGAAGAGTCGGTCGTGGCTGGCTCGGAAATGAATCCTCTGGAGGAGGAGGGCTAGGAGAGGGAGAACTGAGAAGATCGATCATAGTGATTGATGAGCCAGAGACCGGCACGACAGCTTTTGTCATGGATTTTGATAGGATTGCTTCGTTAGCCTGAGGAAATGGAGGAATTTTGGTCATATCAAGAACCAGATCATCATCCGGAGGCTCGGGTTTGAGCTTGGCTGAAATGACTGGTAGCTCAGCTGGCTCCTGCTTGATGCCGGCCAAGGGCAAGCTGCCCTCCCCGATGTTTTCGAAAACAAGCTGTATTGTCGGTAGAGAAATCTGCTCCATATGCCTTGCGAGATGGGAGTTGAGTTTCTTCCAGGTATCGAATCGTTTGCTGCAAAACCGACAAGGTTCGTCAGCTGCTTGCTTCGACCGTGAATGACAACGCTCGACAATGTCCCATGTCGGATGGCCGCTGCTAGTACCGATGACTCGCTTCAAGGATGCTCTGGTCAGGGGTTGTGGCTCCGGATGCTTGTGTTTGCGGACTAGATGCTTGAGAAAGTTGTCCCGGCGGAAGTACTTCTGCCCGCAATCGCCAACATCACAAGTCCACCAATCTAGCTGGCGGTGGCGTTCGTTTTCATGCCGGACCCAATCGGCTTTTCTCTTGTACTCCTTTTGGTCTTTGCAGGATTCCCAAGTGCAGACGAACGTCAGTACGTCCTCGTGGACATGCCTTTTCCACTCCGACACCGACCGGACTGTTGTCATGCGGAAACAGAGAGGGCACTCAAACTGTGCAGGGAGGCTGGTGAATGGGGGCCGTGAGATGTCAAAGGGAAGGCCGATTGGGGAGGCGGTCTGTCTCTCATTATCCGAGACCCCCTTCTCAGTCTTGATTTTCACTGAGCGGCTGTCGCGACGGTCAAGCTGGAGCTTGAGAAGACATCGGTAGCGGAGAAACTGCTGATGAGCGATACGGTCAACCAGGCGAGAACTGTTCACGGCCATGCCGGGGTTGAGATAAACTATGTGCCTCTTGAAATCGGGAATGCTCGGCGTTGTGTTGGCCATGGTGATGCGTGTGGGTAAGCTCATGTCCAGGCCGCCTTCGCCGCTGTCGCTGTCGCTCTCGCTCTCGCTCTCGTCGTCTAGGTCTTGCTGTTCGGACGGACTACTGTCTGAAACCTCGACTGGGCTGGCCGGGGGTTCACTGTGCCTTTTCTCCAAAGATGCCAGGTTTGAGTGTGAGAGCCCCGAGCTGGAACCGCTGTGGATCTGGCTCAGAGGTGGCCTGGAGCCATCAAGAAGGGAACCCATTCGCGATTGGACGGCGTCCTTTCGTTTGCGGACTAGCGCTCGAAGTGCATCGAGTTTGGGTAGATTTGGTCGCCCCCAGTGCTCCCGACCCATGCGCTTGAGGAAGTTTCCCCCGATAGAACCTCCTCTCGAAAAGTTGTCGAGGTCTTCGAAACTAGGTAGACTCATCCGCCGAGTTCCCCACGATGCCTTGGTTGAACCGACCGACTTGTTGTCGTCGCACATTCGATTGAATGTCGCCATGGCAGCATTGGATGACTCGGGCTGGTAACGAGAGTCAGTGATTTCCAAGAGCAACGGAGCGTCGGCCCAGTTCCTCTGTTGATGGATCAACCGAAGGTCAACCTCGGTGAGCTTCCCCCCTTGCTTCTGATAGTATATCTGGCCCGGAACCGGGTTGTTCAGGGTTGGATGACCAAACGGGATTTCTTCCCCCGGCAAGTCTCCTACCGTAGGCATAGGCAGCTGCTCTGAAAGCCCCAGGGGCGGAGGTAGCTTGTCACCGCCCTCCTCCACGGTTGCAGCAATCCACCTATCCACTTCTTCATTCCTCTCTTGCACCTCCCGCATAGCTGCCATCTCGATGACACTAGCAGGCATTTCTTCCGAAGTACGGCACCCCGGTGCAATGCCTTGACGACTACTGGGTCCTTGGATTTGTCCTAATGACGCGGGTTCGTGGTCAAATGCTAAGCTTGCAGCATCGTCGACCGGGCCTAAAACTCCTTCGTCTTCGTCGATCCATGGTGACAGCGTCGTTGCCGGGGTTTGGTAGGTTGCGAGGGAGGTGTAGGTTGTTGGTGTCGGGTAAGTTGCCGGGGTCGGGTAGGTTGCCGGGCTTGTGTCGGCGGTCGTCATCCAGTTGCTCTCCGGAGACGTGGCGTGCACGTTCTTCCAGGACATCCCCCATACAAGCGACTCTGGGGTCTGTTGCGTGGCTGTTGTTGCCGGGCTGAGAGGATAATATGGGCCAAATGGGCCAGAGGGCAGGCTCTGCGCCGACCTCCCTGCAGAAATTGAGGGAGGGGATAGCCCCAAAAACGGATCATTGACCTCCTCGAAGCTGACCTGTTGAAAAATCGGTAGATGAACGAAGTCGCTACATGGGGAATTTGGTGATAATTGAGTCGTCTCAGTTATTATAGACTGGCCAGGCGGGGCTTCCGACTCTGACGTGCTTAGGAAATGGCCGCCCTGCTGTGGCATGGCGTTGCCGTCGTTCGACGCCATCACTTTGACCGCGACCGAAGAGAGCCCAGGCAGTAATGGTTGTGCCGATTTGAAGGGGTAGAAAAGGATTGAGTGAAAGGCAGAGGGGGGTTTGGGGTAAAATGTGCGGAGCAACACAATTGTGCTGCGGGTTAATGCCGCAGGCCTCAGCCGCACTTGCGCAACCAGTCCCGAGTCGGGGGGACAGTCCTACGCCAAGGAGAACGATTGGATTGGTTCGCCCAACAGGTGGCGCAGCTGTGACGGTGTGTCGACACACCGGCACACTTGTGCTTGTTCCTCGGTATGTGCAGCGCCGGGCATTTACCAGTAATAAAATGCGGTCAGTCTACGCAACAAGTGTTCCCTCTGGATCTCGCGCCTCACACCCTCCTTACACCTTGTCCATAATTACAAAGTGTAGACATGGACGCTCATCTGCGCATTCCTAGCACTGATTGTGTCCTGGACGCACATCTCCAGACTCGGATCCGAAGTATAATAAGAGAGAGCTCTGCCATGGAGCAATCCGGACTACCTCTGAGCGGACTACCAATCTCGTCGACATCTCAACTTGCCACGACTAACACGACAATTCTCTTCTCAATTTTCAGCTCGTGACTATCACTACCAACGTGGGAACATGACATCCTCTAACATGTCTTCCTCCCTCTCGCCATTTCTCGCATCTCGCAATCAAACGTATGCATTATCCCCGAACTCGGTGATAATTAATAGTCGGCCCTCGATACTAACATACCAACAGAAAATTAACCAGCAATGGGGCCCAGGATATTGCATCGCAACTCCAACGCATGTCTGTCGACGCCTTGAGTCTACTGCGCGAACTGGACGACGTTTTGGACTCCATCGCTGGCAACGACCCCACCGAGACAGTCGAGTTGAACGAGAAACGAGACGCCCAAAGCTCCCGCACCTCCAACTCCACCACCCACAACATATACCTCGTTGGTATCGGAAGTCAGTTCGCCGACTCTAGTGGGGTTTGAAGATGGGCACCCGGGCACGCATCCTGGCTGATATCATGTCCATCGCCTCTCCAGTGGGGTTGCCATGAAACACTGGTTATGTTGGGAAATAAGTCAATGGGAAGGATGACGGTGTGCCAGCTGAAGAGGCGAGGGAAGATAAACTAAAAGTCCGTGTGTTCTGTTGTTGCAGCTGAACTGAGTGTGGGGGATCGAGTAAAAGGGGGCAGATCGAGTGATTGAAAGAGTCGATAAATCAGGCGTTTGGCTTGTAATTAAGCAGTATTCTTCAATTGTATTTCATGAAATGCGGAAGGCTTATCACGGTTAATTTAGCAAAGGGTCCCTTGATGCTGGTCTGAGTTGAAGGGTGACAATATTGTTGTCATCCACAGTTAGCCTAACTCGACATGATATGCTTCCGCCACTGCGACATCCGCCACGATAGCCTCCTGCTGCACGCCATGGCCTGACGTCCGAGTCTAAATCTTCTCTACAGACGGCAAGATCGACAACTGGGGTTAGATAGCGGACAAGTTCCGCGATGCTACGTGGTCTAGATTCGGGGGAATAACTGGGAAGCGCAGGCGCCCATTGGTGGCGGGCTCGGTGAGCAAGCGCGATCTGGAAAGGACGATTGCTTTCTCAACGCGGCGAAGCGAGCCAAGCCGGGGGAGGGGTTGGGGGCCAAGTCCTCCCCAGACTTGGAAATACGGATCTGCGGCCTCCTATTCGGCAGTCGGCGGTCCACGCGTTCAGGGATGGGAGCCCGTGAGGTTGCACTGCTGGCTTCGGGATCAAATGCGGCAGGTAAGAACGGAGTACTCTACGTTAATGGCCGTTATATGCGTGATATGTGTCAGATGATTGGAGGCGTCTAACCCTCGTCTAACCCCCGCCGCGCTCTCCCTGGAAGGCGAATGGCTTAAAGTACCCCGCACCAGAAAGGGGCCCGTCAAACCCCAGGAAGTGGGCAGAGGGGGGTGGGGTGGCATCCATGCCAAGTGGCCCGATCACACCCATCATTGACGTACATGCTCATCCTTGGACATATGCCGAGGTAGGTCTTGATTGGAGAGAGCAACGCCCCGTGAGACTTAATCTATAATATGAGCAGGTATAGACACTGGGAGCTGCTTGATCTGGCGGAAGAAATGGACCTTCTATAAAGGGGAACTGGGTAGTGGCACTTCTATAATTATCACATCCATCCAACATTAATTCTTGACTTCGCCGTCCCCCCCCAGCTGGTGATTCCAGCCTTTCTGGCTTGTCAACTAATTACTCGTGCCCTTGCCTTCCACCGGAGAGCATCCACCACATCATGGACCACGACAGCGACAAAGCCGGCGCCATGGGGGCTGACGAAGGAAGGATCGGGGTCGTCGAGTCGAAGGGCTCCACGGCCATCGATACCGAGTTTACGGAAGAAGAACAGAAGCACATCATACGCCGACTCGACAGACGCCTCATCACAACAGTCGGCATAATGTACTGCGTCTCCCTCATGGACCGGACCAACTTGGGCGCGGCAAACATTGCTGGCATGGACGTGGAGCTGGACATGAACGGCCCTGTCAACGGCATCCGATACGTGAGTGGACAACATGGGCAAAAGACAATGGCGCGAAATGGGAGCTGGAACCTCGCAAACTGCTGACTCTCTGCTTGCAGTCTATCGTGACCCTCGTCTTCTTCGTGACTTACGTCCTTTTCCAACCTCCGTCGACGATTATTGTTCGAAAGGTCGGGCCCCGCATCCACTTGTCGTTGATCACCTTGCTCTGGGGAGCAACCATGATTGGGATGGGCTTTGTCAACGACTGGAAGGCTTTGACGGCCCTCCGAGTTCTCTTGGGTATCCTCGAGGCTGGCTTCTTCCCCAGCTGCGTGTACCTGCTTAGCACTTGGTACACAAGATGTAAGTCGATGGCTATATTCCCACCCCGCCTGTCATCCCTCGACTGACTGACTGACTGACTGCTGGGATAATAAGATGAGGTCGGAAAGAAGTATTCCCTGTTCTACCTTCTCGGCTGTGTGGCTGCTGCTTTTGCGGGAATCCTCGCCTTCGGAGTATGTCCTCTGCTTCATCAGCAAAATCGCCCTTTCTCCCTTGTCCTTGTCCCTTGTCCAACCTGCTGACCGAGATTACCAGCTCATGCAAATGAAGGGCATTGCCGGCCTGGGCGGGTGGCGCTGGATTTTCATCTTCCAGGGCCTCATCACCTGCCTCATTGGCATTGGAGGATACTGGTTCCTCGTCGATTTCCCAGACTCGAAGCGTGCCTCGTGGAGGTTTCTCGGCGAACGCGAACGAGCGTGGATCGTCGCCAGAGTCGATGCCGATCGCGGCGACTCCCAAATAACCACCTTCAGCTTCGCAAGGTACCTGCGCGCTTCCACGGACTGGAAGATCTGGGCGTACGCCATGATCTTCTTCAACACGACCACCATCACGTATTCTCTCGCCTATTTCCTCCCCATCATCCTCGTGAAGAACATGGGCTTCTCCGTCGGCGAAGCCCAGTGCCTCGTCGCACCGCCGTACGCCTTTGCTGGCATCGTCATGTACGGCACCGCCTGGCTCGGCGACAAGTACAAGCTCCGCGGGCCGGTTATCGTCTTCAACAACCTGCTGTGCATCATCGGCCTGCCCATCGTCGGGTTCCATCCGAATCCCGGTGTGAGGTACTTTGGGGTGTTCCTGGTGACGGCCGGCGCCAACAGTAATGTGCCTGCTGTCATGTCGTACCAGGCCAACAACATCAGGGGCCAGTGGAAGAGGGCTTTCTGCAGTGCCACGCTCGTTGGGTTTGGCGGGGTTGGTGGCATCTGTGGAAGTTTGGTGTTCAGGTGAGCTAATTCTTTGCAGACAACTTGGAAAGGCTGGTGTGACTGATTGTTGTCTGTTCATTTAACTAGGTCCCAGGATGCTCCGGAATACAGGCCGGGCTTGTACGCTGCCATCGCGTGCTGCCTTCTTAGTATCATCCTGGTTGGCGTTTTGAGCGTCGACTTCTACTTCCAGAATCGGAAGGCAGATAGGGATGGGAAGGTGCTGGAGACTGGCGATGTAAGTCAAAAAAGCCCGGGTCCCTGTGATAACCATGAGGAGCAGCAACTTTATTAACCTTCCTCGCAGGAAGACAACCATTCTGGATTTCGCTACACGTTCTGATTGGGGGTGGATATGTTGGGTCTTCTTGCGTGCTGCGTGCCAGCGAATAACCCTATCCCATATTAAGACCTCATGACCGTGGAGTAATATTCGATCTTGGTAGGACACGTTGTTAGGACAGTTGAATGAATGAGTAATTGCACCAAGTGAACTGCTTTGCCTACATAATTACCCATTGAGATAAGCATAGATGCACATTCCAGAAACCGACACATTCCAAGCAAGGGAGAAAAGGAAATATTAATTGGATTATTAAAAAGATATAATTAATACACTTCAAGAAATCTACCTTGGGCTTGATTTGAACACGTCACCTACCCAGTCACCCAATGAATCGATTAATTACAAGCCACTGCTAAAGTCTGCCCAGTTGTACTCAAAGACAGACCATGCCTTCTGTCGATTAACAGTGGACAAGACTCCCCGTAAGTTGTTCCTGTTGTTGGGGTGCGGTCAGTGTCTATCAGGCTTCTTTGGCAATTTCAGGAGGATCGGGGGGGACATACCAGTACTGATCAATACCCTGAGGATTGTTTTGCATCGACAGCCAGAAGATTAAACGAGGAGTGAACCTCACATTCAGGTTTTGCCGGTCGAAAGTGGGTGAGATATAACCGAAATCATCGCTGGTAGCATTGAACTTGTCGAGCTTCCGATCCACAAGGTCGAAGATGGTCGCGGCGATGCGTCCTTCCTGGAGGAGCATGTATCTTTCGCTGCATCCATAGTACTCTATGTTCTGCGTGAACTCGTACAACCCGGCAGCGTCGATATCGCGGTAGCAGAGATACTCACCGCTGTCGAGAGGAGTCTGGTCGATTGCCATGAGCCCAAACGCAGTGGCATAGCCCTCCGAGAAACTGGTCCGGCTGTTGGCAAGGCTCTTGAGCCCGCAGAAGGTGTGATTCCCGCCGCCGTCGAAGCGAGCCGTCCCCCGGGCGACATAGTGCGCGAAATGCCCGTACTCGTGCGCCAGAATGGATGGGTCCTGGGCGTCCGGGACGGGGATGTTGATGTAGGGCGTTAACCCTGCGGTCGAGAAGAAAGTCCCCGTGCCATTTCCTGGAAACCAGACGGAAATCTTCTTCGCCTCACCGGCCTTCGTGGCCACCTGGGTCCTGAAGTAGTCGCTGATTGTCCGGTACGAATCGGCCACCCAGAAACCCTGGTTCTCGACGACGAACTTGTGGTGGTTCGCGATGGAGATGGTCTGTCCGGCCTCGACACGCCAGGGATTGACGACCAGGTTGACCCGGATGAACTTCGTGCTGAAGGGCTCGGAGAGCGTCTTGCGGGTGCCGATCTGGTAGTAATCTCCCTCCAGCTGGGTGTACAGGGTATGGGCAATGATTCTCTGGCCGGGAGCAATGCTGAACCCAAATGTGGCCTCTCCGTTCGCATTCAGGGTGGCCCAGGACCTCCACCCTCCGAGCTTGATGTCGCCGGCGTAGAGATCGGCATGGGCAATGACCTTCTGGAAGCGAATCGGCCGCTTGATGCCGTTCCGGTCGGGAAATGTGACCCGCGCCTTCACGAAAGCCTTCAAGATGGGTGCCTGTCGGGCCTGCAGCCCGTGCTCATCTTCCGGGCAGGGGGGAGGTGGTGGTGTCGGCTCTGGGCATTCGGTTGTTGTTTTGTAGACGGTCACCAGCGTATATCTGCCAGTGCCGTGGCCACCCCCAGGGTAGGAGTGTGGGGGTGAACCGGTGTCGGGGGGAGCGTCCTCCTTGGAAGACGCCGTGTCGTCGGGAGTATCTGTCACGGTGTCTTCGCCCAAGTCCCCTACCTCGGTTGAATCCTCCCCAACCGCGTCGAAGCTGTCAATCTCGCGAATGATGGCTTTGTTCAAGTCGTCCGAGTAGTCCCCAATATTGTGCGCCGTCCATGTCTCGGTCTGAGGATCGAACGCGAGAACAGCTCCGTTGACGTCGTAACTGGATGAACTGGTATGGCCATCGTCGATGGCAACCGAGAGAAGCACATCTTGCCAGGACTCGGTTGGCAAATCGAAAAAGACGGACTGGACGAATTCGGCGGCTGTCGATGGGATCGAGACTGTCTCGGTGTGAACGATAGCCGGGGAGGGGCCTTCGGCATCGGCTTGGGCTTCGCCGTCTAACACGTAGGGCGACGTGTAGAGGGTCAAGGTCAAGCTGCTTGCGGTGGACTTCAAGCGCTGGAACTTGATGGGAGCATCAATGAATACCCGAACTTGGTCATCGCCGACAGAGTCAGTGCTGAAGGAAACAGCACCAGTGAGAACCTCGACTTGCCAGCCAACGTCAGGCTGGGTGGCATGGACAAGTGCGAAAGACACGAGCCAAGCAGCAAAGCTGAATAGACGGGCCATGTTGGCGGTTTGTCGATGAATCATGGTGTTCAAACCTAAGTGCGAGGGCAGAGTGCTGTCAAGATTCAGGGGCCGAGCACGCTCCCTCAGGAACGTTCAGATATATATAAATTCATGACGCACAGAGTCGTTCGATTGAGAACCAAACATGAGGATAATTAATCCCCGGAAAAAGCCTACTGCAGAGGAGGAAGAAGTGCGCTAACAACAATCAAGAGTGGTCCAAAGTGGCAAGAGTGAGCTGTGAACCAAGCTGTTGCTTCTGCTGGTGCACTACAGTGTATGGGAAACCACAGTAATTAGCTGCCAAGCAAAACGTAAAATTCGCCAAGAAAACTCTTGTGCGCGCCATTGGGGCTATGTATGGTTGCGATGAACCGCTAGTCCTCAGCCTTCGGACCTTGAAAGATCAAAGTTCGGTTTTAGTGTATGTGGCTCTTATTAGATCTCTTGGCAAGTGCAGAGTCAGGGGACAATCAAGGTTCTGCGCCTAAAAAGTCTGGAACTTATTGGGCCTGGGCTTTGTGAGATTCCAGGAGTCTACTAGCCAGTTCCACTGAGGCTTCGCTTCCCGGGGTTCTCAGCTCATTCAGCTGAGACATCGTCCTTCCATCTCCTGATGATGATGTCGGCCGCCTTCTCGCCAATGGCATACGCCGTGGCGCTAGTGTGAGTGCCGGGGATCAAGGGGAAGATGCTGGTGTCGACGACGCTCAGGCCCCCCACGCCATGCACCCTAACATCCGGGCCGACAACACCCCCTTTCTCCCTTGGCATCATAGCTGCGGTGCAGCAGGGGTGCTGGAATGACGCCGTGACCACGCTCCTGAGGGACTTGATGATGTCGCTCTGCGCCGTCACAGCCGGGCCCGGAGACACCTCCACCGCGCCGAGCGACTGCATCGTCGGCGTGGACGCGTATTTCCTGAAATATCCGACAAAGCTGGCCAGGATGTCCCAGTCGACAGGGTTGGAGCAGCTGCGGTAGTCGATGATCGGCTCGCCCTCGGGGTTGCTGACGTTCAGCAGGACTGTTCCACGGCTCAGCGGCTTGAGGAGGAACCCCCCGCCAGATGGGCCGCCGGAGAAGGGCGATTCCATCACCGGCGACTCTGGATCTGAGAGTTCCTTTGCCAGGATCTCGAGCTGGGCTTTGTAGCCTTCAATCACCGGTTCCGCGGCGCCTTCGGGCAGGTATGACTTGAATGTGCCGTCGGAGAGTTGTTTATTGATGGCGTCGACGATGTCCTTGTACTGGTCCGTGATGAGTGGCAGCGAGACATACACGGCGCTATTCCCCATGGCTTGGGTGTATGGACCCTGGGCGGGGCGCAGCTTATACTCGTCCAGCGCCTCCTGCGAGAATGTCTTGTTGCCGCTGAGAGTCCCCGGGTTCGGAGTGATGGTCTTGTTGAGCGATACAGACGCACCAGCACCACCGCCGTGGTCGTGGAAATTGTATCCCACTCCGGCAAGGTCGGCAACTACCTTGATGCCCGCTTCGTCCAGGAGGCTGGCCGGGCCGATGCCACTCCTCTGCAGGATCTGCGGTGTGTGAATTGCCCCTGCCGAGATGATAACCTCGGCTTTTGCTGTTGCTAGGATGGTCGATCCGTCCTCGAGTGACTTGATCTCCACCTTGGGAGGGCCCTTGAACTCTGTATCGTCCTCATCATAGACGACTCTGATGACTTTGTGCTTGACGATGAGGTCGTAGTTGTCCCTCGATTCGATCACATTCTGGTAATGGCCAATCCCTGCGTGAGATCGTTCGGCGGTTACCGGGTCTTGCGACGTGGGAACCCAGCAAATGCCGACCTTGCTGCCCCCTGCGCACTCCTTGATGGGTTCTAGGCCAGCTTCGACCCACGCCTGCCACGCCAGCTCTGTGTTGAGTTAGACTCACTAGTCACGCAGGGAAAACAAAAGATGGAAGACGGATTTGGCACTTACTCTGAATCGGCCACTGGAATGGCGGATAGCTGGATTGGATCTGACCCGATCCACCAAACGCTGCTTCCACATCCCAGGTATAGCCATAGTTTTCCACGTCAGACTCGGTCGGCTCTGTAAAGTTCACACTCTAATTATCATAAATTTAGCTTCCAACCGCGAAGTTGAAGAGATGGATGTTGGGTCGCAAAGAAATGCCGAATGATTACCTTCTTGAAAAATGGAAGAATGCCTTCCCAGTCCCATTTGTCGGTATGGTTATCAAACTCCGGGCTGGCAACTGCCTTCCATGCATCGTAATCGCGGCTTGCTCCGCGGTCGAAGAACTGGCCATTGATAGTGGAGCTTCCACCCACAGCCTTGATGGTGTCAATATTAATGCTCGTCCAAATATGTTGTGCAAAAAGCCAGAGTACGCACCTGTCCAGTTGCTAGACTTGCCGTCCTGTTGTTGAATTCGGGAATGGGCTGCGTCGAGTACTGCCAACGCTTGGGACCTGCTCCTGTGCCGGGTGGCTCGAAGGCTCCGGGGGCGTCCTCAATGTAGCCATACTCAACAACCAAGACGGTTTCTGTTATCACATCAACGTCTGGTCCGCAGCAACCGAAGAGGCCAGTAGGTATGTCTCACTGTCTGGAAATGCTTCACTCAGTCGATTTGCAACAGTCAACCCCGCGGTGCCACCACCAGCAACAATGAAGTCGTAACTGTCGCGAAGTTCGGTAGCTTGTCTCTTGACCTTGTCCTGGGGAACTTGGGGGATAACACCACCGCAGGCTACAGTGGCCAAAGCCACGGAGCCAAGGAGGGAGGGCAGATGCATGGTAATTACGAGTCAAATCCGACCATGGGCATGCCGAGGACAGAGCCAGGTTAACTCCACGCTCCGACCCGGACACACCAGTTGACGCAGGGACCTTTATAGAGGGATGGCGATGGTGCCGGGAGTCCGACATTCCCCCCCCCCCCCCAAGGTCAACTAGACGAGTTCAGCCGGAGAATGTCGAGTTGCCAAATCAGCTCGGCAACGATATGATTTGCTGCCCACAAGGCTGAAGCTTTGGTTCTTCTTGGCACACTAACGTATAGAGTATATTCCAGTAAGTTGTGTCGTGACTCAGGGCATCTAATATAGATTGCGCGGGGTGCCAAGGCTGCACAATTTGCGTCCTGTCAGGCTCAATTGCCCCTGATTATCCAGTGGCCTGTCTCGTGGACTGAGCTTTGACAATGGAGCGAAATGCCATAGTACGTACAGACAAAACGAGTTCGCAGCAATGGTCTCGGATATTGGGCAGAGACTAGTCCTCCTCATTTTTTTTTATCATTGGATGGCTGGCTCCTGCCCCTGGTAGGATGGATAACTGGGAAAAGCACGCCATCAGCCAGCTGTGAGAGGCGGCCAGGTATGAGATGGGTCGACCTGGCTATATAACCGGAGTTCATTGCTGCACCGAGAAGAATTTCCCGACTTGCTTCTCCGGGATGGGCCCGAGTCCCACTTCTAGCCCCGAAGAAAGCAAGAAAACAAAACGGTCATAACAAAAGAAAATGGATGCATCACTCCAAAGACAGTGACTTGCGAATTGAACAATGTCGTGTCGTGGTTCTCAATAATGTTCTTGTTGTGATGAAATTTGATCCTTCGTTTTACTCTCTTCTGTCATACAGGAGAGAATGACGCATCGATAATATAACAGTCCATAGCAATGATAATTCCACTACACGGGGCTAGAAGTAGATGAGGTTTAAGACCATACAGCATAATCTGTGCAAAGCCTCTATGGCTTGATCTAACCTCTAGCTAAATACCTAAAACCAGCCCTGTCCTCGCCAAGCCCGACGCACCATCAAGGAAGCAACACCTTGTGCTGAAACCCCAAAAACCCATCAAACACGATCAAGTCATCTCGATACGCAAAGACGACGCTGCTCTTGGAAACGACGCGCACGATCGGCCCGCCACCGGCGGTCTGCCACAGCGGCGGGATGAAAAAATGCCGCGTGTAGCTACCCTCGTTGTGCTTGGCGCCATCTTTGGTGCTTGTAGAGCACACCCAGCCGTTGCGGCCCAGGAAGAAGAGGCTGGACCGGTGGAGGCCGACCACGGTGCGGAGGTCCGAAGCGGGCAGAGGCCCGGTGAGGATCGCGGTGGGGATAGTGGTTGAAGTTGCGGGGACGATGTGCGAGGGACGAAGGGTCAGGAGCACGGAGGTGGGCGAGGGGGAATTCGGGAGGCGGACTACTTGGGCGAGGAGGTCGGAGCCTGGGCGGGAAGACCAATTGTTTGGGAGGGTAGGTATTGGTGGTGCTGCTGCTGTGCCGGCGGTACTGGCGCCAGCTAGGTCGTCGGGGAGGGATATCTTAACACCCGAGTCTCTAGTCTCGCGTTTGAGACCTTCCCAACGGAAGAGGTGGATCGTGTCTCCGTCTATGAGTAGTAGCCGGGACGCGTCGGTGGGGTGACGAAGCCACCGCGAATCGCTGGAAGCGTGCCGGCTGGCCGTAGTGGCGCCGCTGGCATGGCATAAAGCCTCGCCGTCTTTGGAGGAGATCAGGAAACTGGACCCGTCTGGGCTTATCAGTGCTTGAGATACAGCGCTGCTGGCTCGGTGGTCAACCACGCGCTCGAGCTGCTGCCACGGTGCTGCAGGCGGCGAACGGAAGCGAGTGGCAATGCATCGGCCCGACACGTCGACGCTGAGGAGAATATTCGCTTGCGGGTTCCAGTCCAAGTGGCTGACGTCTACCATGCGAGCGTGGAGCCTCAGCTCGAGGCATTCCTTCCCAGCACTCCAGTCGTGTACTGTAATGGACCCGTCCTCACGACCACAGAAGACGAAATTGGAATCGCCAGCCTGTGTGATGACCGTGATAGCCCTGTCGCCTTCAAACGATCTTGTGAACACCACACCCGGGGCTGGTAGGTTGGGCTCCTCCGCATCGCTGGAGCTGTCGTCTGCCATATTCTTTCGGATCAGGACCGACGGTTCCCACACATTGCACGCGCTTCTGCGGATATCGAAGAATCGAAGACTGTTCGAGGTGAAGACGATTCCTAGTATTCGTTCTTCCAATGATGCGATCCGGTACATCAGCCGGAGCGTCTCAAACGCGAAGAGAAAAATGACCCCGTCATTGTCGCCGGCAGCAAGCGTTCTGCCGTCTGGTGAGCTGGCAAGCACCGAGGTATGAAGGTTAGCGACGTGTTTCTGCTCTAGGGTGGATAGGTCGAGTGTGACTATCTCTCCGTCCTGGTATGAGACAGCCATGAGATTCAATTCCAGGACTGGGTTGAAAGTCATGTCCAGAATCTGAGGCGCCTTCTGCATGCCCTGCCAACCATCCTTCTCAAACACCCCAATCTTCTCGTCGCCTTCGAAATTAGTCAAGGTAAGATGAGATCTGCGATAGGTGATGGCCGTAAGGTCCAGCGTCGGACTTGTTCGAACAAGGAGTGGGGTGATGTTTCGGTGCAGTTGATCGTCTCGATCAGAATCCGAGTCGGAGCTATCACCGCCGAGTGGAATCGGTTCCAGTTCAGCGCCGTCCTCGACGTGGAAAACGCGAACCACACCGTCTTTGGTGGGAACGAAGAGTTTGGAGTCGTCCGAGTTCATGCCGATGGACAATGGTTGCGTCGCGATCGAGGCAGTCCAACGCTCAGTGTGGCTTGTCCCCCATAACACTATCTTCTTCGGGCTACAGGAGACCAGGATTTGTGAAAGCGTTCCAAACACTAATCGGCGGACTGGGTGGCCATGGCCTTGACTGATCTCAGAAAGAAGGTCGAGGGTAGAGCAACTGTAGACTTTGATGGTCCCGTTTGTAAAGCCGACGGCTAGATAGCGATTGCTGCATGCTATCGCTGTAGCGAAGGCCGTGTACTGAAAACAAGACAACCGCTCATCCCAATCCTTATTGGAAGAGCAAATGAGCTTTTGGCGAGAGTGCTTCCCAAATTTCTCGTAGAAAACGGACGAGGTGGGACAGAGCGGGGGGATCACCGAGTAAATGGACGATGGCGTCTCGAGAAGATTGGGCCCGAAAAGAGCGAGAAGCCTCGCGAGGTCGTTGATCATGGCATCAACCAACTGATAGTCAGGATCCAGCGGCGAGGTGGACTTGACGTAACGGGAGACAAAGACCTTGAGGTTCTGGATGACAGTGGTAAAATGCCCGAGTTTTCCATTTGCCGCCGTCCTTTCGATCCACGTCAGAAGGTTGGAAGTGACAAATGTGGCAACCATGGCAAGTAGATCGACCTCCGAAGCCGAGGGGTAGCTGCGACTGAGGTGGTATGAGAAGTTGGCGCAGGCGTACTCGTCAAGATCCGAGCCATTACCCCTATTAGAGGCCGGTATAAGAGCATGGCGTGATCGAGGCGGGCTGAATGTTCGTCCGTTGAGCTGCTGTAGGCAGATCTCCGCAAGGCGTGCGTGCCCCTTGTAACGCTCGATGTATAGGTCAGACTGGGCCGAGGTGAGAAACTCCTTCACGGTGTGGTGCATGACCTGCACACACGACTTGTTGTCGACAGTGACGAGATTCCCACAAATGTGTGCGAACTCTGCAGAAGCCCGAAGGTTCTGGCCGATGTCGACGCGGACAGCCTCCTTCAGCTCGTCGGTCGAAAGTGGCCGCGGTGCGCTGACGACCCATCTGAGAATGCAATGTGCAAGAGCAGCACTCGGGGATTCCTTGATGCCCTCCAGGATTCCCGTGTACAAGCCAGACATCTCGGAGGGGACTTGGCGGAGGGCATCCCGCATAGCCTCCACGCTGTAAGCATGCTCCAGGCGAGAGATTATGAGGGATGCCCAGAGAAATATTCCACTGGACTTTTCCAAGACTTCGGAAACAATATCGTCCTCACCACCGTCGTTGTCCATCGGCCGATGCCCCAATCTTGCTCTGACAAATGCAGCAATGTCTCGCTTTGAGCCTCCCTCTCCTGTGCGCAACTCGAAACCTCGGATCTCGCCCTGGCTGAAGGATCGCTCTATTTGCTGATTCAGCCGGCTCGTGACAAAAACCCTGAGAGGAATAGTTGGTTCAATCTTTGCAAACATCTGGAGGAGCGACGACAGGGCTCTGCTGGGACATTCATCGAGGGCGTCGATGACCCAAAACTGGGGCTGTGAGAACCTGATCTTGAACAGTCGACCCAGAAAGATGCTGTTCCATATCACAGTGTGATCCAAATTGTTTATCCACTCGCCATCCTGTATCATCTGAAGGATGGTCCGCCTTACCTCGAAGTTCAATTCGGCCATCTGGAAAACCAAGCACGAGAGCATCTGAGCAACGCTGACCCTCGCGGAGCTCTTGCAGAAGAAGTAAGCACAGTCGAGGTTGGAAGCTTGGAGATACTGGACGACATTTCCCGAAGCCACGGATTTGCCCGACCCTGGAGGTCCGCTGAGCCAGAGGAAGCGGGAACGGCCTCGAATCGAAGGGGATTCGGTTTCCGGAGCGAGTGTATGTACAGCGTCCTGATCGCAGTCTAACCACCTCTGGAAGTCGCCGTGTTCGGTGAGCCACTCACACGAACCTTTATGCGTCCTGTCCAGTATCGTGATGAGGTCCACCTCGGGCTGGTGGACAATTTCCAGGGCATCAGAGATAGATTTCATCTGGGATTTGTGATCCTGGAGCCGGCGTGCAGGATCTGGTTACGTTAGAGACAGGCTTAATGCTCATCGGAATTAAGGGTTACTTGAAGTACACACAGTCTTGCTGGATTTGTTGGATTGTAGTACCGAAACAATGCAGCAGAGTCTTGTAATTCGGATCATCCAACGTCTCAAATTTGCAAATATGGCGATGGTCGGCTTGCAAGTACTGGGTATGTTCACCTGGCAGACCTGATCCTCGAGTCAGCAGACTATGTCAACTTGTCGAGTATTCAGTGAAAAGGTGACAGTTAATTACCTAAAACGGCCGATTCTCTCTCGACTATCATCATCGAGGTTGGCCCCGTAGATGTCGGTGCGCCTTCGAAGAAGGACCATATTTGCACATTTCCGCAGACATGCCGGAATTCATCGTTGATAGCCTGAAGCTCCATGTCAGTCTTGGGGTAATTATGTCTGACAGTCATGATCATGTTTATTAATTACCTGTAATGTTCCTGAGCCTGGAAGAAGTTCCTTGACAAACGCCTTGGGACCGGTAGAAATAAACATGGACAAATAGGCCGTGACAAACTGGGTAGAGTCGGCACCTCTGTGTGGGGTGCCGAGGAAGTACAAACTGTGAATTCGGGAGGCAATGTCCTTGTACGTGGGGTCTCTGGTGGCGAGGAGGTATGCCTTGACAGTGCTCGGTCAGCAAGCTCATACGAGTCAATTAGCCTCAGGTTCCAAGACACGAACCTTCTTGACGACCAGCCCGCCCATGCTGTATGAGATCAGCACTATTGGGGACTAGCCTGCGGTTAGCTGGGTGGCGACGCGAGGAAAGGAGACCCATTAACGCACATCTCCGTTCTTTTTCAAGGTCGGCGCGTTATACATGTCAGCCAGCATCGCCTGGCCGAAATCATGAATTGTCAGGGGACTCTGTTGCGATTTCTTCCAATCCGAGTCGTAGCCATAGCTGTGGATCCGGACGTGTCTGAAGGCTTTCTCCGAGGGTAGCCATTCCTTGGGCCAGAAGGTCATGGGATCCTGCGACGCACTCCATGACTTTCTCGAGCCTCCACCAAGCCCATGCACCTACGGGTGCGAAGATCAGCATGGGGTTCTGTCAAGCTATTCGATGACACCAGCATGCGTACAAATATGAAGTCGATGAGAGGATCGGAAGGCTCATGGAGCAGACACAGGCCGAGCGTGTCTGCGGTGTCGCTAGGGCCGCCGAAGAGCTTCACGGACCCCGGAGAACTCGTTCGGCGCAAGTGTCGTAACGTGCCTTTCAGCAGGCTGGGGGCAGATCGTCGACGGCTTGATTCGGGAAGTGATGGGACTTGGAGTGTCGACGAGCGGCCTTCAGCGACCCATTTAGCCTCTGGCCAAGCCTGGTCGGTCAACTTGGAGTCAGCGACAAGCACTTGACCAGCATGATAGGTACCCGGCAGAATGCCGGCGCTTACATCTGATTGCTGTGCCATTCTGGGCCTAGTTAGGTCATAAGATCTGGACACGGCCGGGGGGGTTGCAGTGTCGCGTGACCGCGTCAAAGGGGAAGGGAGCCAGGGAGCACGACGGCGTTTCAAGATCAGCTTGTTGTGCTGGAGAAGCGAGTTTTCTGGCGCGCGGTGTACGGATTACCCAAGTTACTATTTGTTTATCCGCACTAAGTGCTATAGACCCTAGAGACTGCCCACATCTGTCCTTGAAGCGCATGCAAAACTACTGGTGCAGCTGCAAGCCAACAGGATTACCATTACCAAATTATTTCGTGTAACGATGTCTCTGGTGTGACCTGTCACTGAAGTAATCTAAGTAAGAATCGTGACCCGCTTTTGAAGAAATATTCGTGGGGCTAACTCCTCCCCATTGGCCTGGCGGCCCCTGAGGCGGTGATGCCTGCATGGCGATCCGGCGGCAGCACCCGGTAATTGGCTCCTAGTTTCCGTGTTGCCCCTCCCACTCCATGAAGCGCCCTGCAATTCGTAGGTACCTAGGTAGCCTGAATTGGAGTCATCCAATATCGCTTTCCTGCAGGAGGGGAAGAATGTGGGTGGGTGGTTGCCACACCTGTTTGCCTCGTTGCACTTGAAATCGCAATGGTGCTCCCTTCTCTTCCTCCTCCTCAACAAGGCTAGCAAAGAGAATCTCGACGGATAATTTGTTCAACGATACCCTCACACTATATATAATACCACATGGCAGTAGACGTACGAGACGTAGCTGTCAAGCTGGACGAGAGCATCCTCGAGGGTGAGTCCTCCAATATTGTATCATGGCATTGGAAACTGCCTCTTTTCTTACTGGGGCGGCAAAGTTCTCCCCGATGGAGGCAAAGTAGTGTCAGTGACGACGTCGGGCCAAAGCGACTACTGCAACACATTCCGCATTGAAGTGAGCCTTCCGGATGGGACTTCCCAAGCCTTCTTCCAAAAGGTATGTACTGTACATCCAAAGTCCCGCCACCAACAATCCGACTCCTACTTAGATCGCTTCAGGAGGCAAAAGGTCAGTACGGCTGGAACTTGATGGAGGCTGCCTTCCAGTCCGAATCTTCGACACACCAATTTATCCCCGAATACGTGCCTAGGCCAATCAAGCTGGGGACGTACAAGTCCGATCCCGATACGCACTTCTTCCTCGCCGACTTCGTCGACATGCTAGAAGACACCATCCCGGACCCAGGGCCATACATGGCTGCCGTAGTAGCACTACACAGCAGAAGTATGGGTAAGTCGCCCGAAGGGAAGTTCGGCTTTGGCGTCAACACTCGGTTCGGCGACCTGGAGCAGTCCAATGGGTGGACCTCGTCGTGGGAAGCATTCTGGACAGGGCAGATGCGCGACTTTATCGACCGCGAGGAGCGGCTGCGCGGGCCGCTCAGCGAAGATCATTCCAAACTCAAGGAGCTTTTCTTTGAGAAGGTGCTGCCGCGTTATTTGCGACCGCTGGAGACCGGGGGAAGGTCAATCACACCCTGTCTAATCCATGCAGATCTGTGGCCGGGCAATGTGAAATACAGGACTGATAATGAGACCGTGTGTCTGTACGATGCTAGCGCACTCTGGGGCCATAACGAAGGTATGTGTGGGCTCGTTGAGACCTTGAGCCTTCCTCTCCAACATGTCCAGGATCTGTGGCTTATGGCTTGATGTGCTTGGCTGACATACACCTCCCCATGCGTAGTCGACCTGGGAGTTTTCCGAAATCCGAGGTATACACTTGGGGCGGCGTATCTCAAGGAATATTGGAAACACGCCTCCCAGTCTGAGCCGGTGGAAGATGCCGACAGCAGAAATTCCATTTACATGACGAGGAACCAAATCTTGCTCGCGACACTGTATCCAAACGAGCCAGGACTACGAGATGTGTAAGATACCCAGTGTTTGTCTTCATTAAAGTTGCTCTATCTGATCAGACATTCGCAGTTGGGTTCAAAGCATCCGGCTTTTGGTCGAGGGTGTGCTCTCTGAGGAAGCCGAAGCCGAAGCCGAAACCGAAACCGTAACCCAAGCGACGTCGGCGTTGGAGGCGAGCACGGCGTTGGAGGCGAGCACGGGCAAAATCAAGACTCGTCTTTAAGGGTAGCAGACTGGCCCTCTTGAGGATTAGTGGTTAGCTTTTTTTTGGGAGATGGATTGCCATCATTGCGGAGGAGCCAACCCCTAAGTGTACATACAAATCGATGCACTAGACGCAATGTAATCGAAAGGTATACCAAGTTCTACCATCACGACTGAGATCTCCCCGCCTCCCGGACCTCTGCTAGTTCAACGGCAGGCCGTCTCTGCGGACTATCTGGCTCCTCTGTGACCAGCTGCCCCCTATCGATGCCAAGGACGGCAGCCTTGTTCTGGCGGTCCAGATGGTGACCGCGGATGAATAGGTTTAGAATCGATGATACACCCGCAAACGCAAGGTACTGCGTGAGCCATGACACGTTAGTAAGGGAAACTTTAACTTAGGCTGCATCTCTTTAGTGTTCCGAGAGGGCGAAGCTCCCACGTACCATGATCCACACCGTTCTCAAGGATTCAAAGTAGGTCTTTCTGACAATGACCTGCTGGTCCCCCGGAAGGGTTCCAATGAGATCAAGGTTGGCCAAGGCCTGGTCGCCGTTGAACTGGCTGGCAAGGTGCTGGCCAAGCTCGTCGACGAGATGGGGGTTCGCCGCATTCATCTCGTTTTGAAATATAACCCCACCAATAACAACGGAAACGGCGGTCGCGATAGACCGGCAAAATCCCATGGTGGCGATGACGGCGGCGGTATCCAGCTCCGTTGCGGCGGCTTGTGCTGCGAGGATAGGCCCTTCAATATTCATACCGAGGCCGATACCCACAAGGATCTCGAATATGAACAACTTGGTCAGGTCTTTCTCAAACTTGAGATCAATAAATAGCCCGACACCGAGTGTCAATGACACCTGGGCCGCGTACATGACAGGAAGGTACCTCCCGGTCTTCTGAATGAAGACTCCTGCGAATGCGGCGGCGAGAGACGATGAAACGATGAGAGGTAGGAGGTGAACACCCGAGGTTAGAGCATCCGCGCCCAAGACAGACTGGGAGTAGAGAGGCAAGTAATAAGCAAGCCCCATGAAGACGAAGGAGTTGAAAGCAAAGACTACATAGGCCGCAACTGCGGACACGGAAGAGAAAAGCCGTACTGGGATGATGGGGTTCTTGGCGACTTTCCACTCGTTGACGACGAAAATGCCAATGACTCCCGCACCAAACACGATCAGACAGATTACCGTCGCGGACGACCAGGGGTAGGTGACATCTCCAAAGTCTAAGCCGAGGAGGACCATCAGTGCACAGCCAATGATGAGGAAGCTCCCAGTCCAGTCGACAGCTTTAAGCCCTGACAAGATGGGAGTGTTGGGATTGGGAACATCCAGGAAGAAGAACAAGACGACGAAGACAACAGCGCCGATCGGCACTGCAAAGTCTCATCAGCTAAGGGAGAAATAAGAGGGCCATGGGCAAGGACAGAACTCACAGTTAATCCAAAAGCACCATCTCCAGCTGTTTACCCGTTAGACTCGGGGCACAAAACAAAGGGGCGAGGTCAGGGGAGGCTTACTTCAACTGGGTGGTGAAGACGCCGCCCAACACTGGGCCAACAGCACTTCCAACTGCCCAAACGATCGAAGTGATAGCGAGATATAATGCCCTATCCCTGAGCGAGAACGTGTCGCAGATGATGATATTCACCATCATCCCCATTCCCGAAGCACCGAGCCCCTGGACAGCACGGCCCGCAATCAAGGCGTCCATGTGCGGTGCCAGCGCGCACAGCAAGCTGCCGGCCAGGAAGATGGCCAGCGCGATCAGCATGATGGGCTTCCGGCCCCAGATATCAGCCAGTGATCCCCAAACGGGCGTCACGGCAGTGTAGGCCAGGATAAAGGCGCTGCCAACCCAGATGTAGCCGGCTACAGACTTGAAGGAGCCCACGATGGCGGGTATTGCCGGCGTCACGATGGTCAGATCGAGAGCCGACAGCAAGACGGATAGGCAGAGCGGCGCCATGACCAAAGTTACGGCCGTGCGCGAGGGCTTCTCGGCGGATTCTAGGGGTGGGGCCGGCTGACCGGCAGCCGGGCCGTGGTTTGCCGACTCACGGGGGCGGCTCAGAGGTTCGGTGGCCGACGTTGAAGGATCGGTCTCGCCCGCGACCACTGGCGACGCGTTGGTGGCAACATGATCTTCGCTAGTCGCCGGAGCGGCTGATTCAATGGCCATGACGGTGGCGACAACCGGGTATCGGGAGCGATACTCACAACTTGGGTGCCGCTGTCAACAGGGGAAACCACCATTCCCAACCTGTCACTGGTGCCTAGAGGCGGTCAGCAGCTGGCAAAAGCCCGGGCATGGCTTTCCTTCGGCGCGCCGGAAGGCGGCTTGTGATTTGTCCGCCTTACTTCCAGTAATTCGGCGCTAGTGCAGGTGACCAGACCCGCTGTGCTAACCTTGGAAGGGCCGGCCCCACTCCCCGCCATCCTTCGAGGCGCGTGTAACTAAGTACAGTACACTGCCTAATTGCATAAGACAACCATATTGAGATGCGTGTCTTCAATCGTGGTTGCATCGAGGTTCTCCCCGTCCATCCCCTTTCAATCAAGATGGCCTTGAGCAACCCCAGCGGCGCTATAGACTCCAAAAATGAGGTCCCAGCATCAGCCACCGAACCAGAAGCAGGCACCGGAGGAGGAGAAGTGTTTTCCGTATTTACACCATGGCAGAAGCGGTGGATCTGTTTCGCAGCCTCATTCGCGGGCATGTTCTCCACGATGAGCAGCTACATCTACTATCCAGCCCTTGTACCCGTGTCTCTCGAGCTTGGAGTCTCGCTCTTCCTCGTCAACCTGACCGTCACATGCTATCTGGTGGTGGCCGGTATTGCGCCGGCTTTCATGGGTGACATGGCGGACCAGAGCGGCCGGAGACCGGTCTACATGCTCATGTTCTCCCTGATGATAGGCGCAAATATAGGCATTGCTCTGCAGAAGTCGTATCCTGCACTGTTTGTCCTTCGGATGCTGCAGAGTGCTGGATCTTCTGGTAAGCTCTCTCCAGATCTTGGTGGCAAGATCCGTTTTTGCCTCGTGTCAATCTAATGCTGACGTCTACTCCAGGCTTGTACGGCGCCGCATACGGGGTAATATCTGATTTTGCAACTGTCGAAGAACGAGGGAACTATGTTGGCGCCCTGCTACTGATGTGAGTAAGCCTTGACCGCAGCGCCATCCCTTGTTACCCCAATTCATCCCATATGTCTTTGTCTTTACCAGGTAGCTTACTCCAGTCGAGTATGAGAGATGTAGGACGGATATCGCCCCCAGCCTTGGCCCTGTGATTGGCGGAAGCATCACTCAACAAGTCGGGTGGAGGTGGATTTTCTGGTTCCTCGTTATCATGACTGGCACCCACTTCATCGCCATGCTCCTCTTCTTCCCGGAGACCCAGCGCAGGATCGTAGGAAATGGCAGCGCCAAGGTCAGAGGGGTGTACTGGAGCTTCTTCTCCGCGAGGAACCGAGGCTGCGGTTCCCAAAATGGACAGGTCCGGTTTCCAAACCCGTTGTCATGCCTCGAAATCCTGTCTCACAAGGGCTCGTTGGCGGTTATCATGATTACGGCTGTTACGTACGCCGTGAAGATGGCGCTTCAGACCTCCCTTAGTGCACAGTGTGTTGAGATATACAATCTCAACTACTTGGTTGCAGGGTTGATATACCTACCTTCCGGCATCGGCGGAGGCGTTGCATCTTATTTGACAGGTAAGTATAAACTTGACAGTCCTTCGCATTATCGATATCATCTATCTTCAAGTAGTGTCTATGATTAGATCTAACCTAGCTCACTCAGGCCAATATATCGATTGGACGTATCGGGGAAGGGTGAAACATCTGCAAGACGAGGGCAGCAGCTATGACGGCTCGGCCTCCCCAGACTTCCCGCTTGAAAAGACACGACTCAAGGGAATCTACGTTCTGATCACGATCAGTGCCCTAGGCACTCTTGGATACGGCCTTGCGTTGATGACGCGAACGGTTTGTCCAATCCCGAAAAGCAGAGAGACCATAATGGGCATAAACTGACAAGTCGGGCTAGCACATCTCTGTGGTGCTCATCATGCAGTTCCTCACAGGATCGACGACGGCTAGCACATTTACGGTACGTTCCCCTCACGGCCACTAATTACAGCGACGTACATATGTTAACGACCTCCGCAACGGCTAGATGTGCGGCACCCTCCTCACCGACCTCAACATCAACAAGTCTGCGACTGCGCAGGCAGCGTCTAATTTGGTGAGGTGCCTTAGCGCTGGGGCCGCAATTGCTGCCTTGCAGCCGTTGGTTGACGCGGCAGGGCCAGCGTGGTGTTTCGCCGTCTACGCTATTGTAGTCTTGCTCGAGGTGCCTCTGGTTTGGCTGCTGCAGCAGCGTGGGGTGAGGTGGAGGAGAGCCCAATGTGCAGCTTAAGCTCCAACAGAGGGCCCTATGAGTAACGCTAGTCGTTCAACACGGGGCGACTCGGATGGTTGGAGTAGAGCTCCAGTGGCTGATTAGTGGCTAGTGGCATGTGTTTGCGGTGAAATACGTCACAACGCTTATTCTTTTACTATCCTGATCGAAGCTGTAGATAGTCTAATCATGCTAATGTCACTCCACCAAAGGCAAAGAATCAATATAAGAAAGCCGACATCATTTCAGCCTTTTAACAATTCCCCCTACAGAGACCGACTTGAAAGGACGGACAATCCGGAGATAGATTTGTGACGCAGTAGACAGCCACGCCGACAATGAGCTCCGCACCGCGATCGAAGACAGTGTTGATTACTGGGTAAGCATTCTTGACCGACGATGCTCCGATCTGCCGCTGACCATGGTGTGAAGGTGTTCGCCTGGAGGCATTGGCCAAAGAGTTCTGGGCTCGAGGTACGGCTGCTCTCTCTCTTCGATGTAAACCGAGAGACGTCTGCATGGCCAATTCTTAACACGCACGATTTCAAGGATGCCATGTCATCGCAACCGCTCGGAGACTGGAAGTCCTGACGGAATTGGCGGGATTCGGCATGAGCACGGTTTTACTCGACGTGGACAAGCAGGAGAGTATCGATGATGCCAAGAAACAGATCGAAACCATCACTGACGGGAAGCTGGATATCCTGGTCAATAATGCGTTCGTTCCTTCCCTCTGCTGATTAGTCCCTAGCTTCCCGCCCTAAACCTCGATATCCTGGCTAACTGATACCACCAGCGGCATCACCTACTACATGCCCCTCGCCGACGTTTCCCTCCCAAAGGTCCGCTCCCTCTTCGAAACGAACGTCTTCTCCGCCATGGCCGTCACAAACGCCATGCTCCCCCAGCTACTCGCCTCCAAGGGCCTCATAGTCAACATCTCCTCCGCCGCGGACCGCACCCCCTTCCCCTTCAAGGGCACCTACGCCATGACAAAGGCGGCCCTGTCGTCGTACTCGCGCACCCTGTCGGTCGAGCTCGCCGAGTTCGACGTGCGCGTCCTCAACGTCGTGACGACGTCGTTCGTGGCCACGCTGATCGGCAAGAGGGCCGAGCCCGACCCTTGGCCCGAGAATAGCCTGTACGATAGCATGCGGTTCGCGGGGCAGGGTGTCGGGGACGGGCAGCGCTTGAGCGCCGAGGATTTCGCGACGGGGGTTGCGGCGGAGGCGCTGAGGGGGAAGGGGTGGGAGATTGGGCCGTGGAGGTTCTTTGGGACGCAGGAGTCGATGAGGTTGGGGGGGATGAGCACTTTGTTGTGGATCTTGGGGTTCCTAAGTGAGGGCTGGGGGAGGTTCGTAATGCTGAGGTTGTGGCCGTTTTGGATGCTGAGAGCTGCAATCCGTGCACAGAAGAAGAATGAATAGATCGAAGAAAACGGGTTCTAAGACGATGGCAGGAGGATTGGTTGCTGGAACAAGGTCACTCCCTAGGTTGTGTGTGGCAGATTGGAGGAGTACGATGAGAAAAAGGGTACAGATATAAAATTGGGCTAATAGAAAAGTAATTATATCATTCCCGACGATCGGTGTGCAAGTCCATTCCGTGGAGCGTGACCTTGGAAGTCTTTGCCAAGATCTTGTAACAGAAGATGTTTCCCAAGAAAATGACAACGCCGATGTAGGAAGTGACGAAAGTCGAAGCGGTGAACTTGGGAACGAATGCGTTGTAGCCTAGGAGTGGTTAGCACAGACTCATCTTCGAAAGAAAACAGCACTTACCGTTGAAAAATATCACAATCATGGTCATACCCAGGGCGAAGTAGGCACCATATGGTTGAAGGAACCCACGGTAAGGGATCGAGTCCCTAGAGATACCTTGCGCCTTCATGCCCCTTGTAAACTGCACATAGGAGACGAGAATGCAGATCCAGTTCAGAGCCCCGAAGACGGTGACCAGACTGACCAAGTAACCAAAGACCTGGGACGAGCTCTTGGATGCGTTCATGTACGCAAGCACCGTAAACAGGGCGGTGAAAGCGGCGCCGGCTAGGGGCACACCCCTTGCACTCGTCCTCCCGAAGATCTTCGGCGCCTGGTTGTCGCGCGCAAGGCCGAAGAGAGTTCGGGAACCGATGTAGATGTCTGAGTTTGCCGCACTGAGGACGAACACTAAAAGACACCCATTGACCACATCAGGGAAGACCGGGATCCCGGCCAGCTGGACGGCAATGACAAAAGGGCTGGCGGCAGCGCCGGTGCTTTGCTTGGTGCCACCAATAAGCCTGTCGTTGGTATACGGAACGGCCATCCCCAAGACGAGAGCCCCTATGATGTAGAAGAATACGATGCGCCACAGCGTCTGCCGAATGGCCTTTGGCACTGTCTTCCTCGGGTTCGGTGCCTCGCCGAATGCCGCGCCGACTACCTCGGTACCGGTATAGGCAAAGCAGGCTTGCACCATGGCTGCCCAGAAACCGAGGAATCGTCCGGTCGAGCCATCTGCCAAATAAGTTCCAAAGGCGCCGGGGTTTCTCCAGTATGAGAAACCAATCCGTTGGCGGGAAGGCTGACCTCCCATCGAGATGATGAAGCAGGTGAGAATGAGCGTGGTGAGGACCAGAAGCTTCACGGCCGACATCCAGAACTCGGCCTCGCCAAAGAAAGATACAGGAAGCACCTAATTATCAAACAGTTTGCGTTAGTCTTGCTTCTGTACTGCCGTAGGATGGCAGAACGGATGAAAGGGGGCCTCACGTTGATGATAATAATCACGACGGAAAATGTGGCGACGAAAATCGCGACATTGAGATCGGGCCGCCAGTACTGAATTATGATCCCCGCGGCAGTGAGATTATTTGGGAGAACTATCGCGTATTTGAGAAAGTAGTTCCATCCGGTAGCGTAGCTGTCCATCTGTTAGTATGAGCTCAGGCATATGTCCCTATGTCTCTTACCCCAGTGCTGGGTCGACGAAGCGGGTGGAATATCCGGCAAAGGCCCTGTCCGTTGGGAACATAGTGGCCATTTCCCCCAGTGCCGTCATGGTAAAATAGATCACCGCGCCGATAACGATGTACGCGATGAGGAGACTGGCGGGCCCGCCACGGACAAGACCCGTTCCAGTCCCGATGATGAGGCCGGTCCCAATGGCACCGGCAACTGCTATCATGGATACGTGACGCTCCTTGAAGTCGCGGCGGAGGGTGTTCGTCGGCCCGGACCCGCCCTCGGTAGTTGTCATGACCGGGTGTAGGTCAGAGGTGTCTTGGCCAGCAGCCTCTTTGGCACTTTCATCCTTATCAGAATGTTGGTGACCCATGATGCGAAGGGGGATAGCAGAGATGGGGCTGTTGAGGGATCGTATTGGACCAGAGGGAGAGAGAGTCGTAGAAAGAGAGCTGAGGATCGAGCTCTGCAACTTCCACGGCCTGGTGCTTGGTGCTTGGTGCTTGCTGCTTTTATAGCAAACAGAGGAGATGTATTCCCCCTTAGATCCCACCTATCGAGATATGGCTCAACACTGAAGCAATGGACACCTTCTCTCCGACCCAAAGATAAGCCCAAAATTTGCGGCTACTAGTAGCCGATATCATTCCCCATTATCGATATCGACCGATTTAGCGGGATCCGCCTACCTGGCTAAGGCCGGGGGCATGCGGGGGAGCTCCCCCTGTCGCCCCGCTTATGGAGGTCGAACTCCGTTTTTAGCGCCTTGTTATGCTTGGCTATCAAGCCGAACCGCCGATCCGGCAGTCGCCGTGCGTCATCCAGGATCCAGACCTTCCCCGGATTCTCTTGCATGTGGAGAGACGGAGTTGCACCTCCATGCCGGTCACGCTGACGATGATCGGTGGCTGTAGAGCAACCCCGCGGGGTTCTCCTGACACAGATGCTACTCACATCCAGTCTGCGCTATTACAAACAACCCCCCCGACATCGGTCAGCGGGCTGGGTGGTTCGAATCGATAAAAGAGGGCACCGGCGAAGTAATTAGAAGCCAAATAATCTAGCACTTAATTTCTCCGAAGCTCAGTCGCCGAACATCCCACCCCCCAGCTCTTGGTGAGAACCAACCCTCTATCATCATGCCAGCAGTTCACGTCGAAAAGTCCTCTAACGGACTTGCAACCTCGATCAACGGGGACACCAAGGAGTACTCAGCTCTACAAGCGGACGACGAGTCCAGATTCTCGATATTCCGTCGACTTGTTCCCATTGTTGCAGATGACACTGTCACGTACCTCAATGCGTCGTTCGCGCCGCCATCGAACCTGGTTGTCCACGACGCCATCTGCCAGTACAGCTCCGAAGCTCTGCGCCATCCTTCGCCCAAACCCCGCTGGCAAGAGGCTGTCGAGGAGACCCGGGAGCTCGTTGCCAAATACATCAATGCTGACTCGTCGGCCATTGCGTTCACACGAGACACCACCGAGGCTCTGGGTTCTTTCATCCAGGGAATTCGCTTCCAGCCGGGCGACAACGTCGTCATCCTGGACACCGAGCATCCCAACCACGCCTACGCATGGATGTCACTCCGTCAGGCCGGGCTCGAGGTGCGACAGGTCCCCACCATTGCCGAGGCGGAGCGAACAGGGAAAGTCGTTGCTGCAAACGCGGCGACTTTTGCCCCGTACGTTGACCGTCGGACACGGGCAATCGGCCTCAGCTCTGTCATGTTCCATAGCGGACAGTGGAACGACATAGCCGATATTTGCACTGCCTACCGACCCAAGGGCATTCACATCGTCGCAGACGTAACACAACAGGTCGGATTCGCACGTATCGATGTCCGGAGTCTGGGCGTATCTGCAGCGGCTTTCTCTCTACATAAGGGACTCAACTGCCCCACGGGCCTCGCGGTGCTCTATGTCGACACGGATGTCATCTGCGAAATGGACCCTATCCCACCCATTGTCGGGTACGGCGCCGTGAGCAATGCTCGCTCCGATCTTCTGGTCCCCGCGGATCCCATCGTCTACCATCCCACGGCTCGACGCTACGAACACCTGAACCTCAGCCTGATTGCCGTGGCTGCAGCGAAAGCCTTCCTCAAGTTCTATCTCGAGGTCATGGGCCCCGAAGCTGTTGAGAGACACCTTTACGCATTGGGCGATGCGTTATACCAAGAATGCAAGGGTCTCGGAATTGGGATTGTTGGCCCTAAGAATCGGAAGGAACATGCACCGCACCTGTACATCTTGGATTTGCACAACACGGGGTGGGTTGAGCACCTCAAGGACGCTGGCATAATTGTGACTCCGTATCGGCTGGGTATCAGGGTCTCTTTTGGGTTCTACAATAACTTTGAGGACGTTAAGAAGCTTTCACTTGCCGTTCGAGCGGGCTTGGATGCGGGTATTCCAACCACAGGGCGAAATATGTAATTATCAGTACCCAGGCTAGTAGACCATAGGAATCTCCACACAACTATAGTACAGGACCTCTCATCTGCTGCCCCAGTTTCCAAGTCATGGAACATTCGTCGAGAGCCCGTGCCAAGTAACTCGATTCCTCTAGGGCGCCGAAGACGGCCAAACAGCGGGCCGCCTGCACCAGACCGTATATAAGAACAAAGGGCGCGTACCGCAGTCCATACTGGGATCGATATTTTCGCAGGATAGCCGTGACATCTCGTGCCGATGAGAGACAATACTCTCGGGCGCTCTTTTGGTCGGCAGTCGCATCATCGGATGTCGCTGAGTCAAAGTTCAACGCGATACGGGCGCTATGAAAGAGGAGACTAATTACATGTGGTACGTCAATCAGTGAATATTTAATGGGGGAGGTGAAGTCGCAAGGATACTGACTGTAACGCTGCCACGCATGGGATTAGCCGGCTGCTAGGGGGCTCCCATTTGCACCACTGTGCGCAGTGAGGCAACGACGATTGCAAACGGCTCAGGTCCAGATTTAGGCTGTCGAGACATGCCTGCTGACCCAGTACATCTAGAGTCGATCGCGAGGAGAATACCGTGGCCAGCATGCGCTCGATAATACTGGAGATGCGTATTTGTGCTTGGAAGCAAGGTATCAGTGGCTTTGCCTCGCCGAAGTCTCCTTCTCTTTTGTCAAAGCCCACTGGAAGCCAGTTTTCCATCTCTGGGAAGTCACTGGGCACAAGAGTTAGTATTGAAGAGGGCCAGGCAGAAAGGAACCCATGATCTTACGGCAGTCTCTCCAGGACCTCAACCTCGGCATCGGCGTAGAAGAAGTACACTGGTCTGCCTAGAATCAGGCTGATCAACTTATCGGAGGTGTAGCAACCCCAATAGATGCGCCTGCGTATCTCGACATCCTCGGCGGTTGCCAGCGATGTATCATGGGAGGCCCAATATTTCGGGTCCCTTTGAAAGCCGAGATCCTGAGCCATTCGGAATGCAATGCCTGTTTCCGCAATCGTTCATTGTCAGTAGCCAAACTCTTCAATGAGTGTCCTTGTTGATATTTCTGCCAACATCGGTGTCTCACCTGAGAATCCCCAACCCTTGGACAGGTTGCCTCGCCCAATCTCGTAGAATGCCAGGCAAAGAAAGGCCTGGACCGTGGCGATCGAAGGTCGGGTCAACCCAGACACTATGAGAATGGTCTCGGCAGCGACGAAGAACTGCTCGCTGGACTGCCGATCAAGGTCTTCGGGCGACATCAATAGTCCCAGGGCACATACAGAGAGGAGGAGCGCCGACGACCAGTACTTGCAGTTCCGCCGATCGCCAAAGTGGTCCCGCAAAAACGCCTCGCGGTAGATGAACATGAAGTGGGGGTACTGCCACTTGAAGAACTGCATGAGTGCGTCCGTGATCAGCTCATTGTGCATGTTGATTCCAAAGTGTTCGGCGACGTGATCGAAGTTGGAGTCATCGTTGGCAGAGAAGGAGGACGGGTGAGCGGGCTGGCCCATGATGCAGCCCCCGGTTCCATTTCCTGTCAGCGCGCCAAGTTGGGCGTGGTAGATACTCGTCGGGCCGTGATATATGAGTGAACCCTGAGGTCCTGGCTCGAGATTGGCTTGACGGCGGCGGACGGGTCCTGCTGCTCCAGCGCTCGGCTCTCCGGGTGGTGTTTGGCTAGTGCTAGTCAAGTGATGGTCGCCGAAGTGTGTTTGTTTTAAAATGACATCTCGCTCCTGTGGTGGTACAGCTTGGACACGCCTGATGTATGACTCGAGCCAGGCGATCCTGTTCTCGAGTCCCGCGACATATTCTGCCGATGCGGGTCGTCTCTTCCGGTCGAGCTCGCGGTACTCGCAAATGTGGTTTGCCACTGTACAATTTTCACATGGCTCGGTTCGTGAGCATCTTAGCTATGCAATCATGAGCAATCGTCCGAGGCAGCGTGAGACTGTGAGAGCGTTCGTCGGGAAAGGCCAAGCCTTTCTGGCATCTAGCTACCTTTCGGAATTGACATCTCTTGCACCTAAACCATGTGTTAGTTTTGGGGAAAACAAGGGAAATCAGGGGAAGAGTCATTTACGAGATCCGTTTCTTGGGTGTCGAAGTCGTGTTCATGATACTGACATGACATGCTTTATTAACTCTAGGCTGCGTGTTTTGTTGCTGGGGGGAGCGGGGTTCTCGGGCTTATATCCTGGATCCGATAGCCGATGAAGTTGAACAAGGTAATGCCACTAGTCCCACTTTTAAGTACTAATTACCTATTTACAAGTTGTCGGCTTAGTCTTAGGACCTGCAACCTCGCGTGCTGTCGCAGATTCGGCGTGGTGTGCGTGTGCATGGCCAAGGAGATGGCGAAGCTGGCTGGATGGGCATGGGGAACTCACTCAGGGATGAATGTAGCTAGCTAGGCCTACCGAGTACTTTTGGCAGTAAAATGAACTCTTCCTGCATAACCGAGGAAGAGCTACAGGGGCACGGAAGTAGTCCGCTTCAATATTGAGCTCGTCTCCACGGGCAGGGGCATTTGGCTATTCAGGCAGGGGCCAACCACGGAACAAGTGACATAGATGGCAACAGCAAGCAACAGAGACGGCGTTTGCCCAGTCGAATCGGACAGCTGCGGCTTCCCCGGGCAGCTCAACAAGATAGACCTCAGGGCATTCGGCTCTCATTAGGCGAATAAATTGGTCGATGTACTGCGTTAAGAGGTTGAAGTGAGTGTCGCCGATGGGATCTAGTGTAGGCAGCAATAGCGACAGCGACGGCTAGCCAAATGCCCCTACCAGTTAAATGGCCCTGCTTGAATAGCTGAATGCCCCTGAATAGCTGAATGCCCCTGCTCAAATACCTAACTGCCCCTGCCCGAATAGCCAAATGCCCCTGCCCTGGCAGTTAAATGCCCCTTCCCGAATACCTAACCGCTCCTGCGCGAATAGCTAAATGCCACTGCTCAACCCATAATTGACATTCAAGCTCCATTCACCGCTACCATCAACGCTGCGCCCTCTAGCCCCGGTTCGACACAATGGCGCCAAACACAAACGTCCGCGCCGCTACACCAGACCCATATGCTGTATTCTCAGCTTGCGTTGCCGGGTTGTCTCTTGTATTCGTCGTGTTAGGCAAGACCTTCTGTTCCCAACTCATTGCCGTTTTCGAGGCGTTTGACGGCGACATCCAGTCAGAACCTCCCAAACCAAAGGAGACAACGACGCTGGATGACTTCATGACCATCCGAAGGAAGTTGCCCTGCTCTCGCTCGACGGTGGCGGAGTGCGGGGGTTGTCTTCGCTCAGAATCTTGCAGAGGCTCATGGCCTCGATCGACCCGGTCAACCCCCCGAAGCCTTGCGACTACTTCGACATGATCTGTGGAACTTCCACCGGAGGTCTTATCGTCATTATGCTTGGAAGGCTGGAGATGAATGTCGACGATTGCATTCGCGAGTACCAGCAACTCTCGTCTCGAGTATTCACCAAGGTTCGACATAGGCTAGACTGGAAGGGAAACTTGCAGGGCCGCTTCGATCACTTGGAGCTCGAGGAAGGGATTAAGGACCTTGTTCGGCGGCTCCATATGTCGGAAAATGAGCTATTCCAGCAGCCGAACGGTTCAAAGTGCAAAACGTATGTTTCATGTGCCGATTTTTCTTGGAAGATTGACATGATTAATTACTGATGGAACGTCAAGTTTCGTGTGCTGCATGAGCAAGCAGACGTCTGACATTGTGGTTTTTCCAAGCTACTCCTCCAAAGTATGGCGGTCACCTCTGCTTGGTCGGCTTCGGATCTGGGAGGCTGCGAGAGCAACGTCTGCTGCAACGTCCTTCTTCGAGCCGCTCGAAATCGACGGCCAGATTTTCGCCGACGGAGCCACGGGGGCAAACAACCCAATCCACGAGATCTGGGCAGAGGCTTCGTCCTTGTTCAGTCCGCCAGCCGACGAGGCTTGGAGATTGGAGAACCATATCCGTTGCTTGGTTTCCATGGCACGGGGGTTCCGTCGCTAAAGCCGTTTGGCCCCGGAATTGGTGAAGTTGCTGCGGCATTGAAGGCCATAGCTACCGAGTCAGATGCAAAATCCCAGCAGTTTCAACGCCTTCACTCGCCAGTAGTGAAGAGGGGCGCAGTATTTCGGTTCAACGTCCAGCATGGACTCGAAGACGTCGGGTTAGAAGAAGCGAGTCGCTTAGGAGACATTGAGGCAGCGACAGATCGCTATTGCTCAACACAAGCCATAGCACAGCAGCTCGAAGACTGTGCAATAAAGTTGCGGCAGCGGTTCTGTAAGCCAAATCTCTTCATGCTGGGTTCTACATGCCCCCATTGACATAGCCGACAGGGACTCCGACCGCCATCTCAAAGATCGAGATTCAACGCAAACTTGTCTCAGCTCAGCATTTTTACGGGGTCCATGTCGCCAAGACAGGTCCGGATGCAGAAACCTTTGCCCACACTGTCGCGTTTCAACAATGGTTATCTAGAAGCTCTCCCACAATTGTGTGCACAACAAACAGCAAGGTGGAAGGAACGCCATACCCTTTAGCCTCTTCTCTGGCGAAGATTATCACAGCCAAGTCTGATTGCCAAGTGATATACGTGGACTGCTTCCGCGTTGCGAGTGCACCTTCGCAGCATCGGCTGCGAACGCGTGTTGCAGAACTTCAACAGGAGTTAAATGACGAGTCCGTCGAGGAGCACTTGACCCTTTGAGTGTTGGAGGCTGTTTTCTGTCAATTGTTCGGGCTATGTCCGGATCCAGATGGCGCGTTGAGCTCCTACAACGACAGGCTGGCTGAAACCGAGGCGTCCGGCTTTCAATCTCACATCCAGGCGAGCGGACTGCCTGGAGAGAATAACCTCCTTCCCTTGACCCTGCATCTACTCCAGTTCATGCCAAAGAAAGTGCTGTTAAGTATCGACGGCATTCACCGGCTAAAAGACTCGGCCAGGAAGAGGCTGGTATCTCAGACGACCTGGCTAGGACAACACGACGCCACGTTACAATCGATGCTCTGTGGGGATTCAGCTTTCATTAGTGCTGATGACACTACTGGTGCTGCTGTGGTGACAGACGACACAGAGGCCCAAGGTGCGTCAACAAAACACAACAGCTAATATAGGTGCAGCGGAGACAAGAGCTAATCGCTGCATTTAGAATGTCTTGGGTCCTTGTCATTTCAGGAGATAAACGTGCGGAGGAGTCAGGTTCCTCCAGCTGCCGAGGGTACAACGTCGTGGATCTGGGACCATGCCGTGTATCGCTCGTTTGCAGCCAGGGACAACGGCACCCTCTGGCTTCAAGGCAAGCCAGGAAGCGGCAAGTCTGTTCTGGCAAGGTCAATCAAGCACCGTCTGCTGGGAGCTTCTATTGCTCAGGCGTCTCCCATGGCGGGGGTACTAGTTGGCGATTGGTTTTACCACAGGCGACGCGGTGGTGGATTTGTGCGGCACGAGTCCCTCGTCCGTTCCCTTCTATTCCACTTCTTTCAGCAAGATCGGACCTTGTTCCAGGAATTCTTCAGATGCGCATACAGGCCAATGGATCTTCAAGAGCCTGCGCCCTGGACTTGGGATCTCCTGTCCGGTATTCTGATTCGCATCTGCCAGAGCTCGCGCCGTATCTTCTGCGTCGTTGACGCAGTGGACGAAGCAGAGAGCACCGCGATGCTGGCGTTGATCAGGTCCGCGACCGATTCCGAAACCCGTTCGAAAGTGAGGTTCATAATATTGAGCCGGCCAAACGTCTATATCAGCAGAGAGATGAAGTCGCTTCCATGTATTGTTGTCGAAAACCAAAACACCAAGGATATTGAGAGGGTTATCGACCTGGGCCTCTCCTCGCTGCGCCAAACCATGCATCACTTGGATTTTGACACACCCAATCCAGCGCATCCCCCATCTCGTCGTCTTCCGAGGCATGCGACTATGCGTCGGCCACGCTATAGGTCTCTAGCCACTTCTGCAGCCAGGGAGGACAGGGCCCTCAGCGACATTCGCAAGGATCTCCAGGCCAAGGCCCGAGGCTCCATTCTTTGGGTGCAGCTAGTCTTGGACAGGTTGATTCAGGAAGCTGCCGAAAACGAGGGCGTCACACTCGAAGACCTCAGGAAATTGATGAACCGTATCCCCGAAGAGCTGGCAGAGTACTACAAGCAGATTGAGAAGGACATCACCACATCTCGGTCACCGCAGATGGTACGAGAGACACGCCAGGCCCTGATGTGGGTTTGTGCAACTCCTGAACTGGGAGACGTTACGCTTGAGGGGCTGTGGGAAGCGCTGGCTCTCTTGAAAGACGATTTCGAAGCCCAAGCGTTGGAAGAAGTCTGGGAGCAACAGATCCCCGTCTCTTCATACGACGAACTGTGGCGCAAGGTTCAGTGCATCTGCGGATCGTTGGTCGAGATTTTCAACCCTGGACTGTCAGCTGACGAGTCTCGCATATACCGTTACTGCGCCGCATCGGTTGTACAGCTGATGCACCAGTCCGTGCGAGACTTTCTGTGCAACTCCGATGCCGCCGGAGGGCTTCATTTCACCTTGGAAGAGGCAAGAGGCTTTGTCCACAGTCATCTGGATCGATACCTGCACCTCTTGGTAGATGGAAACTCCAGAATCAGCTCCGACGGACCATGCGAGCCACAGTTTGTAGTCGATTGGCTGAATGACCAAAAGCTCTTGCGGTTAGCCAGCAAGTTAGGGAAGGAAAGGCATGCGCCAATCCTGGGGGCAGCACGGTCTATTAGGGGTTGGGTACTCCAATATCCTATCGCAGGGTCCCAAGAGGCCCAGATGATCTCTACCATACGAGATCCAGCAGGCTTCGAAGTCCAGGATGAATTTGACGTGGGTGACCGTGATGAAATGCTCAAAATTGGGCGTATCCTCCATCACGCGTGCATCGAAGGCCTTGACACGGCAGTGCAAAACATCTTCTCCATGCCTTTTGGGTCGGCGCGGTCGCCAGCTTGTGTGCGGATACTCTCCGCGTGCGTGTTTGTTGCCGCTTCTAGATACACAAGTCCGAGGGTCACGGTCGAGCTCGGTCTTGATGAGGTCGCTCGACCCTACCCCTACCATGTCAGCATGTCTCCAGGATATAAACCCTTCGGCACACCGGGCATTTCACTCCCGTCAGCCCAACAACCACACCAAACGGCCAAAAGGCCACACTGGGGGGCCCAACTTCCTTCTGTCCAAGTGGAAGATACCAATAGCGAGTGGGTCACATCACCGTGGAGAGTCACTCTATCAGTGGATAAGGAGAATTGCGGCGGCGAGGTTGTAATGGATTTCACACAGTGGTGTCCTTTCCTTGACTTGGTTTGTGGTAGTAAGAGAAGAAGACTTGGTCTATCAACGGAAGTACAGCGAGGGTTAAAAGGCGGCGAAGAGCATGATGACCGAATAATACCTGCGACTGATGACGTGGAGGATGCCATCGGCAGGTTCTGTATGCAACTCACTCAACAGGATTAGGTTTGTATGCAAAACAACATGCAAATATTCAATTTACAACGCCTTTGCTTCCTCCTTTGACAAACCAGCCAAGTATCCAACACTTGCTCTCACGAGCTGCATCACCAATTGCACCTCCTCCAATGTTCTCGGCGCATAAATGAACATGTAGTTCGAAGGCAATAGATTGAGAGGCTTGCCAGCGACCACACTCCTCTGCGCAAAACCCGACTTTACGGCCAGCTCGCAGTCCCTGGGTGCTAGAGTCATATGAAGGGAGTAGTCGATTTGCGTCGACCCGTCAGCTTTGGAGTGATGGTGGATGTGAGCCATCTCGCGGTGGAGGACATTTTCGACCAAGTTTTGGACGAAAGGGTTGGCGGAGGGTTGGTGTGAAGGTGCGAGGAAAACGGATTGACCGTGTTTCTCGAAGTAGCTGGTCTGGGATGAGAGGAGGGTGGGGTTGTGGGCAACGAGAGTTTCCATTTCGGAGACGATGGCCTTGTTTGTCGATTAATTAGCGGTAAGTAGACGGGAATGAAAAGAGGAGAGGGTGGAAGATGAGAGGGCGGAAGAGGAGGGGAGATGCAGACACGCGAGCTTCGGAAAGCACGTACTTTGGCCACTTCGTCCGCAGGGATTTGATCAAGCTGCCTATTTGGAACAGGATGTCTCCCCACTGTCGGCCTCACGCCATCCCGTCTCCTCGTTCCCCATTCCTTCTCGCCCAGCCATGAACGGTCATCATCCCCTTGGTCAATCAACTCCTGATAGTACGATAGCTCGAGCGGTGGATTCTGATACCGAAACGCAAGTATATTTGTCGAGATCCAGCCTTTGAAGTTGTGAGGAAGTCCTCCAGGAGAGAGGCGCTTGTAGGCTCTAAAGTCTCGATAGAGGATGATGAGAAATGGGGCGAGAATAATGGAGCCAGTGATGAGGATGCGGCCATCTGGGTGGCATTTGTGAAGTAAGCCAGATGTGAACTGCGAGAACGAACTCATCGCAAGGTAATTAGAGAGAAATTAAGATGGTGTCTGATGATACTCAAGGTAATCGAGAGGTTGAGCTGGTCCTCTTCCATATATAAAGCTTCCACGAAACTATCTGCTTTGGCTGGCTTTATATTCACGCCTGCACTTAGATTAAAGTGACTGGGAGACGAACTCCTGGATCTCGGAACATCGACCGACGGGTGGGATTCCGGTGATTCCGACCCGAGAGCGGGGAATATGAGATGGTCGAGAGGGGCAAAGCTAATCTATGGATAACAGCTAGCTGCTTTGCCCAATCCCTGCGGACTTGAGTGGTCTAATTCGGGCGATAGGGCTGAATTACATTGATCACGCGGTGAGTATCAGCTCTTCTGCTTCCAAGTCGGTTTCCTTCGCTCCAGACTCTAGTCATTCTGCCTGGTCTAATTAGACTAATTCGAGTAGGTTTGGATAACTTATGTCTGCCCGGTCCTTGTCTCGTGTCTAGTCCACCCGTGCAATCTTACACCCGCAAGTGATCAACATTATGGGAACCACCGCGAACGAACAAGTGATGCACGATGTTACGGGTGAAAAGATGGGGGTTTTTCCCCGTGTCCCGGCGGGTTACCTTCTGCCAAGTCTGCTGCCTCACACATTTCAGTTTGACACACTGCCTACTGGTAATTACCATCATTGTGACCGGAACACCAACCGGCGTGGCCTTAGCCAGAAACCAAGGGTAATTATGGCTTAAACACGGCGATGATGTGCGGTGCTTTATGTCGCATAGAATCAGCACTATCGTGGAAGCCACGTCTAATTAATCGGTACACACAAAGATCGCTCGAAGAATACTCGTCCATACTAACTCGGTGGCTGCTGGGTGAACTCCCGTCCATCAGCCATGTTTCCTTGAAGCCCATCGCCGGGTGTTTGCAACTAATTAATTAATTGGAAGAAGAAGCAGCACCGAAGAGTGAGGAAAACATATCCTAATCCGTTTGCTCCATATCGAATGACCAGGGCAGGACGGAAGAGGCTTGTTGGGTGAACATCTGCCACAGATTGTCGTCAGGCTCAAAGCCGAGGGCGTTATCGGATGTCAAGGATGGCATCCAGTTCGTGTTGAGTTGAGCCTGTCTTTGAGAGCCGTTCATATCCGGGAGGGCGGTAGAGGTGTTGGATAGTTGATCGGACTGGAGTAATCGCCGTGACACGAGGTTCACGATGAGGGGGAACTGCTTGACGTAGTCGGTGTAACCGTATCTGCCGTACTCCTGCTGACAAGCCTCACAACCCCTTTTCAGCATCTGGTTAGGGTCAGCCGCGGGCACTCCATTGTTGATTCCATGTGTATGACTAGGCCTGTTAACAGTGCTCACCTGAAAGTCATCGAACGTGCTGGGATCAATCGGGCTGGTGAGAAGTCGGAGGGCGATAATATACGTCCCAGTTAAAGGATATGCGAGGGAAATTGGGGGTCGACGCTCGAGAGGGATTTGCAGCAGGTTGTCGAGGATCCTCAAAATGGCCCTCGCGCTCTCTACGCAAGGGATTCGGCCAAAACCCAGGGCAGACATCCGTGAGCTGGTATCACTGATGAACAATCCGACGCTGTGGAGCATGATCGTGCTGGCTCCATGTCAGAATTCGATGGGAATACCCAAGTGTAAGAAGCTGGACTTACGCGTGATGATACGCCAAAACCATCAAGATTTCTGGACCACCTCGGACAGAAGGTGATTTCAGGAGTCCACCACCGCTTCTTCCCGCTCCTTCGACGATCATTGTCCACTGTCGTAGCTCGGCATCGAACTTGGCGATCAGATTAATCGCTTCGCCGGTGTTGCTGCGTCCCAACAAATTCGTCTCAAATACCTCAGTTCTTAGGGCAGAGAGAATATTAGCGAGCTTGACAAACGAAGACCACGTGTCGGTGTTCGGCAGCGAGGGTATGTCCAAACTCTGTTCGATGAACGCAAAAGGTCGTCCGCAAACGAAGGCGAGACAACGATCGAGGCAGTACAGGACCCACCAAAGGAAAGTGTCCTTCACTTTTGAAGCTTGTTTGTGCAAACCGCAGCCTTGAGCCATCCGGATCGCTGTGCCAGCGAGTGACCATGCCAAGCCAGGTTTCTGTCTGGACAGCAGGAGAATTATTGTCATCGTGAGAGCTCGGATGCCGGACAAGCTAGGTTGAGCGATGATGCCGCCTATCATTGACCAGGCTTGGTCGAACAGCCGCGATTCCAGCTCTGGAGATGAACTTCGGGAAGCGCCAATCGCGAGTGCGATGCTGAGCTGCATGACCTCGGCATAGGAATGTTGATCCTTATGAGTCGACGAAAGTGAAAGCAAGACTGTACGAGGAGTGATCGGGAAGAATTGGTGATGATACGTGAGATACAAGTGGAGGAGATCGTGCATGATGGGTGCAGTCGGCCACGTTAGCGAGGCAGGATTGGGCGGTCCCATGGCTGCGATGCTGTCGGAAGTACGTTGACCATCGCGGGGAAAGCTGAGATCCATTGTGACTTCTTCGAATTCTTTGGTGGTTCGAGTGAAACCCATGACTGAACTCTCATCGTTCACCATTCGGGGCCATTCGGCCTCGTCGCTCTCTCGGTCATGGTCCCATAACTGGTCAACCTCTTCCCCCGGCTGCACAGAATCTTCAAGAGCGAGTGCTGGTGGCGATGCCCCTCCTCCCGAACCCACTGCTGCTAAGGGTTTCCCCATCTCCGGACGATGCGAGCCGTTCGAAGCTTGTGCAGACGATCCCATTCCACTGATAAGTCTCTCCAGCATGCTCTCCATACGGTCAATTCGGGCTGTCAGAGTCGAAACGTCGCCATATGTAGACACTTCGCTTTTCTGCTGTTGACCGGCACGACGACGCTCTGGAGGAGCAAGACCTGTCTTTTTCGGATGCGTGGTGACGCAACTGAATCTGTCAGTCAGTCATCATGCCACCACTCATCTGAGCCCCGAACTGAGCTCACTCATCATATTGAGCCACACGACAAGGTCCACACCGCGGCTGTTGCTCATCGCATCGAATCTGCCGGAATGTAATTATCAGCAGTTGTAATCAACTCAGATAATCTTTGGATCAATTACTTCCGCAAATCAATGCGGGAACTCACCTTGCGCTGCCGGCAACGGTCACACGCGCGACTCAGCCTCGTGCGCTTGGCAGCACGCGTATGCATTTCCTCGATAGGTGAATCGGATGACATGGCTCGGAATCGCTGATGGAACGGAAAACGGAGTGCATAGACAACATTGAGAAATGCGGAGGTGGCGTAGAGTTGTACCCACTCTCAATCGGAGCGGAACGGAGTGTTTTCCGTTCCGTGGCGTTGCCGAGGATGAAGCTTGCCGGACAAGTCGTGGCGTTTTGGTTTACCTTCGGAATTGACCTCGTTTCCGTGTGTTCCATGAAGTGCATGGTGACACTAGCGCATCTGTTCCGTCGGCCGTGGCCATGATAAGATGCACCATTTAACCCGATCAGTCGAAGATGGAAAAACTTGGCAGAACCTTCAAATGTATCTCAACTCTTCACACCTTTCTTTTCGTCCACATACTTTCGAAAGCAAATGCCATGACAAATACCTCGAACCTGCGAGTTGCGATTGTGGGAGCTGGCTTGGCAGGGGGTGCAGCCGCTTTACACCTTGCTCGTATACCGGGAGTCGACATCACCGTATACGAACGCTCAGACGAACCTCGGCAAACAGGAGCCTGGATAGGCGTGACGCGGACTGGGCAGAGGATTGTCGAGGAAATTTGCGGTAAAGGTGTTCTCGAAGGTATCTCGCACCATCGAACTACCAGAGCACTAGTCAAAGATCGTCTTGGTAACCTCGTCCGAGATTCGAGTCACGAGGAAGACGAAAGGCGATGGTCTTCGGCGACTGTCAGGCAGGATCTCCATCGTATCCTCATCGAGCGCATCCCAAAGTCGAAGATCCTTGGTGGGAAACGCGTGAAGGGATATCGATCATATCCTGATCGGGTGGTGGTTGATTTCTGGGACGCGACATCTGCGGAGTGCGACCTTCTGGTTGTTGCTGATGGTATCAATTCGGTCAGTAATTAGCCTGAGCTGATATGTATCGAGGACGACACTGACGAATTCGATTAGAGAATCCGAAGACAGATGCGACCCAATGACAAGGTCACCTTCACGTGAGACTCGTTTTAACCTGTGTAAACAAACTGGTCGGAAATGCTAATAATCAATTAACGAATCCAAGTGGAGCATTGGAATACATGAAGGTTTACGATCGGGCTACCTTGGAAAAGCTGGTACCAAACCTTCCTACCCAGTTCACTATGTGGGCGGATGTCGGCGGGAGGGCGCTCGTTTGGATGGGAGACGTCGGTGAGTAACATCCCGCACATACGATGGCCGATTCACAGGCTGAGCTTTGTTTAGGTTGCGGAAGATTCTCTCTCATTATCGTCGTCCCGGAGCCCAAAGATAAGGGGAATAGCCTCAAATGGGCAGAAGAGGCAGGGAAGGATCGAGTCAATCATTTGATCGATTTCTTCAAGGTCAGTCTCCCTTCCCAGACCGCTGATTCCTGAGAATTCTGAGCTGACAAAAACCAAGGACTGGGATCCCTTAATCAACAACATCCTGCACCAAACCGGCGATATCCTATTGTTCCGTACGTATTCATGTCCCTGTAGATGCAACGGCGGCTGATGATGATCATAGCTATCTGCCGAGGTACATTCCTTGAGCACCTGACTGACGGAGAGAGGACTGTCTTTATTGGTGATGCTGCCCATCGTGAGTAGTATCCCCTGGTCTCCTCTCAGGGGGCTATCAGCTGACCCTCAATAGCGACCGGTGGCGCGTATGGAGCTGGCAGTAGCTTCGCTTTAGCAGACGGCAAGGCTCTAGGTATGGCGATCGAGTATATTTCGCAGAGGCACCAAATAAAGGACCGTCTCTCGATCCAAAAGATCTGTCAGTTGAATCACATATAACCCACTGTCGGCAGCAGCTACTGACGTTATTGGTTCAGTGTACCTATACGACGAAACCCGTCGTCATTTCTGCCAGAAAGTCTTCGAGCAGCTGGCCCGAGAGATGTCGGGGGGAGAGGAAGAGGATACGACTTGGCTGGCAGCGCATGACCCACAAGATGAGTTCCCAGACGCAGTGGCCAGACTGCAAGCACTCGAGGCGAAACAGGTCTTGTGGTCATTGAAGGCAATGATAGAGGCAGATCGGGTCGCGAACCGACAGAAGACGGAAAGGCTGGCTCAAATTTTCGCCACTCGTGGTGATCATCTGATTTCGTCGCCCGTCTAGGTTTGCTTCACATATTGGACTTTCCGTCTTTGTAGACTTGTGTATCTCTTGCATGGCATGCACTTTCGATTCTGGTAGAAGCAGATTAGATATCTAATTAAGTCATCTAAGGCGAGCTTGATCTAGCAGATTCGGGCAGGGCCTAATTACTAGTCTGGCATGCTCATTGTGGGGATCGCAAATCCATTTTGCGAATACCGAGTCGTGACTCCTGTGTCTATCCGCAGACCCGTCTTCCATATCTCTCTCTCTCACACAATCCTGATAACTAGCCACATCCGTTCTCGCAACTAGGGCCAGTGTCTTCAACCAATGAAGAGAATGTCTAAATAATCTAGCTCCACGCTACATCGCACAGAGGCCCACACAGGTACTAGTCAGCGATAAGAAACGACCCCCTCACGCCCCTCTTCGAGATCCTCCCCCCTTTTATCTTCCTAATTTACACACTCATATGCAGTCACTGCTCTGCTGAGTGAGTGAGATAATATTGGCCAGAGAATGCATTGCATTAAAGACAAGTTTGGCTTGATGTGTAAAAAGCCTCTCTCGAATGCATTGGCCCACCAATTGTGTCGCAATCCGGGCGCGCACTGATAACGTGCGACCACTAACTTCCCTTGGACCCGTTCCTGGTCTGCTTCCCCCTTTTCTATCAGCCGACGATCGGAAACATCACGGAAAGGGAGAAGTTTCCGTTTCTGATTAATTAAGGTTAACATTTCCCGAAAGAGGAATCTTTGACGAAGGGATCAGAGGGCTTGAGGGCCAAGAAGGGCAGCCGGTAACGGCTCGGTTCGGTTCGGTAGACATTCCGCCCGCTAGACATCGACGGCGGGGGGCTTGGCTTCGTTATCTCAATTAACTACACCTACTTATCGTTGTTGTCGACAATCCCTATATATGTGAGCCACGACGAGCCCCAGGAATGTGTACGCTCACTCGGATCGAACCCCCTTCACGAGAAACTCGCTTGTCGCCATGAATCGTTCGCACACCGACCCTCCGCAGATGGGAATCAGCCCCATCGAACCAGTCACTTCTCCGCAGGTCATGGGAGACGAGAAGGCTCCAATCGATGGTCACATCGACCAGAACACGGGCGTCATCGTCGCTAAGAAGTCCGGGGCCGAACGAAAGCACGTCGCTAGGCTCGACGCTATCTTCATGGTCTACGCTGCTGTCGCTCAGGTCTTGAAATATCTTGATCAGCAGAAGTGCGTTGCCCTTGCTTTATCCCGCTCTTTCTCCCTCCTGTTCCTCGTGAACAAGGTGTTCTCCATCATAGCAAGAGCCGCGCTAAAGTCTTGAAGTATTCAAAATGCCTACGTCAGTGGTATGAAGGAGGATCTGCACCTCCTTGGCAACGAGTATAACTATTTCATCACGTCGTTCAACGTCGGCTACGCTTTGTTCCTTATCGTAAGTAGCCGATCTACATCCCGACAGCAGAGATGGAGCGAGCCCCTCTGACCTCGATAGCCATCGCAAATCATCATTACTCGGGTCAGACCGTCTTGGTGGCTTTCCGGGCTCGAGTTTTGCTGGGGCGTACTTACCATCGGGTTATGCTTCGTGAAGAACGCCAAGCAGGTGTAAGTCGAGCCGGGTCTAATTACCACGCAACGCGCGGTGTGATATCTGCTGACACACTCTCAGGTATGCGCTCCGAGCATTTGTAAGCTTCCAAGTTGACTTGTGGATCGGTTGGGACGACAACTGACCGCGTTGCTTTTAGATTGGTGCCTTTGAGGCTTCGTGTTATCCCGGTGCTCTGACACTTTTGATGTCCTGGGTGAGCCTCACGCCCCTTGTTGCTCTCGGCAAGAGCTACCATTGACCCCGTATGCAGTATACTCCCCGAGAAATCGCTTTCCGGATTGGTATTTATACAAGTTGCCAATTCTGTAAGTGGAACATCATCGCCTCTGGCATTCTACACCTGCTTATCGCCCTTATTAGTTGGAGCCATGCTGTCGGGCGCCCTCCAAGCTTCCATCTCTGCTACTATGCACAACCGAGGTGGACTCTCTGGTTGGAGGTGGATGTTTGTGAGTCAGCCTCAGCCCATCAAACATGGGAAGCACACCGACACTGACCCAATCAGCTTATTGATGGACTCATGACCGTCATCTGGGCCGTGCTCGGTCTTTTCTTCATCCCCGACTACCCCAATAAACCAAAGTAAGTCTCCATACACATAGCCTGGCTACTAATTAATAATATGTGCTGACTTCCCAGTCCGTGGGCTCGATTCTGGCTAACTCCGCACCACGTCCAAATGGCCCAAGAGCGAATGCACCGCTTCTGTCGGGCTAGCAACAAGCATTTCACTTTCGCCACCGTTAAGCGAACAGTGGCACTACCGGTGTTCTGGATGTTCATCATCTTCTACCCGGCCTGCGTTATCGGGAACCAGGCCTACAATTGTGAGAATCCACTCCCCTGCGATCAAATACTTGAGGCGCTGATGGATCAGACTTTGGACTGTACCTTAAGTCCCTGGTGGACGCCAATGGAGAGAAAGTGTGGAGCACGAGCGCCGTCAACTCGATTCCCATCGGTGGCTTAGCTATTGGAGGTGAGTATTATCTGCTTCGTCGCCGTCAGAATTCATCCTGATTATCGATAATAGTTGCCACGACCTGGATATTCCCGGCTTTGTCCGATTACTTCCAGACCCGATGGCTTATAATGCTTCCTGAGCTGGTATGTCTCCTTTCTGATCGATCATCTGCGACTCTTGACAGCAGCAAATGTACCCGAGCTGACAATAGCTGGTCAGCTTTGGTGCCTCCTCCCCGCGACCATCCTCACCATTTGGCATGTCCCAGAGAATGTCAGGTATTTCGCATGTGAGTTAATTATTACCTCGATCGAAACAGTCAACGTCAGGATATATGCTGACCTCTCCTTAGGGTTCGCCACATACCTTACCATGTCCCTCCCGGGAGTCATCCTCGCTTGGCTCTCCGACTTGACCCCTCACGATGCTGAGGCTAGATCTTTCTGCATCGGATTCGGAATCGCCTTCTTCTACGCCGTTGGCGCTTGGTCCAACATCCTCGTCTGGCCCGCCTCAACCGCACCTCGCTTCCCTACTGCTTGGCCCACCACTATTGGTCTGATCGTTATGGCCATCTGCTTGTTGCTCTTCTTCCGCTACGTGGAGCTCAAGTGGATCCGGCCACAAAACACTCGAATTGCGGAGGAGAAGGCTCGAGAGGAGGCACACGCGCAGGCATTGGGTGCACGTGGGATGGAGGAGGGGAGAACCGAAGGAGGGAAAACCGACGAGTTCGTTCAAGTGAAGGATGTTTGATTGAGGTGTACCTTGGCGACAAACAGGTCTGAAACGTTGGAATTCTTCGCGCATTGCAGTTGGTGGCGAAAGTCTCGGGACTTAATTTTTAATTACTTGGCTGTAAATTCTAACAGATGGTAACATCATGGATACTTCAATTCATCAATGCACACAACCCTGCCCGACTAGGAGCCTGGCTGCGGCGACTCCTGTCCTTGTTAGCAATCTTGTCAGGTTGTTGGCCAGTGACCTCCAAAACCCTGCTCCTCGCAATGAGAGGTTAAAGTGGAGCCTGGGTAAGGGCGACAATATATATAGGTAGTGCGGGTGAGATTTATTACCCCGCACGTATGGATGAACATGATCGTTCACCTCTCCATTAACCATGCTGCAGAATCACCGCAACCAAATATCTCGGAGAGAAGCTCCCCAACGTATACGTGTTGGTCGAAGAACACAAGTCGCCTGCATCAACTGTAAGGAGAGGAAACTCAAGGTAACCATCCTCTTTTGGAGAGACGAGAGCGTTCACATGGGAATTCTTTCCGCTAATTGATCAACATAGTGTGACGACCGTGTCCTAGCCTGTTCAAATTGTTGTCGTAATGGTATCCGTAAGTTTGGGATTTTCTTCTTTCTATTTTATCAAAATGCACTTTACCCTTCTAGAAGGATCTCGTCAATCTCGTCATCACTAACGACTAACGCTGTGGTGTAATTAATTAGCCTGCGTTGTGGAGGATCCGGTAACGAAGAAACACCAACCGCGGAACTACCTGGAAACCCTGGAACAACGAGTCATCTTTCTCGAGGGACTCTTGCAGCGGACTCAGCCGGATGGGGATACCTCTGTTGCTTCGACCCTGACCCCCGCCGTCGAAGACGGGGATGGCAGTGAACTGTCGATCTCCAATCCCCCGCAAGCGGCGGATGACGTGGACGATTTGGCTTCAAAGGTGGGCATGTTGGGCCTCAACGCATTTGGGTCAGATCCGCATTACCTGGGCTCGTCATCAACGTTTGCCTTCTCCCGCCTGGTCAGCTCGTATCTCCGCCAGACGATTCCTCCGGGGCCGGCCATTGGGCTGGGTCTTTCCGAGGAGCATGCACCATCACCATCACCGTGTCTTTTACCGGATTATGACACAGGGATGAAGCTCAGCAATGCCTACTTCCAGAACATCCACCCACAGTATTCATTCTTACACGAACCGACCTTCAGATCCTGGGAAGCGAAGCTACTCTGGCCGCTGGGAGCCCTAGATTCATTCAGCTTGGAACCAATTCCCTCCTTCTTTTTGTACATCGTATGTCCCGCCCCTTGTCGGATGGCCCACTCTATAGCGATGGCTAAATATTGATTCTAGGTATATGCCGTCGGTGCACTCCTTTTGCCTGACTGTGCATCTTTATCTCAGGTAATTATGCCAAGTCAACCGTCAACACCGTGACCCCGGAGCCATGTGCTGACAGAAAACTGTTCTCAGCAACTATACCTCTCGGCACAGATATATGTTGACCACGTGCTATCACTCGAGAGCCTGGAGTCAATACAGGCAATACTATGCTATGCAATGTATTCTCTTCGATCTCTGACCGGCCCGTCAATCTGGTAAATAACTAATTATACCTATATTTCCCATGTTAATTATCAGAAGAATTCTCAACTTAAGCTTGGAATAGGAAACTTTCGGGAATGGCACTACGTCAGTGTATCGAGCTTGGCTACCACCGCAGTGTTAAGCGATTCAGCACAAAGGCAAAAGCAGATCCTCTCCAGCTCGAGCTGCGAAAGAGGGTATTTTGGTGTACCTACGGGCTAGACTGCGCGGCTGCCATCCATCTAGGGCGTCCTTTGGGCCTAGCTCTGCATGACGTTGATGCTGAAGTACGGAGACCCAAACCCCTGGCAAAAGAGGACACGAACCCGGAACTAACCAGGTTCGACATTGTAGCTCCCGCTGGATATAAACGATTCCTCCCTTTCCGAAGATAGCATGTCTGGGCCACTAGGATCACTACACACTTCTTCTAGTGATCCAGCGACAAGCATGTCTAATGCAATCCATGTCATCCGCCTCCGATGCCTGTGGGCTCGCATACACACCTCTCTCTACTCAGACACGGCCTCTTGCAACCCGGACCACCACAACTACAGTATCCGCGTTGACCGACTCCGTGTCGAGCTAGATGACTGGCTGGCTTCGGCGCCACCCATACGGCCTCGTCAAGGGGTAGCCCTCTCCATCTTTGCGACCAGAGACTGGGTCGAACTCAACTATAACTACTGCATTCTACTCATCTACCGGGGCCAACTGATCAAGTATAAAGGCGTTGCGAATGCGGTGCTCATGGAGTGCCTGCGGGCCGCGAAGGGCATTTGCCACGGCTACCGGCACTTGTACATAGGCAAGCCGGTGAACTTTACCTGGGGTGCGCTCCACTGTCTGTTCACGGCCGGCCTGACGTATCTGCACTGCATCTGGACAATGCTACCCGCTGTCCGCGTTACGGTTCGATACGATGAAATAAGCAACACGTGTACGGACTGCACAATGGTCTTGGTCGTCATGGCTGAACGCTGGAAGGATGTGGCGCCGTACCGGGACATGTTCGAAGCGCTAGCCAGCCGTACGATGGCCATGGTGGTGGGAAATAGCCACGAGCAGTGGACATTGCCGGTCCCCTCCACCCCCACTCTCGCCCTAGACCCTGACGACTTGGCCAGGTGGACGGCTGCCATTGCGGATTCCGGCATGTCGGATGGCATTGATGAGCTTCTCAGTGGTCTAATGGGATGCGAAACATCCCCGGAAGAGACAAGTATATGATGGGGCAATACCAGGTCGGAATATATTGAACGTGGTTGTGAGAATGCGATGAATTGAGATAGAGCGCGATGAAGCACCAGGCTGCGAAGAAGATGAACGCACCCCAGTTGTCGATTGACGCGAGGAGCGACGGCGTGCCTTACCCCATTGCGTAAATGAATAGCCAGTGGAACGTCTGGCCCAGGGCGCTGCCAAATGAGTGGTGGCGGTTGGCCAAAGCTCACCCCCAAAGACATAGGGAAAAACAAAGAGACCTTTGGGTTTAAAAGATGGATGGATGTGTGACACCACGTAGCTCTGTGAGGACTGCGACGGCATCCTCGTGTCGGTCGACCATCATGAGCCACCTGGGCGACTCGCAGATCCAGAAGCTCACGACGACGCAGAACAGCATAAAGATGCATGGCGCGAAGAAGACGACCTGATACTACAGCTTGTCGGCAGCGAGGTGGAGATAGACACCGTAGACGCAGAAGGTGGAGCAGACCAGCGCCAGAATCATAGCAACGCCGAACCATGCAGCCAGGAGGCCTCGAATCTCGGTCGGGGCAATCTCGACAATGGACATGGGCCCCGTCACCGTGAAGGCGCCGATGCCGAGGCCAGTGATAATGCGCGACGCATACAGGGCTGCCAAGCCGGGAGAGAGGGGGGTTGGGGGTTGGTGGAGCTACTTGCGGGGGCAGCAGATGTGGCGTAAATGATGGCGGAAAGCATCAAGTGACGGTTGCAGATGAGCTGACGAGGGGAATTCCGGATGGTCGCTACCGACGAGTTGAGAAAAACCTGCTTTGATCGCCATCTTGTCGGGGCGTTCGTCCAGCTCTTCTCTGATGTTCGTCCAGCTCTCTCAATGCCACTTTTCGGGCATTTCAAACAATGGACGGCCGCAACCCCAGGCTTCAAGCTCGACACCTGAGATTAATCCATGGTAAGGAGTACTGTCGTCGGTAAATGCTGATCTCCCCCATGGGGGGCCGTTTCGGGTGGACCCAGGGGGCCTTCTGTTTTGGGCTTGGCACGATCTCGGGAGAATACGAGCTGCCAATCGAATGTGCAGCCACATACCAGGTCCGTGGGTCGCGGTGGGTCGCCGCCGGCATCGCCCGGAGCACCAATCAGAACCCCTCTTGGTATCTGTACCCATATGTACCGATATAGGTAGGGGTAACCCTTTCTCATGGGGTTTTCATGGGATACTTAAGTACGCCTCCCTTGGCGACGCTGGGCAACGTCTCATCTGCATCACCACATCAACATTGGCGCCAGACAGACATCGACATGGTCTCCTCCGATTCCAATATCATCATCTTAGGTGCGGGCGTATTTGGCCTGAGCACCGCGTTGTGGCTCGCCCGCCATGGATACAAAAACGTCACTGTCTTCGACCGGTGTGCCTTTGACAAGAATCACTACAACCCATCAAACGGCTGCGATGGGGCCTCGGCGGACATCAACAAGATCTTCCGCATGGCATACGGTGACAAGCAACAGTAGGCGATTCTATTCTATCCGAGACCCCGCCCTACCCTGCCGCATCCGCTGACTACTAATGACCGCGTGTCGCTCGCACCTATCCAGATATCAATCACTTGCCATCGAGGCTAGGGACATGTGGCTCTCGTGGAACCAAGCAATCAGGAGTGCCAAAACCTCACATCTCCCTGCAGGCCCCGCTCCCGAGGATCAGCTGCTCTACATCTGCGGCTGCTACTTCGCCGCAGAGGGCCCTACCTTGAGGGACTACTACGAGGATAGCTTGCTCACGATGGAGAAGACGGCACCCGACTTCCGCAAGATGCAATTCATCAAGGTAGGCGTGGGCCCCCTTATTAACTACGCTAGTCATCCCAACGTCATCATAACTAATTGAGTCAACGAACTACCAATTACAGGGCAATGCTCAAGACGAAGAACGTCTCAGGAAGATCGGCCCCAGCTGGGTCGACAAGTTTCACGTCGTCGACAAGATTAACAATGGCAATATCAATGGGTTCCTTGATATCAATGCTGGAATTACCATTGCCGACAAAGTGCGCCATTCAACCCAAGATCTCTGTCTTTGATATATCTACCGAATACTGACAAGCAGGGCCACACCCCCAGGCCTGTGTTTACGCGCGATTCTTGTGTGAACAGGCCGGCGTGAAGTTCGTCCTCGGAGAGCCCCAGGGCAAGGTTGATACCTTGATCGTCGAACAGCGAGGACTAAAGAAGAAGGTTACTGGCATCCAGACTTGTGATGGCCAGAGCCACTTCGCCGATTTTGTAATAGTCGCTTGTGGGTATACCGGGATTTCTGCCTCTCGCTATCCTTCTCTCCAAATACTGACATTGCGTGTATAGGTGGTAGCTGGACTGCGTCCATCATCCCCGAGACCCATCGTACTGTCGAAGCTACGGCTGGCACTGTCATGTTCATCGACATCCCGAAGGAGAGGCAAGATCTGTGGAAGAAGTTCCACCCTGACAACTACCCAGTGTGGTCTTACCGCAAGGGAGAGGGTGACGAGTACGCGAACCGTTGCCACAGAGTGACATTTCCAACTGCTGATGTTTCTTCTAGCTACTACCAGGGAGGCAGCTTCCCCATCACGAAGGAGGGCCGACTCAAGTTTGGCTTCCGTGGCCGAAAGGTACGTGTGATATTTGCCATGTCCATGTTACCCGAACAACCCAATTCGACTCACGCCTGTTGGCTGATTTTAGTTCACGAATTTCGAGGATCACCCAACCGCACCAAACACGTAAGTCCCAAGTCCAATGGAGTTCCATGGGGAGTGGCCTGACTCCGTCGTGATGCACACTTACCAATAATTATACCCCAGCCGTATCTCGACCCCTCGGACCAAGTACAGCAAGAATCCCATCAATTCAGTGCCTCTCTACGGTCTCACACAAGTGAAAGAGGTCATTGCCCAGGCACTTCCAGAACTGGTGGAGTTTGGATTCACAGACAGCAGGGTATGCTCACCCTTGCTCAACACGACAGAGGGATACATGCATGCTCACACTGGATTAAAGTTGTGCTGGTACACGGATAGCGTCGACAACGACGTAAGTACCTCTCACTACTTCCAGAACGTCACCCACACGCATATCGCTGACTTGCGTAGTTCGTCATTGACTATGTCCCTGGCTATGATGACACGCTCTTCATCTGTACAGGAGGCTCGTGAGTAATCTTAGCTCACTCGTTTTTCTAAGAAAGGACCGTAAACTCACACTGTACTCAACAGCGGTCATGCCTTCAAGTTCCTCCCTATCCTTGGCAGGGTAAGTGGCTGCGCCCCCAGTGGTTACGTGGCAATCCCGAGTTTGGCTAAGCGATTACACGCAGCATGTCAAAAATCAGCTCGAGCGCATTCCCGACCAGTTCACCCGCTTGTGGACGTGGCGCGTTGCCGATGAGGGTAAAGACAATAACGGGCTGTCCGAAGGGGAAATGGGCCCTAGGGAGATGTCCAAGCATGAGATGGCCTCCCGTAAGTTGACCACACAGTAGCTGTATACGGCAGCTCAAGGAAATTGACTTTTAACTAACTAACAAACGTAGCCTCTGATTTTGCATTTAAGCAGGCTAGACTAAAGTCAACAGCCTCGTCATAAAGGGGCGATGCTGTGCAGGGCTACATGGTAAACTCAGTTGGGACTCGCTGTTAGATCAACTGTAAATGGTTTTACATCTCCAACGTCATTCATTTCGAGATGGGCTCCGCCATCTGCGTCTCTGGCGTGGCGGGACTCTCAGTAGAAGTTATGACTCTTATCGCCGTTACAACAACCATGCACGAGCGTCCGTTGTAAGTATCTGAAACTCCCCTAACTTGGGAATTGTGCTTGGCCCAATTATTAGAGGAGCTTTTGCCGAGTTTCTCGGTCAGGGAGACACAGACATTCTCCATCAACCTCTTCATCGGCGCGGTCTGCTCTCTGGTCTACCTCTACCTCTTTCTGCCCCTAGCAAAGACCCTCGCCCCGGCGTCCCGTTCGAGGATCGCCTTGCTGAGATGAAATATGTCGGAATCATTTTGCAAATGGCCGCCCTGGTGGCCTTCGTCTTGGCTATTAACTGTGGCGGTGTCGTATACGCCTGGGATTCGGGCGCCGCCATCGGGCTCTTTGTTTGTTTAAGTCAGCTCTTCATCCTCCTGGAGATCCACTTCCCGTCAGGCGCGAAGTACGCCTGGTACCCGAACTGCGACCCCTGGCAGTAGTAGCCTCCCTCGGCACCGGGTAAAACCCCTCTCCGATGTCAATATTCTGGCAGAGAACGGGATTTGCGGCGACGCAGAGTAGTCAGGAGGGTGAACCAGGGCATTTATGCTTTGTCCGTCTGGAATATGAAGGCATATTGGTATCCGCACCACTATGCTCTGAGATGAGAGCTATTACAGCGTCCTGCAATGTGTGAAGGGCTCCCATTATCATGCCACATGCGAACACTCTCAGTTTTTTACGTGCCATTTCTTCCACGCCTGTCATAGATACATTAGCCGGCCTTGCCTACCCCCACAATTGAAGTGGTAATTAGCTAGCAAGGACGCCGACAGACCCACGAACAATCCTGGAAGCAGAGAACGGATGGAACCCTATTGCAAGGGTTATGACGCAGTATATACAGGCCACGCATGCAAATCCGGTGAGAGTGGCGGAGAACGGCGTTGCGCTTTGAATTGCATATAATTAATACAGAAGTGATGGGCTGATGGTCTAGGCCCAGCTATTTGAGTACGAATCGGTAAATGTTCCGTTTCTCGCCTAAAGTTGCGACAAACACCTGTCGTGTGATTAATTAAAGATCAACAGCCTGGACTGGTACTTTGTATCAACTTCAAACTATCGTAGTTTAAGCTGATTCCAGACTGCCGATCCTCCCTCGCCTCCCGCTCGTGCTTTAGATCTGCGGAATTACTGTCTCCCAACATTGGGACTGCAGCCATCTCATCCAAACGAAGACCCCTTTTCTTCTCCTCCTCGATATCAGTTCGAACAAGACCAACTGCCGTTGAAAATAGTCGTCCCTTGCCTCCCATTTTGTCTTCGACGAGACTTCAGGCTTCCTAAACTCCCTTTTCTCGGTTCATAGCTTGGTTGAACTTGACGTAAACCTCCTCTTGAAAGGCTTTCATTAGGGGAACCACAACCTTGTCCTTTGCAGGGAGTATTTGGGTTGAAAAAGCACCGCAGATGCCTGACTTGCGGTCGATCCACTAATTAGAAGTGTTCATGTTAGCTGTGTCTACCACTTGATAAGCGGAGAAGGCCATACCCAAACAGTATGCAGCAAGCCAGTCCACAGCAGTGTGCCCGGTCTCAAACACTGGTGACCCTCTCCAGTTACCATGACACCTCCAATGGTCCACTCGTATTCGTCCTTGACGAGAAGACCCTGGCAGATCCACCGCTGTAAACTCAGACACTGCCGCATGGGAATCCTCTCAGTGTATGACAGTTGGCGTGTAAACATCATGGCCGCCGTGTGAGTCTTGAGCAGTTTCTCGTCGTCTGTCAGCAGGGAGTATACGATGGCGACAAGATCCTCTATGGTAGCATAGACACCCTCCCCACCTAGGCAGTCCTTTCCGATTGGCAGGGGCTGACTCTGCCCGGGGATAAACTCCAGCTTGCCCGTCCACGCATTTCTGTGCGAGGTGGTAGCTGTCCGAGACGATATCTCTGGATCCCTGTCGGGGAAGAAGGTGAGGCTGGTGAGCCCAAGGGGTCGACATATGTGCTCCTTGACCCATTCTTCCAAAGTCATTCCGCTGACCGCTTCGAGGACCTTCCCGGCCCACGTTATGCCAGATCCGTAAGTCCATCCCTCGCCTGGCTCGTGCAGGAGAGGGTAGTTGAACCGTTCCTCGACACAATCTCCCTGGGCGATAGACTGTCTGTTCCACCACCGCCATCTCCAGAGCGGATGGATGTCGAGGAAATCGTATCCGGCTCCCACGGTCTGGGTCAATAGCCCGCGCAAGGTAATAGCCTTACGACGCGGCTTCATTTTCGGCCTGCCGTACCAGGTAAACCCGCAGAGAATATCCTGGCTTGCCAAGACGGGGACGTGGGCCGACACATCGTCGTCTAATTTCAGCAGTCCCAGATCCACGGCCTGGAGCGCGGCGACGGTTGTGATTAGTTTTGACGCAGAGGCGAGCGCGAACACGGTGTCCAGTCGCACGGGCTCCTCGTTGCCCGGTTCCAGAGATCTGTTACCAACAGTTCTGGAGTACTGGAATGCTCCTTGGGTTGTGTTAGCCGTGGTACCTTGGGTAGAGAATCACAGGGTGACACCAAGATGTAAATACCGGTCTTATCCTTGGCTAGCATGGCAAAGCCTGGAGCGTCGCCATCTTGCACGAGTTTCTGGATCAAATCGTCGAAGGTCGCCATGTTTGATCAACTAATTGGTTCGAGAACGTCCGAGAGAAGAAATGGGTTCTGAGATGTCGACAATTATCACCTGTGAAGGGGTTTGTCATGGAGCCCGTAATTAATTCACAATCTAGTTTGCCTTCCCCCGGTTGGATTCCCAGCCAAGAATTGCCGCTCGAGCTCCACCTCGGGGCATTCCATTTGTGCAGGTGGCCCGGGTGTCCCGGCATAGGCCGTCATTTTTCTGGGAGCCTGATGTGCGGAGTAAATGCGAGAGATAAAACATATAAAGGGTTTGCTTGTGTTTCCGCTTTGGCACTAGGTCAGATGTGCGGGGAGCCGCTGCGGTAGTTTATATTAAAGTTCCAGACCCTTTTACCGTGAGTGTGGGGATCAAAAAGTTGTAAGCTAGTTACGTTTTGGACTCGGAACGTCGGCAATTCTGCAGGACATGGCAATTTCTGGCTGGATTCAGATATACACCAAGGATGACCAGCGGAGATTTAACAGCCGGTGCCTGCCTGACAACTGATGGTGAAAGATGGGCAGGTATTTGCGCTATTTGATCTAGTCCTACAGCTGCCACTGGCAGATCCCGTCGTGACGACATTTCCGGACTCTGTATGCCTGTCGATATTAGGCTGCTATCAATGTCGATAGTCGGACATTCTGGATCAACCCTCCCCCTGTTGTCCCTGCAAGTGATGTCAAAGATGATTCCACCCTAACCTCTAAACGCGAGTTACACTCTTCAAACTTCTGCTGTGTTTGCTTTCCCATTCTCCTGGGGAGAAACCTACCATGATTGGATCGTTTATGGCTACGCGTAATTTTGTTGAATTTAGGCAAGACTGTCCTCTTGGCGGCCCGGCGAATATTTTATGAACCATCTCAGCCGCTTAGCCCCTCAACTATTACCCTGTAATTACCTCCTCAAACATTCTGCAGGCTGGTCTTCGAGTTGCTAGATCTTCCCCTATGCTCAACTGACTCCCTTGACCCATAATTAGTCAAAGACTACCTAACGGATTTGGACGATACTTGTAATTCTCTCTCTTTCGATCTTTCTCCTCACAACCCTCAGTCGCTGCGAAGATAATCCATTATCAAACCTACGACCCAACAATATAACGGATCTGATCCAGTATCTGTATCGGTGGACAGGATTGTCCGCCTCTCCATACGTTCCAGACAGAAGAGAGGATACTAGCCTATCCTTGCCTAGGTATTAAACACGACAGTACTCTGCATAAATCCACAGAGACTATGTGGAAGACACAAACTGCATGTTGAGGGGTGGAACTGGGGTTGCTGGGACTGCACTGTTGCTTTTGTAGCACATCCTATTTTCCACAATGGCCTTTTGTGGTCTGATTTTCCATTCTCGACAGCTCGTAATTCCACGAAGACACAGTCTGGTGCCTTGCGCATATGTCGGGTGGTGGACGGAGGACAGGAAGGGTTTTCCATGGGCGCTATTTCGTTCTCATCGTCGTCTTGACATCATACGCGTTAGTGTCTTCGCTAGTGTACAACCTAGTGCATACAAGACAGTTTTTGAACCTTGGAATCTGTACATGAGCTTGTACATACAGTCAAACGGCAACTGCGCTGCTCTGTAGGTATTCTCGAGGTATCTAACCACGTGCTAAGTAGGGCAGGCCCCAGATGGTACCCCTGCCAAGGAAAACAAGCTTCGCCAAGACAATCAAGCTTTGTGGGAGGGACGGGTGGCAAATGACGGCATTCCAACAAACCTGGTGTCGTCGAGCGAGTCATATCGACGTCAGCTTCTCCGCAAAATATACCACCTTACCTCGTTGAGCCTCAGCGACGAGGTCGGACCGACTCACGGATCGTGTCAATGGCCTGCACATGGCCGGGTAGTTGTGCTGAAGTTTTAAGACCTTCCTTGGCTGTCCCGTCTCGCTGGAATAGTTTATTTGTCCTCTCAGCCAATTATCCCATGGATATATGCCTTGGTTGTCAATTACGCCTCTCCAGAGATCAATATGGACGAGAAGCAGGACTATAATGGTCAATCCAGCCCTACAGGCACACGGGATGCGGTATTGGGCCCGAATTTTAACTACATCAAACCCCAGGGGCGCGAAACGCACGACCCCGATGTCGCCTTTGAGGAGTACCATTACTATGCACATGAGACGAGAAAGGAAGAGTTGACCCTCGAGTCCCCGCGCATGAACTGGCGCGAGCTCATCAACCGGAAGAAGATGGAATCAGGGGCTGCCGGGCACCCGCACCTGCCAGAGAGCCGCCTTGTTGAGGCAGACTTTGCCACCCGTGAGCGACGACTCGAGATTTCGGACGAGGAGTGGACGAATGCGAGTCGAGCCTTCAGGACGGCATCATGGGGTGCCTGTGAGTTGCAAACCTGAACCAGAAGCTAGTCTCCAACCCACAAACAAACGCTGGTAATGCTGACTGATGACTTCACAAACCAAACAGGTTTCTTCTTGATCACCACAGACATCCTTGGTCCATACGGGTCAGGCTTCGCGATGGGCACGTTGGGCTGGGGCCCAGGTGAGCCAAGACAATGTACTCGTGGGCCAGTGATCCATGTGAGCTAATCGACTCGCAGGCATTGCATTCTACACCGTGTTCGGCCTCATGGCTGGGTACTCTGGGTACCTGATCTGGCGGGTCTTCTTGGGCGTCGACAGCTATGAGTTCCCGGCCAAAAACTACGGTGACCTTGCCTTCCGCACGTGGGGTTCGACCCTTCGATACATTACCAACATCTTCCAGGCGATCGGGCTGCTGCTTATCGTCGGCCAGGTTACGATCCAGTACGGCGAGAACATCTCGCAAGTATCCAGGTTCCGGCTGTGCTACATCGTCTGCCCCGTCATTTTCGCCTGCGCCGGCTTCTTCATCACCCAAATCCGCACTCTCAAGTCCTACGGATGGGTGGCTAACTTTGCTGTGTGGCTGAACCTGCTTGTCATCTTCATCACCATGGGAGTGATGGCGCACTCGCCCCCGAACTTCGCCATCGCGACGCTGGGTTCGGCGGGAAGCGCAGTGGATCCCAGCACCATCACGCCGGACAAGGACGGTAACTATCCGCCAATCATACATTATAATAATCTCCCGCCCAACGGCCTGGTCGGCTCGATCAACGGTCTGCTTTCGGGCGTGCTGGCCTACGCCGGCGCCCAGCTCTTCGTGGAATTCATGGCCGAGATGCGGCGGCCTCGCGACTTCATCAAGGCCATGTGGGGTGCCCAGTTCTTCATCTACAGCGTCTATCTCATCTACGGATGCTACATCTATCACTTCCAGGGCCAGTACTCCTTCCAACCAAGCTACATGGGCGTCAGCATCTATGGCTGGCAGACGGCGGGCAACATCATCTCCCTCGTCTCTGCCCTCATCGCCGCCGGGTTGTACGGCAACATTGGAATCAAGGTGCTCTACAACAACATCTTCATAGACATCTTCAAGTCGCCACCTCTCACCACCCGGCGGGGCAAGATAATCTACGCCGTTCTCGTTCCCATCTGGTGGATCATAGCCTTTATCATCGCTGCGGCCATCCCCGACTACTTCGGCTTCGTCAGTGTCATGTCTGCGTCTATGCTCCTGAACCTCACGTACACGCTGCCGCCCCTGTTGGCTCTGGGCTTCGACTGCCAGAAGAATGCTATCCGGGCAGACCATGGCGAAGGATTCGATCCGACCACGGGCCAGGTCGTCAGGCCCGCAACCAGCAATGTCAGGCGCTGGATGCGTGGCTTCTGCAGCGGTGGCCCGTTCCAGGTCGCTGTTAACATTTGGCATGCCGTCTACTTTCTGTCGTCGCTTGCTATGTGCGGGCTGGGCATGTACGCCGCGGTAGATGGTAAGTTTTTACCTTGTGTCAATCATGCTGATGTAAAATTAGTGTATGTTGTGTTAACTCTGTGTCTACCAACAGGTATGATTGTGGCTTTCAAGAACCCGCAACTTAACTCGTTTTCCTGCACCTCGCCTCTCAACCTACATCCATAGGGATTTTGGGTAGGTTTAGAACTGCAAGGTTATGTTTGGGTTCTACTGTGTCTCACTACTGTATCTTTCTCCCTCATTGTCCTGGTCGCTTGAACTCTTAGTGCAAGTTGTTTAATATTACAATCGTTCAAGCTGCTTTAGATTCCTTGATTTCAGTCTCTGTCTCGGTAGGTTGCATAAAAGTCTATCGTCGAAGTCACTTAAAATTAGCATCCATCTCGCCGTAATTGTCGCCATGTCACAGGGTTTACTTAGGCCGCCCGAGCGAGGTAAGAGATCTACGGAATCTAGGGTTCGAAAATGATAAGTCCAGGTTTGAGAAACCAGTGAGAGCAAGGATATTGATGTCTGTAATTATCGATTCGCTCTGGACGAGGTCACTAAATCCTGGCGGCTAAAAGGACCTGCCAAATCAGGGTTGTGATCACCGAGTACACCTGAATTTAATCTGGCCTCTGTGGTAATCGGCAGAACAAGGTAGCATGGAGAACCCATAAATATGCAGTCATTCCCCGCAATCGGGGCCTGAATCTATCCGAGATCCCACCGGTTATCTTAGACGGCCACCTCTAGGATCTGTTCTCCAGGAAGTAACCATGCAACCTCGCTCAAGCAACCACCGACGACATGAAGCTATTCGCGACCTCGATCCCGACAGTCTGTGTCCTAGTGGCAGTGTGTTGCGGGCTACTCATCCCGGAGCCGACTGGCCCTTACAAGACCGCGTTGCATCCTTTCCAGCTGGTTGATGACAGTCGTCTGGACCCATGGAACTCATCTCACCCGCGGCGGATAATGGTGTCGCGCTTCGACCCAGTTCCGCCCGAGAGGTGCACCCAGACATGCACTGTCCCCTACATGAGCCAGTTTCTAGCCGACTCCGAGGACGCCATCTTCGACACCTACCTATCCAGCGCCAATCTTACATGGCCCAGCGGTGTGCTGTCCCAGCTGGAGCTACAAATCTGCTGCAACAGGGCTTCTAGGCCCTTTCCCAATGCTACGCTCGAGTACCCCGTAGTCCTGTTCTCGAGCGGCCTGAATACTACCCGCTTCTTCTACTCGGCCATCGCGCAGACCATTGCTAGCCGGGGTTACACTGTCGTCACCATGGACCACCCGTACGAGACTGATATTGTCGAGTTCCCCGACGGCACCATCGTCTACGGCGGCAACGTGGTCGCCGACCCCAACAACACGGCGCCCCTGGTGCACGCCCTGGACGTCCGCACCAACGACGCCTCTTTTGTGCTGCACTCCCTCGGAGTCCCCTTCGTCACGGAGACCGACGACCCGGACACCGCGAGGGCCGCTATGGTGGGGCAGTCGTTTGGCGGCGCGGCAGCCGCGGCGGCTATGGTGAACGACACCCGCCTCGTCGCGGGCGTCAACCTGGACGGCATGATGTTCGGCCCCGTGCTGAACGCTGGGCTCGGCCGTCCCGGGATACCGCAGTCGTTCCTGGTGTTCGGGTCAGTCGGGCACAACTCGTCGAGCGATGACTCGTGGGGCAGGTTCCTCGAGACGATGCACACGTGGCATCCTGAGGAGTGGGTGAAGGAACTGAGCGTTGAGGGATCCATCCACGGGAGTTACGCCGATTTTGGCGTTATTGCTGATGTCGCTGGGTGGCGCGACGATGAGGGGCTGGTGCAGGCGCTGATCGGGGACATTACCGGGGCGAGGACGATGGAGATCTTGGCGGCGTATTTGGATGATTTCTTGCAGATGGCCTTGAGGGGGGAGGATCAAGGATTGCTGAATGGTCCGTCGTCTGAATTTCCCGAGGTGCAGTTTCTGAGCTGAGTGGTGGGAGAAGACTAGGGGAGGGAGTTCCTAGGATGCTCGAAGTGACCCATAGTGATGTGTCATCTAGATCTCCTACAGAACACCAATTAGCATCATGTCGATTATATATGCTTAATTACTCATTGACCAATTCTCCTTGGCGATAATTGAGGAGGACGGCGCTTCCCACGTCTCATCTTGTCTGCGCCATGACACTGCGAGTAAAATCTAATAAGAGAAAAATTATCCTCCGAGCTGATCTCATCCATGGCGGCCGCCAGGGTTACATGATGACAGCTTGCCAAGATATGGCAATCAATCCTGAATCCTGCGATGGTCTGGAACTTCTTGGCCTCTTCGGCGTCGCCCAGATTTGAGCATAAGTACCTGGCTTGGATCTGCTGGTTTCGAGATTTCGTCTTCAGGGCAACCCGTCAAAGATCCAGTCTTCTCTTCCCCTCCAAAAAAAACACGGTGCAGCAAGGATGAAGTTCTCCAATCTCGCTATGGCCATTGGCCTCATGGCTTCTCACGCGGCTGCCAAGCCTATCGATGACAGTGAGCCTCTTGCATCTTGCATCACCACAATGTCCTTGTGTAAACAACACGCAGCCGCTAACAACCTACGCGCAGTGGCTATCGCCAAGGCCGTCGAGAGGGGCAAACTGATCAAAACCTCGGACGTCTCCGAGGTCGACAAGAGAGCGTGCGCGGCCTGTGGTGTCTACCTTTGCTCTGGCAAGAACTTCACCGGCGAATGCTACTGGGGCTGCTACCCGGCTCGTACGCTGATCGAGATCGACTCGTACTGGAGGACCCATGTCGCCTCCGTCGGCCCAGACCCAGGCTGCTACTGCACCATTGGTACCCCGTACGTCGACAAGTCCCTGCTCTCGGTTTATTAACGCTCGACTCTGACGCTGACGTTTTGTTTTGTAGCAAGCTGTCGTCCTGCGAAGGTTTCCAGTATCCTGGAGGCAACCTCGGCGATACCCAGTGCTGGGGAAATGTTGGTAACTTTTTCTGCGTTCCTCTCTAAATGGCATGACTCGGAAGGGGGAAGTTTCAAGGGAAAGGGGCTAGGGTTGGTCAGGAGTGCCATGCCCCATGCTGTGATCAATAAGAATCAGAGAATAAATAGCCAAGTAAATAACCATTGTATTTACGCAGCGAAACTCAGCAACTGGTTGCGTGTTGGTCAAACCTTCCTCCTTGTTCCCGGTTGGCACTGAGAACATGCAAGCCAGATGATCGCCATGATTGTTCCAAGTACGGATAGATCAAACTACATAGGTTTTTGCTAACCCCACGCCACAATGCAACAAAATGAATCACGTCGCCAATAGGAACCGAAAACCTTGGCACGCGTCCGCGCCACAATAGCTAATAACGAGGGGTTTGACGCCTGGGACACAAACTACGAGACCCAGGTTGAATGGGGTTATCAGAAGAAGACACTCTTGATCAGCAATGATAAGACCGGCTCAGGCTCTGGGTATAGTGGCATGGATCTGCCGAATAAACACGACTCGCGTGCCATGCTCATTGACAAGGCCCCGGGCAAGTTTGTTGACTGGCAGACAGACGACTGGAGCACTAACACGCTTGTGGAGGTTCGGATCTACGGCCCGGTCCTCGCCAAGCGCTCGACCGGCACGTGGAACAGTCACGAGTTGTAAATTGAGGTGTGTCCGATCAAGGCTGCCTCGGGCTCGGGAATTGACGAGGCGTCATTTAAGACAGACAGACAGCAAGGTGACAGCGTCGTCTGGGCAAAGCGGTCTCAAGGCCTGTCTGCAAGGTAAAGGCTGGCTCCTTGCAGAGGACTCATCGAAGACTGAGTTGGCTATGGAACGCTACTGAGTCACCTGGCTGGTATACCAGGAGCGGATGGCTGGGATATGGACGGCAGCGGGTGGAAACTTAGAATCCTTGATCAGATTATAGTTGCGTGCTAGGGAAGCGAGCTAGAAAGAAAGAAAGGATGAATGAATGAAAGAAGGGGGGAAAAGGAAAAGAAGAAAAGGGGGGGGGGGGGGGGGGAGATAGGGTTAAAGGAAGGGGAAAAAACACAGTATCTCTCCATTCACACGAAAAAGTTAATTACATCACAGCCTAGTCATCTTCTTTCTCGGCGGCTGCGGTGCAATTTTCATAAGGGCAGGCTCAGTGGTCCCCTTGTTCTCGGCATCTGCAAGAGCTTCCTCACGGTGACGGGTATGCCAGCGGCCAGTGCTGCCACGCTTCTCCAGTGCCAGATCCGTCGGCTCCGGCTCCCCTGAAATGGTGGCAGCGGGGCTAATGGTGGCGGTGGGGCTTTTGGCGACGGCGGGGCTGACGCACACGGGCGTGTCAATGAAGACACCGGTCTGAGGGAACGGGTTGATGGGGCCCCAGATGTTGCCATCGGCGTCGGGGCCGACCCCGAGGGTCAAGAACTCCATCTGAGAGAAGTCGAACGGAACGGGAGGCACCCCGGGGACGTCTTGCTCGCCTTGGACCCAGACGTTGACTGGCTGGACATAGGTGCCCGCCACGATGCCGTTCTTGGTAACGCGTGTCTTGGGGACGCCGTTGATTTCGGCAGTCACACGGTACTCCCTCGTGTAGCGGCTGAGCATGTCGTTGCGGTACTCAAACTTGTTCTGGGGATTGCGGCCACCTCGTAGGCCCATCGAAGCAAGAATCCTGTCCGTTGTTGCCCCAGTACACGGGTCAACGTCCATTGCGAACAACGAGACTGTCGCGCGTGGGTTGGAGAGAAAACCGATGAACTAAGTGTGGGATAATGTGTCAATCTCCTGGCCAGTGGTATTAATCAGATGTTGCTCGTGTGGCTTACTCTTGATTCTGCGATTTCGGCATTGGGGCTTGGGTTGTCGATGCCTAGCAGTGCAACCTCCATCCGGACGTAGACAATGTCACCGAGCGTGTTGATCATGACGTTCTGGGCAACAATGCTGGAGGCGATAATCTCGTCGCCGCGTCGGAAGCCGGTGATGGTGATGAAGTCGCCGGGGAGGAAAGGAGCCATGACGAGGGGATCGGGAGCAGTGCTAATTAGTTGCAATTCGGGTTAGTCGGCAGTGATACACCCAAATAGGCGCACTGGTCAATCTTACAATGTGCCAGGACCATTGAAGGGTCGGTTGGTGCGTGGGCATAGTGGATCAGTGGGGTTCCGTGGAATGCACATGGGGAATCCAGAGAATGACGTGATACTGGGACTGGCATCGTCGGCAGTCATGAATGGCGCACCAGTATAGCCCACAGAATAGACGCCATTGGGGTCATTGATACGGACGGTGGGACCATTCTGGATCTTCATGCTCCCATCGGCTTGGTCGATGGACTCGATGAAGCCGCTTGCCATTCCCTCGAAAAACTCGTAAATTTGGACTTGGGCGACTTGAGGAATCCCGTTGATGCTGTTCCCGATGACCTGTGTTTCATGTGTGGATTAGACACTGTACTATACGTATATACCGTTACATCAATTAGGTAGTAAGGGTGAAGTAAATAATTACCAGTGTCTCGAAACCCAGGAAGTCTGACTTGCTGGCAACAAAGTCTTTCCATGGGACCCACGCAGCTGGAAACTGGACCAAGAGGTTCTCGGGAATGTTCATGGTGAAGCCATTGACAGCAATGGCACCGCCAGAGTTGAATGCATTACCAGACACAGTGGCATCTTCCAATGCGCCTTGCACCCATAAAGGGGCGTCTTGGGCAAGGACCGTGAGTGGGAATTGGAGGACATGGAGGCCAAGGGAGACCAGGAGGACGATAGAGCTGAAGAAAGCCATGTTCCTAACTCTGCCTTAAGGTGCAGGCGAAAGTGAAAGATGCAGGCCAGACGGGCAGAAGGTGGAGAGTGGAGAGTAAAGGATGAGGATGAGGATGAGATGGAATGTCGGTGTTTGAAGAGATATTGGACTATATTTATAGGTAAACAGCGATGGATCTCGGTTTAACCCCCACGTGAAGCGCAATGGCAACGAGGACAGGCCAGTACGTGTAATTCTCTCCCTCAACGCTGATGGAGATGCCCTTGATGCGTAGTCTTCGTGAGCGCCAAGCCCCGAGTTGCAAAATATTGGAGAGCCAATTGTGCCTCCCCTTTGAAATTCTATCCGCTCTCTCCAGAGTCAATGGTCATATGCGCCCATGTTGTATTCGGCAGGGTGTGCATTCCTCCTGGTGAGTACCTCCCCAGATAGGGCGTGGTTCTCCTCAAGTGTTACAGCTCTTGGCAGATGCTCTTTCTTGTCGATATCCTCAAATCTGGTTTACCGCGCTTGCGGCCTAGGTTCTCGACTGTGTATCAAGCTCTCGCCTGCCGGATGACTACTAAGATACGACATTACAAACGAAGTTGGAAAACCAATCCTACTTTGACGTTGCATCAAAGTCATTCCGCAAGCAGGGGGTAGCACCCCAGGGCGCGTTTTCCGCCCCCACTACCCCAGCTGAATAAACTTATTCGTCCCAATCGAGATGTGAATGCCGGTACTAACGAAGTGCCAAGATGAGGGGTGATTAGGTTGACCCGTTGAATTTGCTGCGGGCCGGGCCTCGAACAATCGGTGGGGCTGCGCCACCCACTGGCGTACCGCGCCCTTGCAAATTCGGGCCGGACATCTGTAAGCTTTGGTCAGCAGCGATGACTGTTGCTGTATGATGGATAGAGACTCATCTAATCGAAGCCCGCCAGATTACCAACGCCAGGGTGCCTTCCATTCCATGTTCCATCTATTCTTTGTGGCCTCAAGGAGTAATACAAGGAGGCATGTCTCAACTGTCTCATTCCCTTGGAGCAACAGTGGTTAGGGTCATCCCAAGTGTAGGAGCAACAAGTGTGTGTACAGTAATTAATTTGAAAAGATGCCACAGCACCAGAATCTCAGACGGTGGTCCTGCCACTATTAGCTAGCTTTCCATCTTACTGGGGGTAACCAGCAAGGACTAAGGAACATTTCCATGTCGTTTGCACCTGTATGGAGTACGTGGCACCGATACCCAGGCAACAGTTGCTGCTGCGGGTCACAACAGGCCTCTCCTACCTTCATGGAGCGTTGAACTCAAGGTCCACGTCTCCACGTCTGGAGGCCTCAGATGATGGTCGGGCTATCTTTTGCTCCGCTCGCGGCGCGGCATTTTTAATCTCACCGATATGACTTTGCCACCATCGCCACGGCTTTGAGGTTGGCAACTCTTCTGGATTAGCAATCAGGTGCTCGGGACCTCCGACGGCTGAACGAGGTCCTCTCTAATCCATGGACCAGTCTATCGAAATGCTGCATCGCCAAGACTAGCCAGAGACCGATGAAGGAGGATTGCAACATTGCCTTGCGATATTTACGCCAGTGTAACATCCAGATGGGAGGTATGACTACGCGGGGGGGAGGGGGGTGGCATGCGGCTGTTCGAAGCCATCTTTTTGCACCGTGTATGTAAATCTCGAACGGGAAGTACCTAATTAGGTGTGCCTGAGAGGTGTGGTTGGGCAATCATTTGTAATCCCCTGCGTGGAAGACGCTTTCCTATTTGCGTATCCTTGACACAGGGGTTATTTACGGGAAGGTACTAAGCTCTGCAACCCTCCACACCCGTCTTAGCCTTGGCACTCTATGCAGGGCTGATGAACTCCTGCCAGGTGCATGGGTCACTGGGGCTCCATTCTCGGTCCGTCCTGACTTGTTACCGCAGGACATAAATATTATTGAGAGGTACGGGTTAGTTCTAACCGAAAGGGTCTTCCCTAGTGTCCGCCAATACCCGCTCTGTGCCTCCGAGTCTAACTTTAGAAGGTCACCCGATGTAACGGTGCTGGTCTAGATCTAGGTCCGAGAGACAGGCTAGGGCAGGATTAGACGAGTGAGCCCTTAGATCTCCCGCCTCATCTTTGCTGTGCAGACAGACAATGCAACGCCGGGAAGGTTCCCCTCGATAGCCCTTGACGTGGGGGTCGTCCCCACAAGCAATGATTCTCATATTCGTGATCATGCAGCGACAGGGGCCATTGGCGAATGAGGGCGGCGTCACATGGCTACTTACACACTCTTACACAGTCACCGGTTTTCTCGCTGAGAAAAGTTCACCGGGTTTACAACACTGGCACCTCCTTTTTTGTGTGCATGTCAGGAGGAAATGCCATTCCAGAGCACTATTAGCTGCACGCCAAGTCCATTGAACCTTCTCGTTCCTGTCATTTGATTACTCTGGGGTGGTAGGATGCCCTGGCAGTAACAATCATCCAATCGACTGGAGCCGCTCAATGATCCGTGAGCAACGGGCGAAACGAGTGGCTTGGGCCTAGATTATTGTTTTCACCACAGGTAGTTGCCACTAACTGTGGGTGGAGAGAGGAAACTTGAGATCTGAGAAGGATAATTAATACCAGTGTTTAGTAAGCCATGTATGTACTTGTACCTTCTCGAGATTTGTTCGATATTGGTCTGATGAGGCCTTATCAGCCCAAGGCCACGATTACCTTCCTGTGAGAAAGACCAGATGATGATACACACTGACAGGACATTTCGTGGTGTCATCCTTTTGATCTTGTGACTTGTGGCTCTGCAGCACCCTGGAAAGATGTCCACGTCGTCTACGTCGCCCTCCTTGATACCTTTCAGTCGTGGGTCCAATAATTAAACCTGATGGTGTGTTGCTTCTTGACCAAGATTGTAGTCAGCTCATTATGCCAAGCCCTCCTGAACGCCTCCGATGCCACCGTTCCGTTGAAGGTTGAAGTTGCCACGATGGAAAAGGGAGAGAATCCCGTTTCCAACCCTACCTCCATGAGATGTGGAGATTAGTCTCGTATAGCTTCTTCTACGCGCGTGATGTCAAGTTGTGAATTCTCTTGCATATCCTCGGACATGTTGCCTAGTCGGCGGCATATCACCAATATTGAGGGTGGGAGGTCGCGCATGGTGGCTGGGCTCCATACTCGATACAGTCAAGCGTCCGAGTCATTTGCCAGCCTGCCCTTGTCTGTCTGTGAACAGCGAAGATATTGCTCTTCGGCATTTCGCTGGATGGGCGCGATTGCCGATAGAATTGCCTGGGGAGGAGACGAGGGGGGGAGACAAGAGGGGGGAGACGAGGGGGAAGGGGGGAGGAGGGGGGAAGAACTAGATACGAGAAAGCCATCTTGAGGAAGCTGGCACCGAAAGATGCCGAAAGATGACTTGGGAGAAGTTAGTATAAGACTGCTCATCCGCCGTCACAATCCCAACTTCACTCCTGGCACTAGAGCATCGCAACAAGCGAACGCCACTTGACGCATCTCACTCCCACTCCAGTATTCCATCTTCCTTTACTTGGGAAGTCAGACGTCTGAGCAATATGTTCGCTCACAATCTTGCGGTTTTGGCCTTGGCCATCTCCACTCTCAAGGGATGTGTTGCGCAGGGTGTTGTGCAGAAACACCCCCCCTCCAATGGCCCCCCCTCCAATATCCCACCAGAGGAAGCGGCAGCTCTGGAGAGCATTGTCGAAGATGACCCAAACGACATCTTCACCCTCAAGAAGTCCGATTGGTTAAGCCCCGAGTACAACTTGATCTACAAGGTGGCTCTGCCGATCCCACCAGTGAAACAGCCGAATAAGTATATGCCCATTGAGATACGGCTCTGTCATTGGACTCCTGGGCTAACACTCTTAGGATCATCACCAACCCTGTCACTGGTAAGGACATTTGGTACTACGAGATGGAGATTAAGCCCTTCACTCAGTCGGTGTACCCAAACCTCCGCCCTGCCAAGCTTGTGGGCTACGATGGGATATCGCCTGGTCCTACCATCATCATCCCAAGGGGCACTGAGAGCATCGTACGCTTCGTCAACAACGCCGCGATTGAGAACTCGGTTCACTTGCATGGTTCTCCCTCCCGTGCCCCATTTGATGGATGGGCCGAGGACGTGACGCAGCCGGGCGAGTACAAGGACTACTATTATCCCAACCAGCAGTCTGCTCGCATGTTGTGGTATCACGACCATGCAATGCACGTTGTACGTTCCAACACGGAGTGAAGGGTCTCTCCTATCTACCCGCTAACCGACGTCTAGACTGCCGAGAACGCCTACATGGGTCAGGCCGGTGCCTATCTGATTGTCGATCCAGCTGAAGATGTACTTGGCCTTCCAAGCGGATACGGCGTCCACGACATCCCTTTGGTGCTCTCATCGAAGCAGTATAATAGCGACGGCACTCTCTTCTCCACCAACGGTGAGACTGACAGCTTGTGGGGAGACGTCATCCATGTCGTAAGTACTTGTACATGTGCCTAGCTGCAGGCACCCAGCATTGTCGACCCTGCCTTCTCACATCTATCCATTGGGATGTTTGGAAAAACTAACTGTAGGGTTAATTAGAATGGGCAACCCTGGCCATTTTTGAATGTCGAGCCACGAAAGTATCGCCTCCGCTTCCTCAACGCAGCCGTTTCTCGGTCGTTTGCTCTCTACTTCGCCTTGACTGAGAGCCCGAATGCCAAACTTCCCTTCCAGGTCATTGCCTCTGATGCCGGCCTCCTCGGCCACCCAGTCCAGGTGTCTCACATGGTATGTATCACCACAATTCGTCGCCATATTTAACACTCACAATGCTCACAATGGACATTACAGTATCTTTCCATGGCCGAGCGCTATGAGATTGTCTTCGACTTTTCCAGCTACGCGGGCAAAGCAATCGAGCTTCGAAACCTTGCCAAGGCTGGAGGCATCGGCACCGATGATGACTACGAGAACACTAATAAAGTGATGCGATTTATGGTTGGCTCTGGCCCCCTCGCTCAGCCAGACACCTCCGTGGTGCCTGCGACCCTCCGAGAGGTTCCATTTCCGCCGGCATCCACGGGGATCGACCACCACTTCCGCTTCCACCGCACAAATGGCGAGTGGCGTATCAACGGCGTCGGTTTTGCTGATGTCCAGAACCGCATGCTGGCCAACGTTCCTCGTGGCACAGTTGAGATTTGGGAGCTCGAGAATAGCTCAGGCGGCTGGTCGCACCCGATCCACGTTCACTTGGTGGATTTCAAGGTCTTGTCGCGCACTGGAAACCGCGCTGTTATGCCCTACGAAGCCGAAGGCCTCAAGGATGTTGTGTGGCTGGGCCGTGAAGAGACTGTCCTTGTCGAAGCGCACTATGCTCCGGTAGGTTGATTCACTTCTACCCACTGCGTAACAGTTACTAACTTGGTCCTGTAAGTGGGATGGCGTCTACATGTTTCACTGCCATAACCTCATCCACGAGGACAACGACATGATGGCTGCCTTCAACGTCACAGCTCTTCCGGACTTCGGATACAACGAGACCTCGTATATCGACCCAATGGAAGAACGATGGAGGGCCAAGCCATACCAGATCGCTGATTTGAGGGCACGCACTGGTGTATTCAGCGACCAGGCGATCACGGAACGAGTTCAGTTCATGGCCAGCCTCGACCCCTACGGCCATGTTGAGGAGATGGGCAACGCGCTTGATGAGTATTATGGACGTGGTGCTTCGGCAGGGGCTCGCGACTTGGAGCACAGTCCAGAGCCGATCCCACACTACCGGAGATTCCAGACCTAAGGACCGTCTTTTGAAACGGTTCCAGTGTTCAATCTCGTCGTGGAGATTCTTCCTGTCCTTTCCTATCCCTTCCTTTCCTTGTCTTTTCCTTCTCTTTTCTCCAGCTATTCTCATCCCCCGGGGATTAAGTCAGTTACCATTCAATGTACGGCGATATCGAACGCAACTAAGCAGAAAGTCTACTCAGAGCCCAAAAGCTATTTTAAACAAAAACTCTCCGTAAGAGTGTGAATAATCAGTGATTAAGCCTCGTCCAGCTGCTGCCCTCTTTGACCCAACAATAGGACCCTTATCAAACGCATGGAGAGCATCCTCTACAAGCAAGCTCACCACCTTTTGCTCACCATCCTTGTCCAACTCAGCAACCAGCGACTCCGCATCAGGCACCAGAGTGTCGCCACTGACAGTAATGATGACGACCGTGTCCGGGAACGGCGCCGAGTCAGCTCGGCCTGGAGATACGCATGGATCTGTCCTCATGGCTGGGTCTGGCGCTTAGCATAGCGCGCGGGATTGGGTTCAAGGGCCGGTCGAGAGGCGCAAATATTGAAGAGCGCTTGCCAGCGGCATTGCTACAGGGTGGGGGGTTTTGTAATGGAGTAATATCCTGAATTGTACAATAGGTGTGTAGAGTTGTAGAGCTGTGACTGATTTCTAACGGCGATGACATTTGACAGATGCATGATACTCGGTGAACTTGGGTAATCATTATCAGCAAAGACTTGTGCTAGTCCACTAAGAACTTAATGTGCCTGCGACTAGATGCCAATCAGGATGGCTCGCCATGACTCACTACCGATAATGGTTTAATCCATCGCAATTCATCTACAGTCCCATAATTATATTATTTACACCCTTCCTCGCAAACTTGAGACGTTTGGACGCCAAGTGTGTCTGTAATATCGTCGACCAGGTTTCTAGCCATTGCATTATGAGTGCATAATGGCTTTACTCTAAATTAATCCATTGGGTCGGTCTGAATAAAAAAAAAGAAAAAGAAAAAAAATAATTGAGACCATGTGAAAAGGGGTAAAGGGGGTGGCCCGTGCACACTGACTGAAAGTCCAACGCCAGCGAGCGATTACGTTTTTATGCTGCTGAAGCGAGCTGCTTCTGATAACAGACTTAGCCTACTCTTATCGTCGTACAAACAGAGCCGGCTGTCACTTTTAAAAGCGCGCTGCCTTAGGCTAGGCCTTGGTTTCGACAGAGTGAAGGCGGACATCCGGAGCCGGGTGGAAGCAAAGGAGGTGGTGGTCGCTTTCGGCTATCCGGTCTACTCCGTTACCATAGCCGATCCGCACAACAAGGTAATCAACAAGATGAGATGTGGGCTCTCCATTGAAGCCAGCACGACAAAGATGTTCACTCTGGTCCCGAATCGCAATCTCGTCCCAGGAGCCCTTGGTGGCCTCGATGGCCTTGAGGAGAGGGAGGATGATACTCAAAGGGACAGGTAGGAGCAGGAGGGCAGGCTATTCCGAAGACGAGTGTGAGGATGCGGAAAATAACGAAACGAATAGCCACGATGGTGCGCGCTCTGATTGGTAATGCTAAACAACCGGTGTCGGCTTCCAAGTTAACAACGTTCCACTTTTGGTGGTGTATGGTTTTGGTCGTTGTTTCAATACGGTCACACACGACGCTGGCTAAGGGCGAGGCTGATTACCTAGGTGAAGCGGCAGTCAGACACGTCCTAGAAGGAGGACGACGGCGAGTTCACGATTCGATGCAACATACCAGCGATGTCAGGATCGCGTCTAGCCGGGGGATGCCGGACTGGGAAGTTGGGTATCTATGCAATTTCACAAGAAGAGTGTCGAAAAAAAACCACGATTGCTATTTCTACAAGCAGCTAAATACGCCCATAATACACACAAGATGTGCCCCTCCAACAACGATTTTACGAGGAGTTCTTAAAGCACGCCTTAACGAGAGCGCTATCCGTCCACGTGTCCCCGTTCTTGGTTGGTACCTCGCTGAGCTCATAAGTCCGGGGGCTGAAGGCGCCTGCTGACCAGCCGGTATATCCGAGGAAGACGTCCGAGTTTTTGCTAGGCGTGGGGTTTGTGTCAACAGGCAGCTGAGACGGTATATATACTTCCCCTTTGCATCTCTCTTTTCCCACGCCTTTGGCAGTGGAGAGATGTCTAGAAAGCGAAGAAAAAAAAAAAAGGAAAGAGAAAAGGGAACTCACTTTAGGAAGTCAATCTGCTGGCACAGGTACTTTTCGCACGAGTCGGTGTTGCCGCCGCCGGTCTCGCTGTTCAGCGCCTGCCGCTTGTTGGTGCGCAGCCAGTCGGCCAGGGGCGAAAAGGCGGTGTCAATGTTGTCGGTCACGCACTCGGTGTGGGTGCCCGAGTTATCCGAGTCAAGGTACTCTGCGTAGGGTTATGCACTGTCAGCTAAGCTTGTCCGACATATTACTGTTGTGCATCTCGGCGCGGGCTTTCATAGTGATATATGTCCATGGAAAGCCGGGCATAGAGGCAATACAAGGGAGGCGGAGATAAACTCACTGTGCACATCAAAGACGATGCCGTCTGTGCTGCCGTCTGGGTTCTTGACCTTGAGGAGGGCCGGGCCGCTCTTGGTGGGCATCTGCTGCGCCGAGGTCCAGTCATTTCCGGGGATCAGGATCATCTGGTTCTTGGCACCAGCCTCCCGAATGGCAGTAACGGCAGCTTGTACGCTGTCCGCCCACTTGTTGATGTCCGGGACGTCATGCGGCTGCGAGGTCATTGTCTTAGAAACCGGGGTCTAACCATTTTCGGAGGCTGCTTCGAGGTACATACCTCGTTCATGAGACCGAAAATCATCTTCTCCTCGCTGGCATACTTGGTGGCCAGCTGGGTCCAGAGGCTTGCAAATTGGTCGTTTGTTGGGCCGCCCTGGTCGATGATCTGACCGTCCCAACGGGCATCTGCTGGCGTGAGTGCCTGCTTGTCGCGACAACGGTGGGTTATGAGGGAATATTGGAATACATACAGTTATGAATCTATAGTCTGGTCAGCTTTTGATTATTGGTCCCACATGACCTGACTCTATCCAGAACCACAAAGACTTACATCAATGATGCATGCAGCGCCAGTAGCGAGACACCCCTGAACCAATTTGTCATAGGTATTGATGTTATTGGTGTTCAAGGTACCGCCAAGGGTGCTGTTGACGAGGTACTGCCAGCCAACAGGCAGCCGAAAGATGTTCATACCGTCATCCTTGGAAAAGTGTTGCATCTGACCGATTCTGTGTTCGCCGTCAGCCAACGGTCATGTGTCTACATAACATACGGTGAAGATGTACCCATCGGGACCGCCCTGATCCGCCAGTGGTGGAAGAGTCTGCGAGAGATTGCATGCACCCTGTTTACGCATTTAGCGAGTGGGAGCCACCCAAGGGGCTGTACCGATATGTCGGCTAGCTTACCGTGGTGGCACAGCCAAAGTCAAAACCTGCAATGTTGACGCCGACTGTGTCTGGGTTAGTCGAGCTCGACTTGCTAGAAGACTGGCTATGATCTTACAGTATTGCACGCCTGCTCGCGGCGATATGACGCCAGCAAAGGCACCGGCAGCCAAGGCCAATGTTGAGACTACGGTGGAATGCATAGCTGACGTAGACAATGGGATCGCGTATTAGCTCGAGATGAGAAGAAGCTTGGCTTTGGAGTGAAGACTTGGCGTGGATCGAATCCAGGAACGATGCAATGCCAAGGCTAGCATCTTTATACACGTTTCCTGCCTGTGTCAAAAGGACGGAGCAGAGACAAATCGATGTCATGGGTACCGAGGTATGTCGTGTCGGAACCGAAAGGCTTTGCAAAGCGATATTACTACGGCCTAATATCTGACTCGGCAGCATTTATATGAACCGCGCATGCGCGCCGTATTCCGAAATTTTAAGGGGCCAACCGTGTCTGCTTTCCCAATTACCTACTCAATCATGAGGGACTCTCATTGCGATTGTCCGAGCATGAACGATATCTATTGGGCAACGGAGGATCAGTTGGAGTGTGCCATAGAAAAGCGCCGCGAACTACGCCGCATAAATGTGGTCCAGCAAATCCCTTGAGGGATCAGCAAGGGGTTGCCGCAGATTGAGACGGGAGCACTATGAAAGGTGGGGGAACCCACTGTGGAACGAGCATCGAACTCGGACCCCTCTCTTGAATCCAGGCTTGAATGACCCCAAAGGGGAAGAGCGGATCGACAAAGCTTAATTGTATCTTCGGCAGCATCGCTCCGTGAAGCGAGGCCCATATGCGTTCTAGCACGCGAGGAGGATGCTCAACCAGGAAGAAGAAATCCCGGCACGCGATTGCCCTTAACCTGGGAAATTGGAATAAAAAGGCTTGTCTGCTTGGCACACGAGCATGTTTCGTCCATGTAGTGGAGCAGGGGTGCAAATACATCACCCAATCCTGCCGGGACTTCGCCGCCAGCCAACTCATGAACATTACCATAAACGAGTGCATTGGAATAGGCCACGGCTGCATCCTAACCATCGCGCGCAGCATCCTCAGAGTCGAGCGCGACTCTGACAAAGGTTCTTACACGTACAAGCAACTAATACAACACGACGACTTCTCTAGCCCAGACGACTATCACCCTATGCGGCGGGACCAGATCGCCAAGATGAAGGCGCAGAGGAGACTGGGGTGAGAGGGAGGCGCTGACACGGAGGATGATACTTTGTCGCCTTGTCGTGGACGATGAGGCTTAAGTCGGGAGATGTGTGTATGCCAATTTCTAATAGGGCAGTTGTTGCGCAGCGGTCGTCGGTTTGGTATGCGTATCGAGAGTTTGCCCCGTTTTCATATCTGAATATGCTATATGTAGACTTTTTGAGGCAGCCGTATGTATCTCTTGAGATGATAGCAAGTCTCAGGAGAAGTACTGGGAACTAACTGGGGGTTCATAACCCTCTTAATCTCTAACTCTTCTCCTGGGTTTGCACACCGGACTATACCTAGGTTTAGTTTACAGTACATCATCGCCTTCAAGAATAGCCATTCCCAAATGGCGTTCTATGACTTTTATAGTCTGCCTCGAATCTGTCCCAGCCCCCATAATCAGGCTCGCTCGCCAAAAAGAGCGAATGCACGATCATGTCGTAATAACCATGCGCTGGGGTCTTGCCCCCGCACACACTCCCCCCAACTGCCACGTTTAGCAAGATGGTGAACTCCCTAAGGGGCCGCATGCCTTCCACGGTTGTCGCCTTCATAACTGGCCTGCCGTCGATATACCAGACCATCCTGCCATGCTGCTGCTGGCCAGCCTGATCCCAAGCAAAGTCATACCGCACAGGCCGGGACGGCAAATCAGGGATCTTGGTCCCCAGCACGCGATGCTTCTGAGGCTCGTGATCGTCTCCCCAGTGGAAGCATGACCTGTTCTCGCAATCCCCGTTCCACGTCTCAGCAATGTCTATCTCGCCGTCTACAGGCCAGGAAAACGGCTCCTGGGGTAGGAGCCAGAATGCGGGCCAGATGCCGCCGGCACATGGAGCGAGGATAACGCCTGTCAGTACCCCTTTGTCACGGCCAAGTGTCTGCCTGCTGACTAGCCTGGCAGAGGTGTATCGCTGCTCCGGGTTGGGTGACGCGTTATTCGCGATAGCGCGAATCACGAGTTTGCCGTCGTGAGTACTGTCCCATCCACCCAAGTCCATTAATTAGAATTGCACATACATAACATGCCGAAACAATATACAGGCAACCTGCGGGCCGATAAGGTTGCCAGATGGGTGAGGTGCCTAATTACTCACTAAAAGGCGTTCTCAGGAGCTGCTGTGTAGTACTCCAACTCCTGATTTCCCCAACCGTCCCAACCATTTCCAATCTTTGCATCCCAATCCAAGCTAACCGCAACATCGGGTCGAAACGTGGGTCTCCAATAAACATGGCTGTTGGCCACCGCAGGAGGTTGGGATGACCACTGCTGCGAACTCTCCCTGGCGAAGGGTTCCGACACCATGCGGTCCCATTCTTGTTTCATGCGTTTCAATCGGTCTCTCCAGGGCATCGTAATTGTTCTGGACAATATCTTCGTGTTGCAAGGGAAAATATGGCTGATAACAAGAACATCCAATCCATTCCGTAATTCTAATGACGAGGACGTCACTCAATCGTGGAACGACCCGCTTTTCTTCTCAGCCCCGCACTTCCACTAGCCTACCGTGCTTACCTAGCCAAATCGTGCCCGTCCCCACTTATATGGTTCGCTTCGAGACCTCGCTTCGGCTCAAGCACGTACCTACTTCTAGGTACCTATAGTAAGAAGGGTGAACCGAAGCGAGGTCCCGAAGCGAGCCATCAGATAGGTACGGTATTACTGACATTGCGGGGCCCCGCATTGCCGCATTATGAGTTCTGGGGCGCGCCAGAGTGATGCCGCTCTCGAGCTCCCGAGAAGAACCCCCTCACCATGGCGAAAGGTGGAGCCGAGGTGGTGGGAAGCATGTAATTATAGGGTTGTGGAGCCGACATACCTAGGTAGATACTCTAAGCCGAAAACCTATGAGCCCACAGAGCCCGCAGAGTAGACGGGGCCGAACTGTTCCTCTTAAATACCAAGAAAGGGGCGAATTCACGGTGTAATTACCTCCCCTGGGAAGACGCCTGAACCCATATTTGGGCCAAAGCTGCACTGCACATCGAGACCTTCTCAAAGACAGTCCATATCGTTGCGTCTTGGGAGTACTCCTTGGAACGATGGCGAGCGCCTTGAAACAGCTATGGGACGTAGCGTCTTTAGCTTGGTCAACACTCAGCTCTCTTCCGCCAACCCAAGTCATCATGGCTGGAAGCCTGGCTATCCCTATTATTTGGGCGACCTTTGCAGCTATTACAGCCTTTTACAACATTCATCTTCATCCGCTCGCCAAATTCCCAGGCCCTCAAGCTGCGTGCCTGTCGCAGAAGTGGCTGTTAGCGCAGTCCAAGACCGGAAAGGCTGAGGAAGTGTTTGAACGACTTCATAAGGAATACGGTATATTTAATCCAATTCTCCGGAGGCTGTACATATGGGGATCAACATCAATTGCTAACGTCCCCGTCCGGTAGGCACACAAGCCCTCCGTATTGGCCCGAACGAGCTGCACATCTCCGACGTTTCCGTTTACAAGACCATCTACAACCAGACATCACCCTATCTAAAGGCTCCGGACTTCTATGGCGCCTTTGGTACTCCACATACGCTCTTTGTAGAGGATGACCCCGCAATGCACAAGGCGCGGCGCCGCATGCTCAACCCCTTCTTCTCACGGGGGGGAATCCTCAAGATCGAGCCCATGATCGTCGCTAAGATCCAGCGTTTACTTGACCGGCTTGAAACAGTCCGCTCGGCCCAAAGCATTAACATATATAACGCTATCCGCTGCGTCACGGTGGACATCATCTCCGAATTTGCTTTCGGCCGCACGCAAGGCCTTACGCAGACAAGCGACGCCAACTTCTACGGGGGCTTCCTAGTCACCTTCGACGCCGTGGCCACCGTGATTTGGGACCAAGCTTACCGACCGTACCTGCGGAAGATCCTTGGAGCAATCCCCAAGGCAATTACACGACGTCTGAGCAGCGAAGTCGCCAAGATCCTCGACTTGGCGCTTGAGTCGGAGCAGTCGCTTGCTGCATATCGCGCCGCGCTCAAAGAGCGCACGGCGGATGACTCGGCGCACGCGACCATCTTCGACGGCCTGCAGGAACTTCCGAGCGATCAGATAGTGGCGGAGGGAGTAGACATTCTCACGGCCGGTTCTGACACGACCGCGCTTTCGGTAACCATGGGCCTCTGGCACATCTCGCACAATGCCAAAGTCAGGGATAAGCTTGTCGGTGCGCTGGTGGAAGCAATCCCAGATCCGACTAGCTTTCCGAGTCTTGTTAAGCTCGAGGAGATCAGCTATCTGACAGCGTGTGTCCGCGAGTCCATCCGCGTCGCCATGGCCGTGCCGGGACGGCTGCCGCGTGTGGTCCCCGACTACAAGAAGACCAACAGCGCCCCCTTGATCGTCGATGGTATGATCATCCCCCCTGGCACTGTTGTCGGCATGTCGGCGTATTCGATGCACAGCAGTGAAGAGCTGTGGGGTCCCGACGCGCGGTCATTCAACCCCGACCGATGGCTGGGCGACGGCGGCAAGGCACTCGACCAGCACATGGTGTCGTTCTCCAAGGGGTTGCGCAGCTGCATCGGGCAGAACCTCGCGTACGCCGAGGCTACGCTGCTTTTGGCACATCTTCTCCGGCGGTACGACGTCCGACTTAGTCCCCAATCGGGAGATCCGGTGCGCATGGATAACTTCACCAACGCTATTCGAGAACCCGGCGTTTTGATAGACCTTAGCAAGCACGATGATTAACTGCACTGCCAGTACTTAGTAAAATGGAAATAAATTTACTCACTTCATGTCTTGAATAAATGGGAATGCTAGCTAGCCAGCCTGCTAGCGCTAGCCGTTGTTGCCGACACAGACCAGTTTACTAGGAGATACGGCGCATCTTTTTCGTCGCCAGTCCTGTTCGCGGACACGATCATGCGGTGGCAGAGCCTGCTTCGCGGCACCCGCAGACGCTATGTCATTGACAGCTCACGCAGCGAAGCGTTCTAGAGGATCGTAACTTTGGATTCGGACCGCAAGTTTGTGCTGAAAGCTAATACAGGCAGTCTCGCCTTGGCGCAAGCTCGGCGAGCACATTGTACATTTTTCATGAGATTGAAAGCGAGCACGCTGTCCCACCTCCTTATTGTCCATCTACTCCTTAAGCCACCCCTTCTTGATGTACTCGGCCTTCAATCTCGGCATCAGCCTCAGCGCATTGCCTGCACGTATCGACTCGATCTCCTGCGGCGTGTACATGCCGCTCTTCTCCGGCCCGTACATCTCGTTGATCGTCGATGACACGTCGTCCTTACCGGTAAAGGGCCAGTCACTGCCCGTCAGCACGTTCTCGGCGCGGATGCCCAGGCTCTTCAGCATGACCGTCTGCACAGCCGTGCCCTGCGAACACTCTATGTAGATGTTGCCGCCGCCGAAGATGTGCTGCAGGGTCTGGCCGTTGTTGTGGTCCGCGATGCGGTTCACCTGCTTGGCACCTGGGCCGCCGACGCCGACGAGCTTGGAGCCCGTCAGCGTGCGGATGCAGCGCTGGAAGAGGAACGGGAAAGAGCCGCCGTTGTGGCTGAAGACCCACTTGACGTTGGGGTACTTTGTGAAGGTGCCCTGATCTACCATGGACATCAGACAGCGCGCCGTCTCCGTCGGAAACTCAATCATCTGCCAGCCGTAGACCTTGGGGTCCAGCGGCGGCATCACCGTCTCGTTGGGGTGCACAAACAACACCACGCCGCGCCGGTCGCACTCGGTCATGATCGGGTCATAGGACGGGTCTCCGAGATACTTGTTGGCCGCGGACGTGGTGATGGCGTAGCCGTCGGGCTTGGTGGAGCACTGCTCCTCGGCGTACTTGAGCGCTTCGATGGTCTCGGCGACGTGGGGAAACGGCAGCGGGGCGAAAGAGCCCACGGAGGCGGGCGCCTTCTCGACCTCGGCTGCCTGGTGGTCGGTGAACTTGCGGCACAGGTCGGCCCACTTCTCGGCGGACCACTCGCTGTTATATTTACTCCAGATGACGGGGGAGTAGACAATGGTTCTGGTGTGCTGCTCGCGGAGGAGACGTCAGCTGGGTGACGGGACGACTCCCTAGGGGGTCGGGGGTTGTGTGGGCGGTTCTTACCAGCTTCTCCATGGCAGTGTCACGCTCCTCTGGGGTTGCGATGACAAACTCCTTCATCGGGCCCAAGACATCGGGCATGAAGTAGTGGAAGTGGACGTCAATAACGGGCACATCGTCTCCTTGCGTGGTGAACGCCATGATGTTGCGTTGTCTGGCTGGCTGATTTCCGCTGTGCAGTTGGCCGGAGAGTGCTTTCTACTTGAGTTACACTGGCCTGAGCGGTATACGCTGGGTACACAGGCGGGATTGTATGTAAATTGGGCTTCAGCGCGAATCCCCTGATTCTGGCCCTCTCCCAGACATAGGAGACAGGGGTGGTAGGGTGCTGGTGCCGGCGGGGCCGGTGGGGCCGGTGTTGGCGAAGTGGAGGTTCCGGTGGTTTAAGATTGCGGGGTCCTCCTTTACAACGTCCTGTGCTCTTCGTCTCTCAGACCACATCGCAGAGTTTGTGCTGCCCCATGGAGACGGCCATTCGGCGACTATTGGAGGACGAGGGCTTAGCTGCCTTCTCTGTCCCGACTAATCTCGGACACAGGAGCCTGCCCGCACCCGGACCGGCGGGCAGAACACGCACTTTGACTTGTCTCCCGAGACTCACGGATGCCAACCGGCCCCTCCCTGGCCCCTGCGCTGTCATTCCTTTAGAGCGATAACCCCCCCCCCCCCCCCCCCAAATTCTCCCCCCGCACTCTACTATGCAGTACATGCAACCACCTTTTCCCCAACCCGAGTGGAGGGAGCTTTTCCTGTAGAGGATTACTTGAACTGCCACCTGAGGTTAGTTCAACATAAAAAAATGACTGTCCCCGTTAAAATACTATCAACTCTATACGCACACTCTATACGTATGTACATCAAATTACTTGTGTTCAACTACTCTCAACGCAACCATCTTAATAACCTTGCGGGGCGGCCTCGACCATGATAACTTCAATGTTGAGTATCTGACGCAGGTCTTGAAGTAATCTAGAATTCACCCCTTTTGGATACGTAGTTGTATAAGCAGCTAGCTATTAATATAATGGTGATAGGATAGGACTTTATTTACCAAGGACGATACTGGAATAGTCAAGTTACATGGGTCGACCAAGGTTCTTACCGGAAGTGATGCTCGGAAACTCCAGAGACCTAGACAGGTCCAGGCTGCAGTACTGCAGCTGGAATGTTGTTACATTAACCATTGCCACTACAAGACTGTAGCTATGTGCAAAGTGTTCTTGGATCAGCGTTCAGAGGGATGTGTCTCAAGCCCACATTTCTACCAGAACTTCAAAGGTGCACAAAGCGAGAGTAGAACAATGTACTATGCACACACTCTCCTGACCATTCCATCCTGCTCTTATCAAGCAATCAAGGCAAAACGACGAACACTGGCCTCTAATTATTGCTAGAGCTACAGGGGCAATCTCGATTCGCCAATTCCTCACATCCGCATAACCCTTCCCCTTTTCCAAGTCCAATGACAGCCCCCATTGACATCCCCCATTGGATACTCCTTCCTCTTCACGGCGCCCGCTTGAAGTACAGAAACACCTTGTCCTCCGCCGGCTTGCCCTGGAAGTTGTCCAAAGTGTGCATGATCTCGGGCGTAGTCTCCGGGTGCAGCTCGACAGTGAAGTTCCTCAGGATGGTGCCGATGTGAATGCGCGTCTGGAAGATGGCAAGGCTGTGGGTTGGTTGGGATTGTCAGCACGCACATGATGGAGAGAGGGTATGTGATACATGTGGCAGTCAGGGTATGGCAGGAGTGGCGCGGGCAGGGTCCAAGGCGCCTCGACGACTTACTTCTGACCGACACAGGCGCGCGGGCCCGTGGAGAAAGTGAGCATGTTGGCAGTCATTTCCGGCGTCGGTTTCTCCCACCTGCTCGTTTTGACCCCGTTAGTCACGCTGTCAATCTCTATGCCCCAGGGTGGGCGAGTGGGGGAGGAGCGACAAACCTCTCGGGCTGGAAGGCCAGAGGGTCAGGGAACACCTCGGGCGACTTGTTCATCGACCATGCGCTCATCGCAATGATGCTCCCACCAGGGACGTGGTAGCCTGCGATCTGGGCGCCCTCGGGAGGGACGACACGCTCGAGCAGCGAGGGCAGCGTCGGGTGCGTTCGCAGCATCTCCTTGACCGTCCAGTCGAGGTAGGGTACCGCCTCGAGGTGCTCGATCGTCACGTCGGCCGGGTCGGGCATCTCGGTGCGCAGGGCCGCCCGCAGCTTCTCCTGCACCGGCCGGTTCTTGGCCAGCTCGTAAAGGCCGTAGGTGACGGTCGTGGCGGTTGTGTCGCCGCCCGCGAGCCTGGGATATGGTGGGACTGGGTCAGCTGCGGACTTCGTCACGGCATTGGTCTTTGCAGGCAGCTTACATGATCTCCATGATCTCGGTCTCGAGCTCCTGCTCCGACAACTTCTCCTTTGGGTTCTTCTCGCCGTGCTCGATGAGACGTTGCAAGATGTCGACGCGGTTCGCGGTCTTGCCAATCTGCTTGTGGTGCCGCCACTGGGCCAGACCACCCTGCGCGTGTTTCAAGGTGCGGTTTTCGGCGGCGCGCCAGTTGGCCAACCTCTTACCTATTGCCCAGCCCGGGAGCTTGCTGGCGAACGGAAACACAGTCTTGACGAGGCCCCACGAGCTGCTGTCGTCAAAATCCTTAACGAACGGGTGGTTGAGCTCGCCGGACGAGATCATGTCATACTCGCCTCCGAACCCAACGTCGGCTTCGTCGCTGCGTCAGAATCCCCTTCATGTCGTCCAGGACCGAGTGCTACTACTTACTGACAACCTCGAACGTGAGGTACCGCGTCCACTTGTACGCCTCCAAGGGCTTGCCGGCCCTCTCAAACTCGTCCAGCTTGGCCAGGAACTTGTAGATGTGGCTGAAGATGTTAGGCGCCATGCCGCAGAGATTCGCACGCGAGAAGGCGGGAAGGAAGGCCCGGCGCAGGATCTGGGCGCGCTCGGGCTTGGTCTCGGAGAAGAGCGAGGAGACGCCGTTGAAGTCGGCAAAGTCGCTGTAGAAGTGGGATTTACGCCATTTGTGCGAGCTGTACACGGTCTTGACGGCGGTGGTGCTGTTGCAGGACATGACACCTGGTGAAATTTCGACGAGCGGGCCTGCGCAGGCGTGTCAGTCGTGGCCAAATGCGGCATACAGGGCAGATTGGAGAGGGGAGCGTGTCGTACCGTATCGGCGGTTCTGCTCGGCCGCGAAGTACATCTTGTTTGACCTGAGCATGGTCAGGGCGAACCTTATGCCAATGGTCTTGTCTAACAAGGAGCCAGGTATGTGCCTTGTTGGCGACAAGAACACGGCGTACACAACCTTGAGCCAGCTAGTCAGTCAAGGTAGGGGGCGATAATCCCGCCGCTTTCGAGCGCTACTCGAAAGAGACATACCTTTGACACAAGATACACGATAAGGACGCCAACAAGGACGCTCAGCTTGTTGTCCATGACAAGAGCCAGCTTCTGCTGCAAGATGGAAGATTGCGCTGAAGCCATGGCTGTGTGCAGTGCGGTCGGTTGAGCAATTCAATTCAGCAGCAGGGTGATACAAGGTGGTGACTGTGGGAAGGACCCAGCAGCAGCACGCTAGGGAGTTTTAGGCCAAACTGTGCAGCGCATGTAATTGCGGCGAAAGGTGAGCAAAGACACCTCGGAAAGGTGGGGGGTCTTCGGGAATAGTGTGGAGAGGAGCTTGCTTAGATGCATTACACCAACAGTTAACCGATCGGCTCGGGATGACGGGCTTCCCCGGGTCCGTTATACAGGCGTAAAGCTCGGGCAGGTAGGGCATGTGCCCGGATGTGCCAGTCGTTGGCGCTGCCAGCATCCAATGCCGCTTCACATGCCGCTTCACATGCCGCTTCATATGCCGCCTCACATACGAGGCTCTGGCGGAGTCTGATTTATCTACCCTGTAATTGGCGATAGAGCAACGACGGACTAGACTGTAAGCACCAAGCAACCTGATAGCACCGCTCACCTCTTTCTCCCCCACAACACGCCCTCCTGCCTCCAACACGTCCGCCAAAGATGACCACCACGGACATTCCCAGCGTTCAGAGCGCCGCCGTCCTCACCGAGGAGTATGGCAAGCCCCATACCTTCCGCACCGACTTCCCCGTCTTGGAGCCCAGCGCCAATGAGGTGCTAGTCAAGCTGCAGGCCTCGGGCGTCTGCAGCGGCGACGTTAACCCGCGCGAGGGTTACCCGCCCGCGCCCAAGGTGCCGCAGCGCCCACTCGTGACAGGCCACGAGGGCGTGGGCATCGTCGTGGCCGTGGGCGACAAGGTCACGGCGTTCAAGGTCGGCGACAGGGTCGGCATGGGATGGCGCTCCGAGGTGTGCAGGAGCTGCACCGAGTGCAATCGCGGCGATGACAACCTGTGCCAGAAACAGAAGATGAATGGCTATCAGACAAACGGCACGTTTCAGGGTGAGTGCTGCCATCATCTTCTGCTCTGCATATCTCTGTCCAACGCGTATCCTACTTTTGCGCATTGCTGACTCCCCCCCCTCCCCCAGAATACGTCACAATCTCGCCCGCCTCACTCATCTCCATCCCGCCCACCACGGTCCCTGCCACGCGCATCGCCCCCCTCCTCTGCGCCGGCGGCACCGCCCTCGCCGGCCTCCGCGCCACCGGCGTCACCACCCCCGGCAAATGGGTCTGCGTCACTGGAGCCGCCGGCGGCGTCGGCGCCCTCGCCTGCCGCTACGCCCTGCATATGGGCCTCAACGTTGTAGCCATCGACAGTGCTCAGAAGGCGACCGTCTGCGAGGCCATGGGCGTGCACGCGTTCGTGGACTACGAGACTGCCGACACGGTCGTGTCTCGCATCATGAAGGCGACAGACGGGAGCGGCGCGCACGGCGTGGTGGTGTGTTCGGCGAACCCGGCGAGCTACAGCCAGGCAATAGACTATGCGGCGGTGGGGGCGCGGATCGTGAGCATTGGGCCGAGCATGGTGCATTTTCACACAGGCCACATGATGACCAAGGGCCTGAGTCTCGTCGCGCAGTGTAATGGCAGCACCAAGGATATCCAGGACGCGGTCAGGCTGGGCGTTGAGGACGGCATCCTGCCGCAGGTGGAGTTGGTTCAGATCGACAAGATTGACGAGGCGCTGGACAAGCTCAAGGCGGGGAAGACGCTCGAGAGACAAGTTGTCGAGTGGTCGTGAGTGGTTGGACAAAGTCTCTACCTCATTTTACCAAGTTGCAGGATTAGCAGATCGATTAGAGTAGTCTCTCTCTCCACACCTCCATTCTCCCCAACTGCATACATGTGTTGGCAACTTCGGTCTAGTCAGATAGATGGAATGGACAAGCGCAACTCACAACATGATGATGATCTTAGGGCGTAACGCTTGGTGGTCTCCTGCTGTATAATGAGGCTTCTAGTCGTCGCGCTGCAACAATGAACTGGCAGTCGTGTTGACTTGGCCAAACTCGGGGAAATGCGCCGGCACATTCTATCTCTCGTATGTTGATCTATCAACAATATGGGCTGTCTGTAATCATGCCATTCTCCTCTCAACATGTCACCACCAGTGTAAAGGTGGTATGATTGGCACGTTTAACCTCACCACTTTTCCTAGAAGTAACACCACATAATATTTTCTTTCCCTGCCATCAGTCAATACTGAATAGCTATTACCTCTACATATACTAGGCTCTGTGCCCATCCAGCGGCCATAGCTCGCTGAACATTTATCACATTCGTTGGTCATCGCATTCGTGAGACCTGCACCCGGCGACACGTTGCAGTCTCTACAGAACAGCAAGCTTGCGAACACTTTACTACATGTGCGAGCACACTACTCCAACCAACACTCGTGGGGGATTTTCTGTTCGTCATTGTATCTAAACCTGTGTGTTTGCATCCGTTGACGCAGACACAAGTTGCCTATAACTAATACGTGTCCCGGTGCAGTTGTCTACTTACGTGGAGATCTCTTAGCATCACACACCTCCCGTCTGCCACGCCGCCACATCAGTGGAAGGGCACATCCTCGTACTTCATGTAGACCGCCTTGGTCTGCAGGTAGTTTTCCACGCCGTACATGTGCATCTCGCTGCCAATCCCCGACTGCTTCCAGCCAGACACCGGCATGTCCATGCCCTGCGTGGGCGCCGAACAATTCAGCCCGACGGCGCCTGCCTCGAGGAACGTTGCAAACTTGAGCGCGCGTTCGACGTCCTTGGTATAGATGGAGCCTAATGGGGTGGGAAGCGGTCAGCGGGGATTGAGAGCAGCAGAGGAGAAACGGAGAATTTGGTGGCGACGCACTGTACAGTCCGTACTCGGTGTTGTTTGCACGCTCGAGCGCCTCCTCGTCGGTCTTGAATGTGTTGAGGATTACGACGGGGCCGAAGATCTCCTCGGTTGCGAGGATCGAGGCGTCCCCCACGTCCTTGATGATGGTCGGCTCGATGAAGTGGCCCTACCAAGCGTGGTAAAGTGAGCCTAAGTTTGTACGCGAAGATACCATCGAGTCATGGAGGAGACGAACCTTGCCGTTCACATCAGCCGCCTTGCCGCCGCACAGCACCGTGCCGTCCTTCTTGCCCTGCTCGAGGATGGAGACGATGCGCTCCTTCTGTATCTTGTCTCCCTGGGGGCCTTGGAAGACGGACTTATCTGATGGGTCACCGATGGACCGGCTCGTCATCAACTTCACGAGCGCTTCCGTGAACTCGTTGGCGATTGACTCGTGCACGAAGACTCTGCTGTTGGCTTGGCAGTGCTGCCCACTGTTGAGGTGGATCGACATCTGGACGCTAGTGCGAGCATGTCAATATGGAAGCTGGCGGGACTCTCTGAACAGCCCGACTTACGCGAGAGCGGCCTTTTGGATATCGGCGTCACCGAAGATGATGGCGGGAGACTTGCCACCAAGCTCCAGGGTGACATTCTTCAGGTTTGAGGCTGCGGCTGCGGCCATGACCTTCTTACCCGTGGCAATCGAGCCGGTAAAGGCGATCTTGCGGATCTTCATGTGGCTCGCAATCAGACTGCCTGTGGTAGGCCCCGTCCCTGTGACGATATTCAAGACCCCAGGGGGAAAGCCGGCCTCCTTGAACAGCGCCGCGACCTTCAGAACCCCCAACGGCGACTTCTCGCTCGACTTGATGATCACGCAGTTACCGGTTGCCAGAGCAGGGGCGGTCTTCATGGCAAACATGATCAAGGAGACGTTCCAGGGCAAGATGCCGGCCACAACGCCATACGGCTGCTTCAACGTGAAGGTGATCATGCCGGGGGTATTCAGGCTCGATTTGCCCTGGACGTGCAGCGCAATGCCGGCATGCTGCGCCATTAGGCCAGCGCAGCCCATCACTTCAAAATGTGCAAATCCAAAGGTACTGAGGCAAAAAGCGTCAGAAGTGCACACTTTGGTGGTGGACACGCCCCGCATATACTGACCGGCCCATTGCCATCCTCTCCAGGTTCCACAACTCCTCCTTGCTCTGACTGATCAGCGTCGACAGCTTGTTGAACAAGCCAGCCTTGACATGGACGGGGGTGTCTCTCCAAGCCGGGAACGCCGCTTCCGCGGCGGCAACGGCGGCATCAACATCTTGAGCCCCTGCTTGGTGTACATCGGCGACAAACTCGTCCGTGGCTGGGTTGTAGAGTTTGTAGGTCTTCTCGGTCTTGGATTCGACAAACTGCAGAAGTGGTCAGCAGGCTGGAACGACGTAGACGCTGCGGTTACTTGATACGCCTGACTGTCTGGCACAGCAGCTTCACTTGCCTCGTTGTTGATAAACAACCTGGTTTCTATCGAGGAAGACATGTCTGGAGGCTTTCTGAGCGACGCTGTTGTGTGAGTGAGGACTACGCACGTGAGTGTAAGTATCGAAAAGATCTATGGCAGGCTATGAGGCGAGCCATTCTCTTCCCCCAAATACCATCGTTATATCCGAGATTCTTGCACAGTCAGGATCTTGAAGACTAATCCCGAGGTCAAGTGCCGGAGATGCTGGCCGGGATGTGGAGGGATGTGATTGCGATTAGTACCTGCATTTGATGAGGGGAATGCGGGGGTGGGCACCCGGAGCCGGAGCCGCAAGGTCCTGCCGATTTGCGACCCAAACTCGAGCCCTCTATGTGGAGCCAGTTAATTAGGTAGAATCTACTGGGGCTGCGCAAGAACTCTACTTCTACCGTTTTTAAAAAAAAGGTATAAACTCATATAGCAGTAGCAGTATAGTGATAGTGGTAGTTATGTGTAATTATTGGGAAGAGGCCTTCATCTAGGCCTGTTCACCTCTTACTCATACCCATGCAGTGCTCGCAGATTAGACTTTGATACCTGCAGTGATATGCTACTCAAAATATGGGGTATGGGGTATGGACAGGGATTCCCCGCATACTACTAGTTACTGTAACCATTGTCACTAGTGGTACATGCGAAGCTTGGGCTGAAGCGCACTTTTCCTCGTAAGGCCATGTTTATTCTTTTACTGGTAGATCCGATCTACTGTCTATATATATACTAGACTTAATTGCCCACTTCTAACGTATCACGCTTCTACCCATCCATCCGTTCACTTGTCATCCACATTTCCGACTCATCCAAAGAGGTTTCCACCTTCGAGCGTCACTCAACCTAATCTGTAGAGCGACAGATCGGCAACATGTCGAAACTCAGACACGCCTTTAGCTTGTCGAAGCAAGAGGTTAGCGATGCGATGCCGCCGGGGACATCGCATTTGATTGGTACGTCCACACAATACCCAGGCGACGATTGACGAGGAAACCCCTACACTGTGGGCTGACCAAGACGTGTTCTCAGACACCAACCTCGTTCGCACCGAGAGCGAGGACCACACGGTTCAGGAGAAGCACATCCATCTTGTGCCCGAGCCGTCTGCCGACCCGGCAGACCCACTCAATTGGCCGCTCTGGCGGAAACAGGTCGTATTGGTCCTGATGGGCCTGTACGCCATCGTCACCAACGTGCAGAGCGCCGTCCTCGCCAGTGCACTGCCCAGCCTAGTGACGGCTTTCGCGACATTCCATCCAGACGGGCCGCCTACCGGCCTCGTACCCTTCTCGCACCTGGCCCACCTCATTGCCGTTAACAGCCTTATGCTTGGCGCGTCTGCCGTGTGGTGGGTGCCGTTATCACACAGTGAGCATTCCCTCGCGACCAACAACGTCTCTGCGATAATTATATCACGACTGACTCGTTGCCAACCAAGCGTTTGGACGCCGACCTATCATCCTCGTCAACCTTCTGATCCTCTGTGGCGGCTCGGTGTGGTGTGGCAAGGCTACGTCTTTTAATAGTCTTCTTGCTGGGCGACTCATTCAAGGTATGCACGCGCTACACATATCCCGCCCACTGCCCCAATGACGGAAGCTGACAAGATACGTGCAGGATGCGGTGGCGGTGCTGCAGACGCTGTCAACGCTGTCGTCATTGGTGAGGTATTCTTCGTGCACCAGAGGGGTCGAGCAATGGTAAGTCTAACTCCTAGGGACATTGATCCCCTCCCAGTTGATGCACCATCTAAGTGTCTTCCTGCAGGCCGTTTACACCGTCTGCCTTGTTGTCGGTGCGCCCTTGGGTGGTCTCGTCGGCGGATACATCACCGGAAGCCTTGGCTGGCGCTGGACCATGTACATTCCCGCCATCATCTCCGGCATCTTGTTCCTGATGTGCTTCTTCTTCCTCCCGGAGACCCTCTTTGAGCGCCATACTTCGCCAAATGGCGCGCCGGACTCGGAGGAGAGCGCACTGGAGAAAACGGCAGCGTTTGGAGAGGCAGCCCACGCTGAACTTGCGCCACCACCAGGTGGCTACGCTCCCTTCACTTTCGCCAGATCACTCAAGGTCGGCATCTATCGTCCGGGACTCCTCAAGCGCCTCTGGATGCCCTACCTGACGCTGCGGCTCCCCGGAACGTGGATGGTCATCCTGCACTACGGTGGCTTGGTCGGCTTGATCGTCACCGCCAGCGTCGTAGGCCCTCAGCTGCTCACCGCCCCGCCGTACCTCTGGGGCTCTAGCAACGGCCTCTTCAACATCGGCGGCTTGATCGGCGGCCTCTTGGGCCTCGTTTATGCGTACCTCTCCACCGACTGGTGGTCTAAGCGCAATGCCAAAAGAGAGGTCCACGGCTATGCGGAGCCCGAGACAAGGCTGCCCCTTATGCTGCCGTCGCTTGTCATCGCCACCATGGGACCTCTCGTGTTTGGCCTGTGCGCCGCGAATCCTTCGCCGCATGGCTGGGTCGGCCTCTGTTTTGGACTGGGTCTCATTTGTTTCTCGCTCATGCAGGTGGGATCGGTCGGCTTCAACTACATCCTGGATGCCTATGGAGGCCTCTCCGGTGACTGCTGTAAGTTTTCTTGGTCCTCATGTCTTGAGTTGTGCACAGCCCTAACACCGCTGCTAGTCTTGTGTGTAACACTTTTCCGCGCTATTTTGGGCTTCGTCTGGTCGTTTGTTGTCGGCACTTGGATTGACCGTGATGGTGTCGCGCTGGTGTTTGGTATGTTCACACTGTTGATGGGGGTATTCTCCCTATCCGTGCTGCCGGTCTGGATCTTCGGGAAGAGGCTGCGCATTGCAACTGCGGAGTGGGTGAGGCCGAACTTTGCTAAGCCTGAGTGATGCTGTGGTATAATTAATTACTGTAAGAACGTCGTAACATGTTAGCTGGATTTTGCGAGGTCCTATCTACTCTACAGGCGACTCCGCTCTAGTCAAGCGTCTAATTCCTTTTCCTGCCCATTGAGATGAGCCATGGTGGTGTGCCGATGGTCTATGGACAATTATCTTACATGATGGTACCTACTTTCCCGCTTGAAGACGATGCAATGAAATCCTTTTTACATAATGCCAAGCCTCCCTGATCGAAGCATTTCCGGTCCACTTGACAAACTACTTGTACGCTCTCATCGAGTAAAAGTACTCATGCAGACATATTCGACTTAATGCTGAAGCTCCCCGGCATTAGTGGACGCTAATGAGCCGTGCTATATTAGTGTGTCAATCAGATATGTTAATTGGGCCGAGTTCTCAACTACCAGGGACGGCGGCGAGAGGCGACTGTGAACATGGACTGGATGCGACCGTTGGTTCAGCCGCAGGGACCATTCCCTCTTCTGCTCATTCGTCGAGAGGTCGATAAGAGCCGTCGTCCACTCGGTCCCGTCCACGTCAGCATGGTCCTGCTTTTGCGAAGCACATATGCCGCTGCCGACTCCATCGCTGGAGGCAGCTGGCAACAACATCAACTCGCCCGCCTTGTACAGAGATAAGAGCTTCGAGGATCTTGTGAGTGAAAACCAAAGAACAGGCATCGACGGATGTGGAAACGAGGCTTGGTACATCAGTCACTCGGCTCTGAAGCAGCATTGGGAAGAGTCAGAAATCGCCAAGGTCCTCGATTTACATCAACCTCCCATTGCTGGGTGTTCACGAACTATTGCAGAGTCCTATTTGCGTGTCTGGTCCATACTTGTGTTCATTGGCCGACCGGAATTCACTGATGATTTCATTTCGGCCAACTGGGACGATGTACACTTACCGATGGACCCCAATAGCGGCCCCTATCGTAGGGTCCCAACACCGGCGTTCACGGCAGTGCTGGAGGGTTTCCGCCAATCGCAATGGCCGTTCTTCCCAGTCCAGTTCACCAAGGACCGTAGAATGCATAAACGCAAGTTAGACAAGCGCTGCGTGTTGCCTGTCGTCTACGACGGGACACTGACCGACCATGTCGCCGCCTCCACCACCACCGTCGTGAGAAAGGTCCAGCTTCAAGAGGACTGCACCGATTTCCCCCATGTTCGTCCAAATACATCCCTACAAGTCGGAATTTGTGTTCGCTCTGCTAACTAACCTGCCGCAGAGAACAGTCGTGTTCAAGGAGTACCAGATGGCGGAGAGCCGCGAGGCTTGGACCAAGGAGGTTGACGCCTTGGAGGTCGCCGATAACCACTGCGAACATATTGTGAAATATTTTGGATCCTTTGAACGGGATGTAAAAGGGGTCGTCATCTTGGAGTATGCGAACGGTGGCAATCTGCTCGACATATTGAAGCGCAACCAACAGCCAAGAAATCTGGAACAAACGAAGGCATTTTGGGAGAGCTTGGTGGCAATACTCCAAGCCCTGGACCAACTGCACCACCTACGACGGACTGCGCAGTCCAAGACTGATCAACCCAGTCGCATTGGCTGGTAAGTAAACTGTCCCTCGCGGTTTTTCATGTCGCTGACGATTGACTTGCAACAGTGCTCACCGAGACATCAAGCCGTCCAACATACTTGTATTTGAAGACCAAGAGGGGTCACCGTTCAAATTTCGATTGAAGCTTGCGAATTTCGGCGCGACTTCCGAGATACAGACCATCCTGGCATCAAATTCAGGCAGGCAGGATAACGATGGGAGTCGGACGTACTGCAAGTTTCCACGACCCGAACTGCAAGGCCCGTCGTAATTACTGACATGCCAATTAGGTGCCCCAGAGGCATCCAGGATTTATCTTGAAGAGGAGCATAGCGCCAGAGAAGTCCCACTTGACTCTGATGTATGGTCTCTGGGATGTGTTTACAGTGAATGCATCTCATGGCTTGGTGGTGGGGAAGACGGCATATCCTTTCCGGACGCGACGAGGTTCTTTCGACCTTCCAAGATCGTGAACAGGTCTTTGTGATCGACGACTCGGAGACGATGTGAAGCATCGAAAGGAAGTGAGAGAGACAGTCGAAGCACTCATGTACATAGTCAAGGCTGCCGATCGCGACGGCATCGAGTTGCGCTTCGCCTCGCGTCCGGAGGTGGCCTACAAAGGCACATCCAGGTTAGGGTTGAAGCGGGCCACGAAACATCTCGTCGACAGGATCCACAATCACCTTAAACACTTCAAGGCCGGAGCCTGTAACATGGAGCATTCCTTGAACACGGTGATCAAGGAAGTGGTCCGCCATGGCGGCCCAACATCCATCACCGTCTTTACAGATGGGATCTGGCAGCATGGGGCGACAGGGCCCGGCGGCGGGGTGGAAGGCACGGTGAAGTCGCTTGTCAGGGACATGCAACAGCGGGGCATGTGGCGCCCCGAGGTCACCATCCAGTTTGTGCGTTTTGGGAGTGACCCTATCGGTATAAAGCGCTTGAGATACCTGGACGACGATCTCAAGAACGAGCCAGGCATGTCTGGGTTGTAAGTGGGATCCAAATCCACACATAAGCATTAAGCGAAGCACGTGACTAACCATCTGAGAATAGTGATATTGTGGACCATAAGTCTCACACAGCGTCTGTGTGGCTTATCCTGATAGGTGCTCTGAGCCAAGCTGGAGATGAATGTGCGGAAGACTTGGAAGGTGATGAAGGGAGAGGCACTGTTGAGGGGGAACATTCTGATGGAAGTTGATGTCGGCTCGCTTAATTAGCAAGCCGACGTAGGCAATAGCCGTTGCCGTTGCCAGCTCCCCTCAAATTATGACAGTGAGATTCTCTCTTAGGTCAGTGTTCGATCCATTCCTGCCCGATAATTTGCACACCCAGCATTGCGCCTGGAGACTCGAGGAACACCTCAATCGCCCTTGGCAAAATGAAAAATTCCATTATGACTGACAATTAACCTCAGGCAGAACAACATCCCATGGACAGCGGCAAAGGGGCGCGGGGCCGCATGATCAATCATCAAGGCCGCCGCGTCATCAGTCGACCCAGCCGATCTATTGAACTGGCCGGCATGGGGCCAGGTGCGCATTCGTCGTGAACTCGACCAGCTCCAGTATCGACCCTGTGCTGCAAATATGGCCTTCCGTCTCCCCACAAACCCTTCTTTGCTGTCGTTTACATTGGGCTGCAAACGGCCTTTCTTGATTATCTGCTAGGCGATAAGCCCAGCACCTGGCCCCTGCGCGCGGGGCTGGTCGTTAGGTGACTCACAAGCGACGGAGGAGTGGGGCTGTGTAACGCCTCGAAGGCCCGGGCCAATATTACACCGGCCCCCACGCGCGGGGCCTAGGAAAGCCTGGTGGCTGAGGTGGCTGAGGTGGCTGGGTCTGCCGCATGAAGTGGCTTCAAGTGATTAGCGTGAGCTTGGCCTAGTAGGAAGGTTCAGAGCTCATCCTAGACTCCAGGCAACTTCGTTCCCAAAGCGAGCGGGACCCTCCATCTATATGCACAAGGTCAAGAGTTCGCCAGAAGTGACAAGCTCTAGCGGGCAGTCGTGATTGCCTAAGAAATGCAGAATCGTTGTAATGCTTGCTCATTGTCGGCGTTGCCCCATGTAGGGACGACGTCGCGATGTCCAATCAAGAGTAGTCCCACTCACATATTGGGCCTCCCACAGCTGTGCAAGCCTATCACAGCCGTGTTTGCCATCTGCAATGGCATGAAAATGAGGCGAGCGGGCGCGGGGACTATGCCAATCGCAAAAAGGGGCGAGGTTAAGATAAGGCGGGGTTCGGCGCGTGCCGCAAGGCTGCGCTGGGGAGCTTCCTACCAGATCTTTCAACTGTGGTGGGAGCGTCGAGAGTTGCTTACCAGCTGCTCTTGTACCAAAAGTAAGGTCGAGACCCACCCTTTAACGGCATCCGCAGATACTGTCTCCCGCAGGGGAAACCCGGCGCAATGTCAGAAAAGGGAAAGCGAGCAGCCAGCAACGGCACTGGTTTGGGCAAAGCGGCCTCAACCGGCGACGGGAAGAAATTCGCGACGGGGCTCCAGAAGATTGTCAGCGACCTCGAAACGTTGTGTAGGAGCAGCGAAGGCGTGCAGGACTATGGCGATCTCCTCGGCAGCCAGGCAGCCCTGAAGCAGGAGGCGCAGAATCGGGAGCGTGAGGCGGCCAGGTTGCAGAACGAAATGGAAGGCCTCCTCGCGAAGAGGGACGAAGACGTGCGCGAGCTACAAAAGAAGATAGCCGGTCTGGAGAACTACAAAGAGTGCATGATGGAGGACTACGGGGAAAAGTACAAGGCCTGGGATGCGGACAAGAGCCGTCACGCCGACGACCTAAATAATCTCGCCCAGCTGCGGAACGAGCTCGAGGCCACGGCCACGGCGGCGGAGAAGATCAAGGCTGAGAATCACGAGCTTCGCGAGGGGAGGAAGGCGCTGGCCGGCGAGGTCGAGAAGTACCGGAGCGACAAGGTGGCGCTGGACGATCTTTGCGAAATGAGAGAGCTGGAGCTCAAGCAGACAAACCGCAGGCTCAATGAATACCGAAAGAAGGCCAAGGATGCGAAGGACAAGCTTGGGATTCTGCCACTAGACACTGAGAGACTGTGAGTGCGACGCTTATATCCCGAGTTGTTCAGGCGATAACTAACCGCCAGTCGTGCTCAGTCAGCATGAGCTTGAGGATTTAGCCACCGGGTTGCACGAGCTTATATGGAACCACTTTGAAAATCACATCCTACAACCGGTAGTAAGCGTTCCCTGCGGCATTCTTCTGAACCTTTGTTTACGTCATCCTGCGTCACCTGGCTCACGACTTTCGCGCAAAGGTACCTGTCGACGTTTCCGGTACGACACTGATGCAGATCCCCCAACCGATCTCCAACTCGCCAGTCGCTCGGGCGATGCGGTGCGCCCTTGCCGAGGCTCTCGTAGCCAAAGAGCTGTCCCGGTGCATCTTCACCGACCTGCACGTCTCCGACAGCGTGTCGGACGTCCTGGTCGACGGGCTAACAAAAGTCCTGAAATGGTTAGAGTCGAGTCACCCCCTCGAGGCCACTGTCACCCGCTGCCAGCTGGCCCGGGCCTTGGCCGAGTCCAACGGCGTGGAACATTGTGCCCCCCAGGCGGCTGAGAGAGTATGCGCAGCCCTGGAGCCGTGGTTGGGCGGCGACGACCGGCGACGGCTGTTCGCGGCAGACCTGGCAGAGCGGTTTGGGGCTGCCATGGCCCTTTGGCTACCCCTCCAGCGCGCTGAGCAGCGCGTACGGGCGGAGACAGACTTGGCCTGCAAAGACTGGTTCTACGAGAGACCGAAGTACGACGTCGTCACGCCGGGGGAGAACACTCATGGCGACGGCGGCGTCGGTGGCGGCAGCATCAACAGCCAGGGCCACGACGCCGGGCCCGAGTTCCCGCTTGCCGTGCTATTTCCCCATATCTACGTCGGCGACACAATCCTCTTCCACGGATTGAGCCTTTTCGCGTATCAGCCGGCCGTCGCGGCCGCCAGGCTCGAGCAGAGGAAGCAGCCCGAGTCGCGGGCCAACAGGGCTAGCCATAGACGGAGCGGCCAGCATAGCCAGCAGGTGAGCGGGCAGCCTGCCAAGGGAAGTCGAAGGACGAGCGTTTCTTCGGTAGAGGAGTCTAGGATGAGGGGGTCGCTTGTGGGCAGCGCAGCTTCGAGCGACCTGTCATCTGTTGTTCTGAAACCGCGTTCTCTAATCGACGGTAGGGGCCACAGAAGTTAGTGCTTCGGGGTCTACAAGAAGCCAGCGGTTGGGGGGGGAGCCAATCTTGGGTGATGGCGAGCTAGAGAGGTGAGAGAGCTGCTATTCTAGTGCGCACCCTTCTAGAGAGCCATGCTTGCCGCTTACGCACGGCCTCACACTAGGCTTGGTGCTTTGTGTAGCTACATTCCCACAGCCACAGAATATAACGTCATGTACCCGAACATTGTAGACTGCTTGAGTAGTTGACTGACTCTACCAAGCTGCGCCTAGCATGCAAGGACATTGACTTGCAAGCCTACCCCCAAATACAGCGACAAACATAGGCTATGCTTGTAGAAAACGCTATATAATTTGAAATGGCGCTAGTAAAGACAGGGTGCAAAGCTTGTAGAGAAATAGAAAGCAAAGCTTATAGACATTTTTAGTAGTAAAATTGACAAAATTGGTATATGCATAAAGCTTAAATGCAGGCAAAATCTTTAATGCTATTTTCAAGTTAGTAAAATGCTTGTAAGTAAGAAAAGCTATAAGTTTTGTTAGTTATTTTATCTAAGTTAATATAGCGTTATAAAAGCTAACAATGCTGTTAAAGGTTTTACAAACATAGAGTAAAGAGCTAGGTAGGTGATAGTGGTAAAGCAGTAGAGAAGTAAAAGGTTTAATGTTATGCAAATTAATCGCTAGCTTTTCTTCTTTGGAAAAGAGGTTAGCTATTTTGAAATACCTAACGTCTTTTCCTTAAAGCATTATACATAATCTAATTTACTTTAGTTTTGTCCTTAAAAGTTTCTAAAGATAATGCAAAGATTTTCTAGTAATAACCTAGTCTATAAATAATCTGTAAATAACTTGTAAGCCTTTGTTTATGCATCTGATGCGTGAGGCTTGGTGGGGTAGAAAGGATGGTTTTTACTAGCTGTAAATAGACAGTGAGGGCGGGGCCTAAAGTGGCTTTGGTGGCTTGTGACCTAGCCTATGCGCTAGCGCGGGTTAGTCAAAGCCTATGCGCTTTCTATGTAAAAACCACTGAATATCATCACCACTTTTACTTTGTACAATATTACAAGATTGCTATTGAAGTAGCTTTTTGCCAATGCGTTATAAATTGGTAGCACGGATATATTTGTCAGAGTTATAATATAAACCAAACCTACCAAAAACCTTAATTTTTGCTAATTTTAGCAATACCAAAATCACTTTAAGAGCTTGCGAATAGCGTTAGCTATGCGCAAGCCTTTAACGCGTTGATTAGACTAATCTATGCGTAAAGCACTATTTACTTGCTTGCTTTAACCAAACCTGTCAAGTATTTAGGCTTAACCTGTCAAGTATTTAGGCTTTTTCCTACTAACGTTTAAATACTTGCTTAAGTATTTACTAACCTTTAAATGTAACAGGTTGCAAGACTTGGGTTGGCAGCAGGATAGAGGCATGGGGGTGATTAGTTTGACTAACTTATACAAGGTGGCTAATTAGCATAGGTTTTGAGAGAGAGAGTGGTTGCGACAATATTGCTAGTAAATTAGGTAGGAAACTATTTTGAGTAGCTTTTTGGCTAGAATGTATATTAAAGCTTGCTCTTGTAACCTTTAGGTAGGTTTATCGCAATCTTTAACTTAAGGCTGCCTAGGTGTTCTTATGCAGGCTCTTTGTAAAGACTTTGTAAGACTGGCTAGCTAGGCTAGCTAGACTTTTCTACCTTGTAGGGCAGAACTATACTAATTACAAGGCTTTTCAATTAAAGGCTGCACTTGCGCTAATCACTTAAAGCTACTTATGCAGTAGACTAAACTACCTACCTCTAAATACAGCGACAAGCATAGGCTGTGCTTGAAGAAAATGTTATGTAATTTGAAATGGCGCTAGTGAAGACAGGGGGCAAAGCTTGTAGAGAAATAGAAGGCAAAGCTTGTAGACATTTTCAGCAGTAAAATTGACAAAATTGGTATGCGCATAAAGCTTAAATGCAGGCGAAATCTTTAGTGCTATTTTCAAGTCAGTAAAAATGCTTGTAGGTAGGAAAAGCTGTAGGTTTTGTTTGTTAGCATCACCTAAGCTAGTGTGGTGTTATAGAGGCTAATAACGCATTAGCTTATTGTCTAGGGTGAATAGGGGTAAATGGTAGTGTAAGGCTATAGTTGTAGCTATTTAGTAGTTAGCCAAGACATGCATTTAAACTACTATAAAGCTATTTGTTTATTTGCCTAAATACCTGTTTCTAATATGCAAGTGTAGAATTAGATGCGTGGTAGGCAAGGTTGTTAGTCATTTGCAAGCAAAGTATAAGTCTATCAAGCCTAGCAAATGGTTAAGGATTGCAGAATTGATAAGCTAAATCCTAGACATTACAAGAACCTAGGATAAGTTGAAAAAGTTTAAGTTCCTGCTACTTACCATCTTACCTATCCTGTTTATTAAGCTACTAGTTGTTGGTTTAAGATGCAACCAATGCAACTTTGTTAGCATAGAGGTAAGAAAGATGCAGCGACATTGCTAAAATGATTATAGATAGGCAAATGATTAGATTAAAGGCAGTAATATAGTGAAAAAAGCAAAGCAAAAGCAGGTTATGCTGTAGATAACAGGCATATATTGTTAGTGATTTTTCTAGTCAAGCTTTAGAAGCAGTTGGTTTAAGGTTAGCTAGAGTAGCAAGCTAGTAGTAGTAGTAAAAGTAAGTGCAAAAACATTAGAGAAGCAGCTGACATAAATCTATGCAACCTAGATAGCATAGTTTAAGTCAAAGAGGTAGTTAATTAAAGCAAGCAACAAGAAGGCTAAGCTAAATGAGTAGTTAGACTGCATTAGTTAGCTAACGCATTTAAAGAGTTTAGACTTAGCCTAGTTGCATAGTGACGTAGTGAATGGAAAAGGCACGGGCTGCTTTAGGCTAGGATAAGTCAGCTTTAGACTAGATTTTCTACGCTTTTATATAAGAGTGTAATTAAGGCTTCAAATTGTAAGATTATTATTAATTACTTAGACTTACATAGATTTACAAGCAGCACTCTTTACACCTTAGTTATTTTGAGGCTTTCTATGCAATAATACTTAATTTACTGCATTTCATTCCTTTCTTACACTTTTAATTTAATTGATTATGCTGCTAGCATTTTCCTACCTTACTTACATAACTAGATTTAGGCACTACTGCAAGATATATTAAGGCTAATTAGAGTCACCTAACTAGTTATATGCGCTAGAGGTAAAGAAGAAGCATAATTCTATCTACCTGCTAGCTAATCATGTAGCTATTGCTATTAAAGCCTATGCTTTAGCAGCAGTATATTACGTTAAGAGGTAGGTAGGTAGGTGGTTTTGTATCTCTTCTCTTTATATTTGAAAGGCAATCTAGGATTTGATTTACAAAGCTTACTAAAAGGCTGCAGTCTAATTAAACTGCATGACTATAAGAAAAGCTAAGGCATTAGCTTGACTTTAAAGGCTTCTAGTCAGTACACTTTTTTCTTTTGTTACAAACTAAATACAAAGATGCCTTAAAAGCAGTAGCTTTTTTATTTTGCAAAGCAACTAGCTTCTTGCATTGCTAGGGCAACCAAATGTTAAGCAAAAAAGACTCCTAATTATGCTAAAGTAGCGTTAAAAACCTTTCTTTTCCCTTTCCTTTTCTAGAAGATCTTGGGATAAGATAATATAAACCTAGAGTTACCTAATTGGCTAAAAGAGTAGCATGTTAAGAAAAAAGAGTATGATTAGACAAGTGCTAGGATTAGAAAGAGAGAAAAGACAAAGATTAAAGCTAAAAGCTATAATAAGAGGATTAGGAAAGCTAAAGGCTAGTAAAGCCTAGACTAGACAACCTATCTTGAAGCTTGAAAACTAGCTAGTATAAACTAATTAGTTAGTTGCTAAGAAGGCTAATGTAAGTGTAAAGAGGTGCTAGAATGTTGAGATAGGAAAGAATTGCCTAAAAGAGAAACCTAAAAAGAAAGACTCTCTGGTTTAAAAAGCAGTAAAGAAAAGACTTATAATTAGAGATAATGCAAAAGTCTATGTTTAGGCTAGGATAGTAATAATATTGCTATAGTTTATATTTCTTGGCATAAGAAGCTTGAAAAGCATTCTAGTATTTGTTAAAGACTTAAAATTGTAGAGATAAGTTATTGCAAAGAATCTAAAGCCTTTGATTAGATATCTAAAAAAGGCAAGCTACTTTTATAGAGACTAGGGAAGCAAGAATTGGATAATAAGCTCTTTGCAAGCAGAGGAAATTAGACTAAATTACAAAAAGAGAAAGTCTAAGCAGTTATCTACCTTGCAAGTTATATAGGCTTTTACTAAAGATTCTAATTCTTTAAGGCAGCCTACTTCCTTTCTATCACATTAACCTACCTCTAGCTTGCTATAAGATTAAACCTTAATATCTTTAAGAATAGCAATGCCTTTTCTTATGGCAAAATCTTTCCTTGTAGCAGAACTTTCTTTAATAGCAGGCTTTTAATATTAGGTTAAGTTAGTGCTTTTAATGCCTTTGCAAAAGGAAATCACAATCTTTAATAGCAAGAATGTCTTGGAATTCCTAGAAATCTTTAGCTTACATGCTAATTAAAGCTAGCTTATAGACAAGCAGAAGAAGAGATAGACTAAGTATTATATAAAGAAAAGGCTGCATATTACTATAGAGATAGTTTTAAAGTATAAGACTTGGAAAGAGAATGTAAAGGCAATAAAGTTGCAATAAGATAGTCAAGACTTTAAGTTAAACTTTAATCTCTAGACTAAGCTTTTTGACTTTTACTAGAAAAAGATTAGATTAGGTGCTTACAAATTGTTAGCAGCAATTGCAAAGCATAACTATCTTATCATAAAGGCTAGCAAGACTTAAGATAATAAATACTTAACCAAGTGGTTTTATTAAAAGCTTTTTAATTAAAGAAAGGTAGACTTATGCAACTGATTTGCTTTAAAAGAGACGTCTTTTAAAAACCTTCTATAAGACAAGCTAGCAGATAAGCTTTAAAAATAAGCTAACAACAAGATTAAAGACTAAATTAACAATACTAGCAGCTAGAGTATCTTAGACTTTAATTATTTGACAGACTAGTTAGACGCTAGCATAGACAAAAAGCTAGTAAAGCGCTTAGCAAAGAAAAAAAAAAAGGTTGCTTTTAAAAAGTCAACTTTAAAGACTAAGATAGAAAAACTAGCCTTTATAAAAGCCTAGAAGCTGCAGGAAAACTCTTATATAAACGATATAATCAA